GAGAACACGTATCGGCACAAATAGAGAGGTCGTCTCTGTGACGGGGCCTTAAATATAGAGAGAGGGCGGGGGCGGAGAGAGGGAGGGGCAGAGGAAAAATTAGCATGTCAATGAGTGGACAACGACGTGGTACGGTCCTCTCTTTGGAATTTTCACACTTAAATTCTAACTTAGCAATCTTTGAAATACGTAATCAACCGGGCTATGCGTTAATTGTGTGTTGACCGACTCTCTGTGTTGCATTACATTACATTTCGATATTTTACTAGGTTATACTGGTAGGAACGAAGTGGACCAGACCACCAATAGATTAATGTGTCCGTCCGTCCGTCCGTGTATCAACATCGCCCCCTACTGCAAACACTTGGCATGACCCTGTCCGACAAGATGGCCGCCCGCTCCCCCTGCAATGTTAATTAAACAAGATGGCCGCCCGCTCCCCCTGCGATGTGAATTAAACAAGATGGCCGTCGCTTCAAAATTACTTTACTGAAACGCAGCACGTTTTTTAACACAGAGACAAGAAACATTTATTAACACAGAGATGAGATACATTTAATCGCCTTATTTGTGCACGAAAAGCACGGCGCGAGGCCTAGTGCGGCAGGCTTCGCGAGGCCTAGTGCGGCAGGCTTATTGACACAGAGATGAAACGCAGCACGTTTATTAAAAAAAAAATTACTTTACTGAAACGCAGCACGTTTTTTTAACAGAGACAAGAAACATTTATTAACACAGAGACGAGATACATTTAATCGCCTTATTTGTGCACGAAAAGCACGGCGCGAGGCCTAGTGCGGCAGGCTTCGCGAGGCCTAGTGCGGCAGGCTTTTTAACACAGAGATGAAACGCAGCACGTTTATAAAAAAAAATACTTTCCTGAAACGCAGCACGTTTTTTTAACACAGAGACAAGAAACATTTATTAACACAGAGACGAGATACATTTAATCATCTTATTTGTGCACGAAAAGCACGGCACGAGGCCTAGTGCGGCAGGCTTCGCAAGGCCTAGTGCGGCAGGCTTCGCGAGGCCTAGTGCAGAAGGTGGTGGTGGGGGCTGGTGGTGGTGGGGGCTGGTGGTGGTGGGGGCTGGTGGTGGTGGGGGCTGGTGGTGGTGGGGGGTGGTGGTGGGGGGTGGTGGTGAGGGCTGGTGGTGGGGGGTGGTGGTGGGGGCTGGTGGTGGGGGGTGGTGGTGAGGGCTGGTGGTGGGGGGTGGTGGTGAGGGCTGGTGGTGGGGGGATGGTGAGGGCTGGTGGTGGGGGCTGGTGGTGAGGGCTGGTGGTGAGGGGTCTTTAAATCTCACAGCGTTTCTTGTCAAAACAAACACTTTTAATTAACGTTACACTAGAATACAGTAATTTTGTCTTTAACTCCTCTATACCCGGTCGATATCCCTGTACCGGTACTAAGTATTATTCCTACCAGCCCACCCCGCAGGGTCCTGTTTTAATTTTAGTGTGTCTTTCTCCTAATTTTCAAGCTTGCGTACCGTACCACGTTGTTGTCCACTCATTGACATGCTAATTTTTCCTCTGCCCCTCCCTCTCTCCGCCCCCGCCCTCTCTCTATATTTAAGGCCCCGTCACAGAGACGACCTCTCTATTTGTGCCGATACGTGTTCTCTCTCTGTGTATCTTTATGATGTCTGTCTGCTTATATGTCTGTCTATAGTTTTCTGGTTAGATTTTTGTTGCTATTTCTTTTATACCTGATGATGATTGCTTGTGTTGCAATCGAAACGTCGTAGTATGCTATTATTTAATTTATTATTTTATCTTTATACATGATTTTACCGAAAGAACAAAATAATAATTCCTGCAGTCACGAAAGCTCCAAAATTAAGACACCCCCACATTGTCAACCACTACCACATTGTATCAACTACCACCACCACCACCACATTGTGTCTACCACCACCACACCGTGTCAACCACCACCACCACACTATCGATCACCACCACACTGTGCCAACCACCACCACCGCCACACTGTGCCAACAACCACCACACTGTCAACCACCACCACACTGTCAACAACCACCACACTGTCAACCACCACCACACTGTCAACAACCACCACACTGTCAACCACCACCACACTGTGCCAACCACCACCACCGCCACACTGTGTCAACAACCACCACACTGTCAACCACCACCACCCCCACACTGTGTCAACAACCACCACACTATCAACCACCACCACACTGTGCCAACCACCACCACCCCCACACTGCGTCAACAACCACCACACTGCGTCAACAACCACCACACTGCGTCAACAACCACCACACTGCGTCAACAACCACCACACTGCGTCAACAACCACCACACTGCGTCAACAACCACCACACTGTGTCAACAACCACCACACTGCGTCAACAACCACCACACTGCGTCAACAACCACCACAACTGTGTCAACAACCACCACACTGCGTCAACAACCCCACACTGCTGTCAACAACCACCACACTGACGTCAACAACCACCACACTGGCGTCAACAACCACCACACTGCTGTCAACAACCCCCACACTGCTGTCAACACCCACCACACTGCGTCAACAACCCCCACCACTGCGTCAAACAACCACCCACACTGCTGTCCAACCACAACCCACCCCCCACACTGCGTTCAAACCCCCACACTCGGTCAAAACCACCACACTGTGCAACACCACCCACTGTGCCAACCCCACCACCACCACACTGCTGTCAACAACCACCACACTGCGTCATACAAACCAACCAACCCTGGTTTCAACCAACCACACCACACTGTGCCACCCACCACCACCCCCACACTGCCGTCAACAACACCTACACTGCGTCAACAACCACCACACTGCGTCAACCACCACCACACTGTGCCAACCACCACCACCCCACACTGTGTCAACAACCACCACAATCAAACACCACAGTGTGTCAACCACCACAACTGTCCACCACCACCTAACGTCGCCTAGTACTGTATACGTGCAATCATTTAAAGGCCACGCGCAAGCACGCGTTGTTGTTGTTGCCGAATAATCTGCTGTTGTTGTTTGTGTACCACTGCCAACGCAGCAGCGGCAGCATCGCCAAATTATTTGATTCAGAATTGAATTTTGGGCTCGGCCACGTGATGATCCGACCAAATGTGTTGTCGTAAAGACCCTCCACCACCCAATACAAGCCAAACAAATCCATAGCCACGCGTTATACAAGCGTTTAACGACGTGTCAGCCGTGGTTGGCGAAGCTCACTCGTCCGTGAGACGAGCGATCCTCTGGGCCATGCTGAGCAATTCGCATCTGATAAGAGAGGCGGCGCGCTTGGGGGGAGTCGCGCCTTGGACCGCCGACGGCGGTGCAGCCTCGTGCCGCCACTCCCGGCCGAGGGCAACAGCCAGCCCACGGCGGGCCCACAGCGGGGCCCACAGCGGGGTCAACAGCGGGGTCACAGCGGGGCCCACAGCAGGCCCACGGCGGGGCCACAGCGGGGCCACAGCGGGGCCCACGGCGGGGCCACAGCGGGGCCACAGCGGGGCCACAGCGGGGCCCACGGCGGGCCCACGGCCACAGCGGGGCCCCAACGGGGCCCCAGCGGGGCCACAGCGGGGGCCACAGCGGGGGCCACAGCGGGGCCCACAGCGGGCCCACAGCGGGCCCACAGCGGGGCCACAGCGGGGCCCACGGCGGGCCCACGGCCACAGCGGGGGCCACAGCGGGGCCACAGCGGGGCCCACGGCGGGCCCACGGCGGGGCCCACGGCAGGGCCCACGGCGGGGCCACGGCGGGGCCACGGCGGGGCCCACGGCGGGGCCCACGGCGGGCCCACGGCGGGCCCACGGCGGAGCCCACAGCGGGCCCACGGCGGGCCCACGGCGGGGCCCACGGCGGGGCCACAGCGGGTCCACAGCGGGGTCACAGCGGGGTCACAGCGGGGTCACAGCGGGACCACAGCGGGGCCACAGCGGGGCCCACAGCGGGGCCCCAGAGGGGGGCCAGAAGGATGGGGGGGGGGGTAGCGGGGAGGCTTGGGGGGGCTGTTGTAACTGTCTGCCGAGCTGTTTTGGACGGAAACGCTTGACGAGGAATTTCGCTCGAGTGACGGAAACCCGGGTTCATCTCCTCCACTCGCCCACCCCTCGCCCGAGGGGACCGGGGGAGGGCGAGTGGAGGAAGGAGGAAGACGACGGGAGACAAGAAAGCATCGAACCCTCCAGACCCCGTCTCCTCCCAGTCCCCGGTGTATCGCTCGGTTCCTGCCCGCGTCTCCCCTCACCCCACCGGGTCCCGTCTCCCTCCCACCCAATCGACCCTTTTCCTCACGAGAGGCGATAAAGCTCCCCTGTGTAGCCTGCACAGACCGCAGGGGCAAGTGCTGTTCGTGAGCAGCACCGATCAGGGGATGGTGTGGCCGCTACCACGCTCAGCACCCTTTGTCTTCTTGATGCTATAGTTTACACACCGCACCGGGCAATAATTTAACGCTGAGTAGACCTAGGGGAGACCCAGGACTGGTTCAGATTTTCGTAACTGATTTTGGAACCCCCCGTAAGCGGAAGTCGAACTCGGGTGGCTGAGGTGGCGGCGTAATGCGCAAACCGCTGCGCCACTGCTCCGCAGAATCTAACACACGCGCAGCACGGTGGCGATGACGACACCAAGGCGCTTGTGCCAGACTAGGTGCACCTTGAGGCTCGCTGGCAGATCACGGGACAGACTCAGGTGCCCCGGGTTGACTGAGATGACCGGCAACTCGCTGCGTTTTATCCGCCCAGCGCTCCACTTGTTGTCAGCATCGCTCCTCCACCATCCATTGTTGAAGGGCGACTGCCTCCAACCGTCCAGTACCCTCAAAGTGCACCTAGCCTGGCACTGCCCTGTAGCGTCCTTCACGAGCCTCCTCCACAGAGCCAGACAAAGATCCCTCCAGGGACCCCGTCTCAGTGATACCCTCTCTCTAAGTACCCCTACGGGACCCCACACAGGGGTCAGGAAAAATCTTGATTCAATTCAGGGTCTTTATTGATCCTGATACAGATGAAAGCAGGTGAGTGTATACAGGTGAGTGAGTATAGGTGAATACAGGTGAGTATACGTGAGTGCGGGTCAGCGAGTAGAGGTGATTGCGGGTAAGTGGGTATAGGGGAGTACAAGTGTGTGAGTACATACAGGGCAGTACATGTGTGTGAATAAATACAGGTGGTTGAGTACCTTATATACAGGCGAGTACACGTGTGTAACTACATACAGGTGAGCACACGTGTGTAAATACATACAGGTGAGCACATGTGTGTGAGTACACACACGGGAGTTGAAGTGTGTGACTACATACATGTTAGTATAAGTGTGTGAGCACATACAGGCGAGTACATGCAGGTGAGTGCAGGTGAGCGAATACATGTTTCACTCAATATTTTCTGACTCTCGGTGAAATCAGCGGGAGGTTGCCCACGACTCGCAGCAGCCACAGCCGTAGCCTAACAAAGTATACTGGACATGGTGTGCCGAGCACATACACACATATATTTATATATTCCGGCTCGCCAAAATTAAACCACCTGCCTGCAGGCAAGCAAGCGGGACAAGTGAGGTGTGAATACAGGTGGACATAGCGATGGCGACGATGATTGTGAATATTTTCGTGGGAGGCCGTCATTCTCCCTCTGCTAGGGTCACCACCTCCCCCACAGCGCGGGAGAGGTCAGCGCAGCCGCTAGAATTCACCTCCATTCTCACAGCCACGCAACCCATCAACCACTCACCCAGGTTCACGCCAGATCAGGTGGGCACCCTCGCACCAATTCGGCCCCCGTGGCCACCGTCAGACCTGAGCGTTTAGTGTGACGATGACACTGCTCCTGATAATTATGATGACGACGATGATTATTATTGGGGGTACTCTACCCCTCCTCCTCTACCCCCCTTCTCCTTCTTCCTCCTCCTCCACCCCCCTTCTCCTACCCCCCCCCCCCCCCCCCCAGTGGCGTAGCTAGGATATTTTGCGCCCGGGGACGAACTATAAAATTGGCGCCCCCCCCCCCGTTTAATCACATACCTAAATGTAATTACATGACATGTAGGCTGTGTGTGGCGGGATATATAAACTTTTAGATTGAGGTGTAAATTTGTGCAGTAGTTTCAGGCTGCCGCGCCCGCCGCAATAAGTTATAATGTAACGTTGTAAGCCTCATTTTGGCGCCCCTTTACCTTGGCGCCCGGGGACATATGTACCCCCCTGCCCCCCCTAGCTACGCCTCTGCCCCCCCCCCTCCTCCGTGATCCCCGTCACCCGAAGTCCTTGGTGATGGCCTGCATGAAGCTGGGCGCGGACACGAGGATTGCGGCCGTGGAGGAGATGGTGACAATGGAGAACGCGATGAGGCACAGGCGGTCAATCACTGCCGCCGCGAAGCGCCACTCCCCCCCGAGCCGGGCGCCCGCATCTGCTGCCCGCATTCGCTCCGCCAGGTAGTGCACCTCCGCCAGCAGCCCAGCCAGCTCGCAGCTCTGCGAGGGGGACTCCTGCCGGGCTGCTCCTCCTTCTCCTCCTGCTGCCCCTGCTATGTTGGGGCAGCCAGGGCAGCAGCTGTCCCCCTGGAGGAGGTGCTGCTGCTGCTGCTGTGCGACGGGATTGCATGCCTGGGGCCCCTGGTGGAGCTGGGACCCCTGGTGGAGGTAGGCCCCCTGGTGGAGGTAGGCCCCCTGCTGAAGGTGGAAGTATTCATGCATCGGCTCCTCCACGCTCCGGCCACGGAACTGCGCGGAGACTCCCTGTGGTGGGGCACATCAACGCGCGGTGTTGAGCAGCTGTGCGTGGTTGTGTAGTTAGGTGGTTGTGAGTGTGGTTGAATGGTTGTGAGTGGTTGAGTGGTTGTGAGTGTGCATGACTGTAGTTATGGGTGTTATCATGAGTGTACTTGCTTGAGTGTTGTCAGGATTGTGATAACCGGTGTAGCCACGGGTGTTGTTATGGCTGTGGTTGTGTGGTTGAATGGCGGTGGTCACCTGGCCCCTGTCGGCCCCGGTCCCCGGGTGCTCGCTCAGGCATGGTGGTTTCCACGGCGCCGGGCTGCCATAGGGACCGCCTGACCTCGCATCTTTCACCGGCTGTTTCATCCGCAACAACCAGGCACACCAGTGCACCAGCAACACCCGCACCTGGAAACAACAACATTATCACCACCACCACCATCATCATCACCATCATCACCATCATCACCATCATCACCATCAGCCATTATCAAATCTGCTAATGGCCCAAACACCTGGAACTTGATTTCTTTAAAATGTCCCTGGCTAATATTCTCCCAAGCCAACCACAGCGTTGGGCCCAGCCCTCCCTCCTGTGAGATAATCTCCCAGGCACTTGAATTTGACTCACCCACTCACCCGCTCACTCACCGATACAAAGACAAAGATCCCCCATGTAGCCTTTAACAGACTGTTGGGGCAAGGGCTGTTGGCGAGTAACACCTATTGAAGCACCGGCACGGGACTTGAGGGGGTGGGTGACCAGCACCACCGCATTTGTCTCCCTCGTGACGATGTTTACACACTGCAACAGGTACTCATTTGAGGCTTAGTTGATCTAGGGGTGGCCCAGGACCTGTTCAGATAATTAGCACTGGTGTTGGCTGTGAGCGAGAATCAAACTCAGGTCGTTGGGTTCATAGTGCAGTGCGCTAATCTCTACACTACCGCTCCACCCACACACCCACTCACTCAACTACCCAACACTCACTCACCCACTCAAACACTTGCTTACCTACTCGCTCACAAGCTCACACACAGAAGCACGTGCAAACCCAAAGACCCCCCTGAACAGGTAGTGGTGCTGGTGGTGGCAGTAGTGGTGGTGGCGGTGGTGTTGGCGCCGCCCTCACCCAGGTGGGCATTCTGGTGCCATCAGGGTCGTGGTGGTGGCACTGCAGCACCAGCACGGTCACCACCACCGAGAAGCCCACGATCACCAGCGTGCTGGCAAAGTATTGTCCTGCACAGGGGGGGCGGGCGGGGGGTGGGGGCGGGGACACGGAGCACTTGCGCCACGGTTGGCATGATGTTGTATCATGTGTGCGGCGCAGCAATGTGCAGCGGTGTGACATGGTGACTAGTAGACTGGGGTGTGCTCTCGTGCGGTATGTGATGTGCTCGTTGTGTGGTTTGATGTGGGGCGGCGGTGTGAGGGGTGACATTTTGATGCGGTGTGGTGCGATCACGTGACGTGTGGGGAGATGTGCTGTAGGTTGGCGTGCTGCGGTGTTGTGCGAGTACCGATGAGCGGCACAGAGTCCGATGTGGCCGGCATGATCTCGGCCACGAGCAGCATAAACACGGTTAGGGATAGCAGCACCGTGATGCCTGCACGCACACACAAGCACGCAAAGACCACCCAGGTAGCCCACTAAGGGCTATTGGGGCAAGTGCTGCCAGCGAGTGGAACCTATGAAGGCCTGTACTGAGCACGCGGGCGTGGGTGGGCAATGCCACACCCCTGCCGCCTTTGTCTCCCCGGTGCCGAGTTCTGTGAACTCAGCTGAAGCGTCACTCAAAAAGTGCCCGGAGGTGCGAGGGACTGCATGGCGCCGTGTTTCAGCAAAAGCAAGTGCACACATCGCAGCTCAACTGATTAATTATTCACACAGATGCCGGCCAGTGTTAGCGAGAAGGACAGGAGCTCATCCTCTCGCCGCCACTCACCCGGCCGGACACTCACCCGGCCAGCCACACACCTGTCCGGCCACTCACTTAGCTAGCCACTTATCTAGCCATCAATCAATCGAACTTTAAGTGCCCTTCGCAAAAGCATCGTCAATATAACCACTAGCTCATCCGCCCACCCTGTGACTCAGTTGTGCGTGAGTTCACCAAGGGAGATCTTCTCTCCAGACTCTGCGGGCAGCAGGAAGACGAGCAGCGCAAGTGCGGAGATCAGCATGCAGGGCAGCAGCAAGTTGAGCGCATAGTAGAGGGTGCGGCGCCGCAGCAGCAGCGTGTACGTCACGTCCGTGTACGGCTCCTGGCAGCACTCGTAGAAGAGCTCGTTCCGCTTGCCCACCACGCCTGTGCACCGCACACCACACCATGCGCAGGGCATCGCACCCCGAGCCACGTACAGCATGGCGCCGAGCGGGGAACAAAACACCGCGCCACGCACGATGCCACACGGCACACGGCGATGCGCCGCACGGAGCCCCAGCGCTCACCGATGAGATCCCACTCCCCGTTGGGCAGGTACCCCGAGGTGTCGGCGTGCAGCAGGTGCAGGTCGATGAGCCAGCCGTCGTGCGTCCACGAGCCGAACTTGAGGTCGCAGCTCTGCACGTCGAAGGGGAACCACCGCACGTCGATCTTGCAGGAGCTCTTCAGGATGCCTGCGCACGGGCGCCACCGACACACAGCCAACGTCAGTGGCGAGCGAATCCGGCCGGGCCCTGGAGGTTCGTGTGTGTGTGCACCTGGGGGTGTGTGTGCACCTGGGGGTGTGTGTACAGTGAAGGAAAAAAGTATTTGATCCCCTGCTGATTTTGTACGTTTTCCCACTGACAAAGAAATGATCAGTCTATAATTTTAATGGTAGGTTTATTTGAACAGTGAGAGACAGAATAACAACCAAAAAATCCAGAAAAACGCACGTACATTTTTTTATTAATTGATTTGCGATTTAATGAGGGAAATAAGTATTTGACCTCCTCTCAATCAGAAATATTTCTGGCTCCCAGGTGTCTTTTATACAGGTAACAAGCTGAGATTAGGAGCACACTCTTAAAGGGAGTGCTCCTAATCTGAGCTTGTTACCTGTATAAAAGACACCTGTTCACAGAAGCAATCAATCAGATTCCAAACTCTCCACCATGGCCAAGACCAAAGAGCTCTCCAATGATGTCAGGGACAAGATTGTAGACCTACACAAGGCTGGAATGGGCTACAAGACCATCGCCAAGCAGCTTGGTGAGAAGGTGACAACAGTTGGTGCGATTATTCGCAAATGAAACACAAAAGAACTATCAATCTCCCTCGGCCTGGGGCTCCATGCAAGATCTCACCTCGTGCAGTTGCAATGATCATGAGAACGGTGAGGAATCTGCCCAGAACTACACGGGAGGATATTGTCAATGATCTCAAGGCAGCTGGGACCATAGTCACCAAGAAAACAGTTGGTAACACACTACGCCGTGAAGAACTGAAATCCTGCAGCGCCCGCAAGGTCCCCCTGCTCAAGAAAGCACATATACATGCCCGTCTGAAGTTTGCCAATGAACATCTGAATGATTCAGAGGACAACTGGGTGAAAGTGTTGTGGTCAGATGAGACCAAAATGGAGCTCTTTGGCATCAACTCAACTCGCCGTGTTTGGAGGAGGAGGAATGCTACCTATGACCCCAAGAACACCATCCCCACCGTCAAACATGGAGGTGGAAACATTATGCTTTGGGGGTGTTTTTCTGCTAAGGGGACAGGACAACTTCACCCCATCAAAGGGACGATGGACGGGCCATGTACCGTCAAATCTTGGGTGAGAACCTCCTTCCCTCAGCCAGGGCATTGAAAATGGGTCGTGGATGGGTATTCCAGGATGACAATGACCCAAAACACACGGCCAAGGCAACAAAAGAGTGGCTCAAGAAGAAGCACATTAAGGTCCTGGAGTGGCCTAGCCAGTCTCCAGACCTTAATCTCATAGAAAATCTGTGGAGGGAGCTGAAGGTTCGAGTTGCCAAACGTCAGCCTCGAAACCTTAATGACTTGGAGAAGATCTGAAAAGAGGAGTGGGACAAAATCCCTCCTGAGATGTGTGCAAACCTGGTGGCCAACTACAAGAAACGTCTGACCTCTGTGATTGCCAACAAGGGTTTTGCCACAAAATACTAAGTCATGTTTTGCAGAGGGGTCAAATACTTATTTCCCTCATTAAAATGCCAATCAATTTATAAAATTTTTGACATGCGGTTTTATGGATTTTGTTGTTGTTATTCTGTCTCTCACTGTTCAAATAAACCTACCATTAAAATTATAGACTCATCATTTCTTTGTCAGTGGGAAAAGAAAACAAAATCAGCAGGGGATCAATTAGTTTTTTCCCTCACTGTACCTGGGGGTATGTGTGCACCTGGGGGTGTGTGTGTACCTGGGGGTGGGTGTACCTGGGGGGGTGTATACACCTGGGGGTGTGTGTGTACCTGTGGGTGTGTATGCACCTGGGGGTGTGTATGCACCTGGGGGTGTGTATGCACCTGGGGGTGTGTGTGCCCCTGGGGGAGTGTGCACCTTGGGGTGTGTGTGCACCTGGGGGTGTGTGTGCACCTGTCGGTGTGTGTGCACCTGGGGGGGTGTGTGTGCACCTGGGGGTGTGTGTGCACCTGGGGTGTGTGTGTACCTGGGGGTGTGCGTGCACCTGGGGTGTGCGTGCACCTGGGGTTTGTGTGCACCTGGGGGTGTGTGTGCACCTGGGGTGTGTGTGTGTGTGTGTGCACCTGGGGTGTGTGTGTGTGTGTGCACCTGGGGTGTGTGTGTGTGTGTGTGTGCACCTGGGGTGTGTGTGTGTGTGCACCTGTCGGTGTGTGTGCACCTGGGGTGTGTGTGTACCTGGGGTGTGTGTGTACCTGGGGGTGTGTGTGCACCTGGGGGTGTGTGTGCACCTGGGGTGTGTGTGCACCTGGGGGTATGTGTGTACCTGGGGGTGTGTGTGCACCTGGGTGTGTGTGTGCACCTGGGGGTGTGTGTGCACCTGGGGGTGTGTGTGCACCTGGGGGTGTGTGTGCACCTGGGGTGTGTGGGCACCTGGGGGTGTGTGTGTACCTGGGGGGTGTGTGCACCTGGGGGTGTGTGTGCACCTGGGGGTGTGTGTGCACCTGGGGTGTGTGTGCACCTGGGGGTGTGTGTGCACCTTGGGGTGTGTGTGTGTGCACCTGGGGTGTGTGTGCACCTGGGGTGTGTGTGTGTGCACCTGGGGTGTGTGTGCACCTGGGGTGTGTGTGTGTGCACCTGGGGTGTGTGTGTGTGCACCTGGGGTGTGTGTGCACCTGGGGGTGTGTGTGCACCTGGGGTGTGTGTGCACCTGGGGGTGTGTGTGCGCCTGGGGTGTGTGTGCGCCTGGGGGTATGTGTGTACCTGGGGGTGTGTGTGCACCTGGGGGTGTGTGTGCACCTGGGGTGTGTGTGTACCTGGGGGTGTGTGTGCACCTGGGGGTGTGTGTGCACCTGGGGGTGTGTGTGCACCTGGGGTGTGTGGGCACCTGGGGGTGTGTGTGTACCTGGGGGTGTGTGTGCACCTGGGGGTGTGTGTACCTGGGGGTGTGTGTGCACCTGGGGGTGTGTGTGCACCTGGGGGTGTGTGTGCACCTGGGGGTGTGTGTGTACCTTGGGGAGTGTGTTCACCTGGGGGTGTGTGTGCACCTGGGGGTGTGTGTGCACCTGGGGGTGTGTGCACCTGGGGGTGTGTGTGCACCTTGGGGTGTGTGTGTGCACCTGGGGTGTGTGTGTGTGTGCACCTGGGGTGTGTGTGTGTGCACCTGGGGTGTGTGTGCACCTGGGGTGTGTGTGCACCTGGGGTGTGTGTGTGGTGTGTGTGCACCTGGGGTGTGTGTGTGTGCACCTGGGGTGTGTGTGCACCTGGGGGTGTGTGTGCACCTGGGGTGTGTGTGCACCTGGGGGTGTGTGTGTACCTGGGGGTGTGTGTGTACCTGGGGGTGTGTGTGCACCTGGGGTGTGTGTGTGTACCTGGGGGTGTGTGTGCACCTGGGGTGTGTGTGCACCTGGGGGGGTGTGTGCACCTGGGGTGTGTGTGTGCACCTGGGGTGTGTGTGTGCACCTGGGGTGTGTGTGCACCTCGGGGTTTGTGTGTACCTGGGGGTATGTGTGCACCTGGGGGGTGTGTGTACCTGGGGGTGTGCGTGCACCTGGGGTGTGCGGCAACCTGGGGTGTGTGTGCACCTGGGTGTGTGTGTGCACCTGGGGTGTGTGTGTGTGTGCACCTGGGGTGTGTGTGTGTGTGCACCTGGGGGGTGTGTGTGTGTGCACCTGGGGTGTGTGTGTGTGTGCACCTGGGGGTGTGTGTGTACCTGGGGGTGTGTGTGTACCTGGAGGTGTGTGTGCACCTGGGGTGTGTGTGTACCCGGGGGCGTGTGTGCACCTGGGGGCGTGTGTGCACCTGGGGGCGTGTGTGCACCTGGAGGTGTGTGTGCACCTGGGGTGTGTGTGCACCTGGGGTGTGTGTGTACCTGGGGGTGTGTGTGTACCTGAGGGTGTGTGTGCACCTTGGGGTGTGTGTGTACCTGGGGGGTGTGTTTACCTGGGGGTGTGTGTGTACCTGGGGTGTGTGTGTACCCGGGGTGTGTGTGTACCTGGGGGTGTGTGTGCACCTGGGGGTGTGTGTGTACCTGGGGTGTGTGTGTGTACCTGGGGGTGTGTGTGTACCTGGGGTGTGTGTGTGCACCTTGGGGTGTGTGTGTACCTGGGGGGTGTGTGTACCTGGGGTTGTGTGTGCACCTGGGGGTGTGTGTGTACCTGGGGGTGTGTGTGTACCTGGGGTGTGTGTGTGTACCTGGGGGTGTGTGTGTACCTGGGGTGTGTGTGCACCTAGGGTGTGTGTACCTGGGGGTGTGTGTGCACCTGGGGTGTGTGTGTACCTGGGGTGTGTGTGTGTACCTGGGGTGTGTGTGTGTACCTGGGGGTGTGTGTGTACCTGGGGGTGTGTGTGTACCTGGGGGTGTGTGTGTACCTGGGGGTGTGTGTGTGTACCTGGGGGTGTGTGTGTGTACCTGGGGGTGTGTGTGTACCTGGTGTGTGTGTGTACCTGGGGTGTGTGTGTACCTGGGGTGTGTGTGTACCTGGGGTGTGTGTGTACCTGGGGTGTGTGTGTGTACCTGGGGGTGTGTGTGTACCTGGGGGTGTGTGTGTACCTGGGGGTGTGTGTGTACCTGGGGTGTGTGTGTGTACCTGGGGGTGTGTGTGTACCTGGGGGTGTGTGTGTACCTGGGGTGTGTGTGTGTACCTGGGGGTGTGTGTGTACCTGGGGTGTGTGTGTGTACCTGGGGGTGTGTGTGTACCTGGGGGTGTGTGTGTACCTGGGGGTGTGTGTGTACCTGGGGGTGTGTGTGTACCTGGGGGTATGTATTGGCACCCGCCCGTGTGGTTGACCAGGACGCTCGTGTGAAATGTGGCATCGAACCTCTCATCTGCACTACAACCACACAAAACCACACAATTACACATGTGACGACGCAGTTGATATTGCTTTGATTGCTATTTGCTTAATTGCGGTAACTTTATTGTATTAGTTTTGCTTTGGAGTGTCACTTGTGCGATGACACTCCAGTCCTGGTCTCGTGAGCTCTCACCTGGACACATAACATCAACCTGAACCCCTTTCACCCCCCCCCCCCCATCATTCCTCCCCACCTGTTGTAGAGCAGGATGTCCGGGGTCCACACCTGCTCGGGTTTGAAGCGGAGTTTGGTGACGCCCGGAGTGCGCGAGGCGTTCCACTGCAGATAGTAATCCACCCAGTTCTACAACCACCACAACCACCACCACCACAATCTACAATAACCACAATCCACCCAGTTCTACAACCACCACCACAACCACCACCACAATCTACAATAACCACAATCCACCCAATTCTACATTCACCACAAACCACCACCACAATCACCACCACAATCCAACTCAATCTACAGCAATCAGCAAAATAAACAATAATCAACAACCACGGGTACGATAAACAACCAGGACAAACAATCCACCAAGTTCAAATCAACAACACAACAACAAAAAGAACCCACCAGTTATATCACAACCACCACGACCACAACACCACAACCACGCCACTAACACCACAACCCAGTCCCTCCAGAAAAACGCGATTATGCGACCGCAAGATTCCACGCAAAATCAGCCAAAGTCCGCATATTTATGCGGGGGGCGCGTTTTTTCGCCGCATAAATTGCAGATTTCCGCGCGCAAAATATGCGGGCTTGCATGATTTCATAATCCCCGCATTTTCGTTGCAAAAAGTCACATGTATCTTAGCAGAAAGTTGAAAAATATTGCGTTTACTTCACACAAGCGCAGCCATTTCCCCTGTTGCCATGGGAACGTTATGAAGTGTTAGAGGCTACGTAGTTAGTTTTATTCAGGAGTTTATGCAACTTTACAGTTGTAAGATTGCACTTTTTTGTTAGTAGTATGTAAATTTACATTACTGTAAGACTGTACTGTTACTGTATTGCTTACGTTACTGTGCACTGAAAACACTTATTTTAACAGAAGATGTCTGTTTTGTATAGCTACCTCTGTAAAACAGGAAGCACACATTTTATTTTTTAATATTTTATTTATTCATTTTTACAGAAGTTGTAGCATATTCATTTTGTAAAGCTACAGAACTTGTTCGACTCAATGTTTTGTAAGTTTGAGCCATCTGTTTGTTAAGGTCTGAAATAAAACAAGATGAGAACTTAAATATTCCCAGCACTTTCTGTGATGTAGTATGCTTGCTTATCATAGGAAGTAATAAGAAATGACTCTTTACATTAAAGTAGTAGCCTAGTGAATAGGGTGTTGGGGGAATCACTTTTTTTCTCTTTTTCATCAAACCGCAGTTTTTGCAAGTTCCCGCAATTTAATCGCATAAAATTGTATAAATATCCCGCATATTCCATCGCATTTTTTAAGAAAACGTGCCGCATAATCAACGATTTTTGCCCGCAACAATCACCAAAAAACTCCGCGTTTTTTCTGGAGGGACTGACAACCACACGACAACACCACTAACAACACGACAACACCACTAACACCAAAACCACACCACTACAACCACCACGACCACAATACTACAACCACCATGATCACACTACTAGCACTACAACCACCACCACAACAACCCCCCCCCCACCCCATACTTCACCATCTGGAGCCACACGTTCGTGGTGAGCACTTGGTTCTTCTCATCCTGGGGGACGGGGAGATGGAGGAAGTGCGGGGAGGGGCGGGGGAGACCAGGGGTACGGAGAGGGAGCAGAGGGGAGGGGGCAGAGGGGGGGAGAAGAGGGGGAGAGAGGAGGGAGGGTGGAGGAGTGAGGGGGACTGGGGAGGGGTCAGGGAGCAGAGGGAGGGAGGGAGAGGAGGCAGGGGGCGGCTTGGGGGGCAGGGGATGGGAGAGGGACCAGAGGGGAGGGAGGAGAGGGGGAGACGGGAGGGAGGGATGTTAGAGGAAGAGGGGTGATGAGGGATGATGGGGGCGGTGTGATGGTGGTAATGGATGGAGAAGGGGGAGTGATGTGGGCTGGGCCTGGGGCATGATCACTGTGATGGTGGTTCGCAATGGTGAGAATGATAGAGCTGTGAGTGATCGGGGTCGTGACCATGAGGCATGTGTAATGGACGATGATGATGTGTGATGTCGGTACTGGCGATGGCTTAAAACTTCGTGGGGAAGTCAACGGTGTTGGTTATTTTATGTCGAGACTGGTCATTCGCTCGTCACGCGTAGTCAGCGAAGGAGCGTTGCGCCAAACGTCTGACCTCTTGCGACAGCATTCGCATGAGTTGCTCTTACTGCCATTCCGGCGTCTCGAGTGATTTGTTTGACGCGCGTCTCAAGGGGGAGACGCCGTTCCTTTGAGCGTCGCAGTCCTCGCTTCGAACGTCGACCGGCAACCGAAGCACGCAATTTTCTGCGCATCGAGACGGGGCGACGCGTCCACAAAGTGACAGCCGTCTCCCTCGAACTAAGCTCTCAAAGACTCGTCACCGTCATCGAAATGCACAATGTTCACCAAGAAATGAGTGGTGGATCGAGGTGGTGAGGCCCCAACACTCACCACGTCCATCACTTGCATGAGGCTGAGCATGAAGTCCACCCTTAGCGCGTGGGAGTCGTTCTGCACGGGGCGCTCCAGGGGCGAGGCGCGACCCAGGAGCTCGCGGTAGAGGCGGCGCTGGTGCTCCCCCTGGAACGATCCTGGGGGGGGGGGGAGCAGAGAGGGGGGCCAATCAGTGGAACGTGGGTCTCGGTGGTGAGGGGAGGGGTCTGGGTGGTGAGGGGTCTGGGTGGTGAGGGGAGGGGTTTGGGTGGTGAGGGGAGGGGTCTGGGTGGTGAGGGGAGGGGTCTGGGTGGTGAGGGGTCTGGGTGGTGAGGGAGGGGTTTGGGTGGTGAGGGGAGGGGTCTGGGTGGTGAGGGGAGGGGTCTGGGTGGTGAGGGGTCTGGGTGGTGAGGGGAGGGGTTTGGGTGGTGAGGGGAGGGGTCTGGGTGGTGAGGGGTCTGGGTGGTGAGGGGAGGGGTCTGGGTGGGGAGGGGTCTGGGTGGTGAGGGGAGGGGTTTGGGTGGTGAGGGGAGGGGTCTGGGTGGTGAGGGGAGGGGTCTGGGTGGTGAGGGGAGGGGTCTGGGTGGTGAGGGGTCTGGGTGGTGAGGGGAGGGGTTTGGGTGGTGAGGGGAGGGGTCTGGGTGGTGAGGGGAGGGGTATGGGTGGTGAGGGGTCTGGGTGGTGAGGGGAGGGGTCTGGGTGGTGAGGGGAGGGGTCTGGGTGGTGAGGGGAGGGGTTTGGGTGGTGAGCAGCGGGGGTTGTGGGTGGTGAGGGGTCTGGGTGGTGAGGGGTCTCGGTGGTGAGGGGAGGGGTCTGGGTGGTGAGGGGTCTGGGTGAGAGGGGAGGGTTGGGGTGTGGGTGGGGAGGGGGCTGTGGGTGGCTGAAGGGGTGGTTCTTACCTGGTATGAGGCACGTGATCAGAACTGCGCGCACGAGCGCCGAGGTGTCCGGGCCCCGCATGGCCACGGGCCAGGGGGCGGGGCTACACACCTGGGTGGGCGGGGCAGGGGGCGGGGCCGTTACCTGCGAGTCACATGTGAGTCACGTGGGGGTCGTGATACTGCATCGTCAGTGGTGTACAGACGACAACAACGCCACACATTTGTGGCCTGACCATGAAACGTAAACGGTATATCATAGGCGACGTTTCGGGCAATGACACTTGTTCATAGCTATGTAGGTAATCAGCTGACTGCTATACATAATTCGCCGTTAGGTTACTGAGTCTGTGGGAGGAAACCCAGCACCCTCCACCCAGCACCCTGCACCATGCACACAGCACCGTACACGCAGCACCACGCACACAGCACCGTACACCGAGAACCCGGCACCACGCACCCTACACCCAGCAACCTGCACCACGCACACAGCACCGTACACGCAGCACCACGCACACAGCACCGTACACCCAGCACCGTACACCCAGCACCGTACACCGAGAACCCGGCACCACGCACCCTACACTCAGCAACCTGAACACTACACCCGGTCCACAGCACCAGCACCCTAAACACCCTGCACACGACACCCCGCACTCAGCTGCTACTGCCCGCACGCTCAGCACCCCGCACTCAGCACCCCGCCGGCGGGACGCGGCGTTACATAATCATCGTTATCACAATTCTCGCGGTGTCGCATCAGCCTGGCAAGCGGGGAGACGGGGGGCGGGGCAGCCCTCTCTTCAGTGGTCGGGTCCCCCAAGGGCCGAGCCCGCGGCCCCACAGAAGCCTCGGCAACAGCGGTGGCTGAATCATCCTGCGACCCCCCCCGCGCACCCCCCCCCCCCCCCCGCGCACCTTCACGGGCTCCTCGTGATCCCTCGGATCCCCCGACTGGTTTCCCCGTGCGGTGCACGCGGCAGAGGGGGGCGGCCCTGACCTCGTCTCCACCGATCCCGAAACGCAGTCGAAGGTCCCCGGATATCGCGGGGAAGGGGGGGGGTCACGGGGGATCAGAGGAGGGCCAAGGATGGAGAGAGCACTCACCTCTCTTCCCTCTCCGCTCTTTCTCTCTCCGCGTCTCTTGCTTCTCTCCTCTCTCTCTCCTTTTCCCCGTCTCTCTCCGCCCCCCGCCCCCGCCTGTCTATTCTCTCCGACTCTCTCTCTCTCCCAGCCTCTCTCAGGGGTCGATGTTTTTTTTCCCCGAGGCGTTGAAAACATGAGAGAGAGAAACTTGTGAATTGGGGGACGGGGAGCAGCAAGGTGACAGCTCGGCGCACACAGCAAGCACAGGCGGACAGCACGCACAAGCAGTCAACAGCAGACAGCACACACGGGCAAACAGCCACACAGGCAGTGGCAGCGGACAGCACGCTCAGACAGCCGCACAGGCAGTCACAGCAGACAGCACGCACAGGCAGACAGCACGCACAAGCAGTCAAGGCAGACAGCACGCACAAGCAGACAGCCACACAGCTAGTCAAGGCAGACAGCCACACAGCCAGTCAAGGCAGACAGCACGCACAGGCAGTCAAGGCAGGCAGCCACACAGGCAGTCAAGGCAGACAGCCGCACAGCCAGTCAAGGCAGACAGCCACACAGCCAGTCAAGGCAGACAGCCGCACAGCCAGTCAAGGCAGACAGCACGCACAGGCAGTCAAGGCAGACAGCCGCACAGCCAGTCAAGGCAGACAGCCGCACAGTCAGTCAAGGCAGACAGCCCGCACAGTCAGTCAAGGCAGACAGCCCGCACAGTCAGTCAAGGCAGACAGCACGCACAGTCAGTCAAGGCAGACAGCCCGCACAGTCAGTCAAGGCAGACAACACGCACAGGCAGTCAAGGCAGACAGCCACACAGGCAGTCAAGGCAGACAGCCACACAGGCAGTCAAGGCAGACAGCACGCACAGCCAGTCAAGGCAGACAGCCGCACAGTCAGTCAAGGCAGACAGCACACACAGGCAGTCAAGGCAGACAGCACGCACAGGCAGTCAAGGCAGACAGCCACATAGGCAGTCAAGGCAGGCAGCCACACAGGCAGTCAAGGCAGACAGCAGGCACAGCCAGTCAAGGCAGACAGCAGGCACAGGCAGTCAAGGCAGATAGCCGCACAGCCAGTCAAGGCAGACAGCACACACAGCCAGTCAAGGCAGACAGCCACACAGCCAGTCAAGGCAGACAGCCACACAGCTAGTCAAGGCAGACAGCCACACAGCCAGTCAAGGCAGACAGCCACACAGCTAGTCAAGGCAGACAGCCACACAGCCAGTCAAGGCAGACAGCACGCACAGGCAGTCAAGGCAGGCAGCCACACAGGCAGTCAAGGCAGACAGCACGCACAGCCAGTCAAGGCAGACAGCCACACAGCCAGTCAAGGCAGACAGCACGCACAGCCAGTCAAGGCAGACAGCCACACAGCCAGTCAAGGCAGACAGCCACACAGCCAGTCAAGGCAGACAGCCACACAGCTAGTCAAGGCAGACAGCCACACAGCCAGTCAAGGCAGACAGCCGCACAGTCAGTCAAGGCAGACAGCACGCACAGGCAGTCAAGGCAGACAGCACGCACAGGCAGTCAAGGCAGACAGCCACACAGGCAGTCAAGGCAGACAGTCGCACAGGCAGTCAAGGCAGACAGTCACACAGCCAGTCAAGGCAGACAGCCACACAGCCAGTCAAGGCAGACAGCCACACAGCCAGTCAAGGCAGACAGCCACACAGGCAGTCAAGGCAGACAGCCCGCACAGTCAGTCAAGGCAGACAGCACGCACAGGCAGTCAAGGCAGACAGCCGCACAGCCAGTCAAGGCAGACAGCCGCACAGCCAGTCAAGGCAGACAGCCGCACAGTCAGTCAAGGCAGACAGCACGCACAGGCAGTCAAGGCAGACAGCACGCACAGGCAGTCAAGGCAGACAGCCACACAGGCAGTCAAGGCAGACAGCCACACAGGCAGTCAAGGCAGACAGCCCGCACAGCCAGTCAAGGCAGACAGCACGCAGAGGCAGTCAAGGCAGACAGCCGCACAGCCAGTCAAGGCAGACAGCACGCACAGGCAGTCAAGGCAGACAGCCGCACAGTCAGTCAAGGCAGACAGCACGCACAGGCAGTCAAGGCAGACAGCCCGCACAGCCAGTCAAGGCAGACAGCACGCACAGGCAGTCAAGGCAGACAGCCGCACAGCCAGTCAAGGCAGACAGCCGCACAGTCAGTCAAGGCAGACAGCACGCACAGGCAGTCAAGGCAGACAGCACGCACAGGCAGTCAAGGCAGACAGCCACACAGGCAGTCAAGGCAGACAGCCACACAGGCAGTCAAGGCAGACAGCCACACAGGCAGTCAAGGTAGACAGCACGCACAGGCAGTCAAGGCAGACAGCCACACAGCCAGTCAAGGCAGACAGCACGCACAGGCAGTCAAGGCAGACAGCACGCACAAGCAGACAGCCGCACAGCCAGTCAAGGCAGACAGCACGCACAGGCAGTCAAGGCAGACAGCCACACAGGCAGTCAAGGCAGACAGCCACACAGCCAGTCAAGGCAGACAGCACGCACAGGCAGTCAAGGCAGACAGCACGCACAGGCAGTCAAGGCAGACAGCCACACAGGCAGTCAAGGCAGACAGCCACACAGGCAGTCAAGGCAGACAGCCACACAGGCAGTCAAGGCAGACAGCACGCACAGGCAGTCAAGGCAGACAGCACGCACAGGCAGTCAAGGTAGACAGCCACACAGGCAGTCAAGGCAGACAGCCACACAGGCAGTCAAGGCAGACAGCCACACAGGCAGTCAAGGCAGACAGCCACACAGGCAGTCAAGGCAGACAGCCACACAGCCAGTCAAGGCAGACAGCCGCACAGCCAGTCAAGGCAGACAGCCGCACAGCCAGTCAAGGCAGACAGCCGCACAGGCAGTCAAGGCAGACAGCCGCACAGCCAGTCAAGGCAGGCAGCCACACAGGCAGTCAAGGCAGACAGCCCGCACAGTCAGTCAAGGCAGACAACACGCACAGGCAGTCAAGGCAGACAGCCACACAGGCAGTCAAGGCAGACAGCCACACAGGCAGTCAAGGCAGACAGCACGCACAGCCAGTCAAGGCAGACAGCCGCACAGTCAGTCAAGGCAGACAGCACACACAGGCAGTCAAGGCAGACAGCACGCACAGGCAGTCAAGGCAGACAGCCACATAGGCAGTCAAGGCAGGCAGCCACACAGGCAGTCAAGGCAGACAGCAGGCACAGCCAGTCAAGGCAGACAGCAGGCACAGGCAGTCAAGGCAGATAGCCGCACAGCCAGTCAAGGCAGACAGCACACACAGCCAGTCAAGGCAGACAGCCACACAGCCAGTCAAGGCAGACAGCCACACAGCTAGTCAAGGCAGACAGCCACACAGCCAGTCAAGGCAGACAGCCACACAGCTAGTCAAGGCAGACAGCCACACAGCCAGTCAAGGCAGACAGCACGCACAGGCAGTCAAGGCAGGCAGCCACACAGGCAGTCAAGGCAGACAGCACGCACAGCCAGTCAAGGCAGACAGCCACACAGCCAGTCAAGGCAGACAGCACGCACAGCCAGTCAAGGCAGACAGCCACACAGCCAGTCAAGGCAGACAGCCACACAGCCAGTCAAGGCAGACAGCCACACAGCTAGTCAAGGCAGACAGCCACACAGCCAGTCAAGGCAGACAGCCGCACAGTCAGTCAAGGCAGACAGCACGCACAGGCAGTCAAGGCAGACAGCACGCACAGGCAGTCAAGGCAGACAGCCACACAGGCAGTCAAGGCAGACAGTCGCACAGGCAGTCAAGGCAGACAGTCACACAGCCAGTCAAGGCAGACAGCCACACAGCCAGTCAAGGCAGACAGCCACACAGCCAGTCAAGGCAGACAGCCACACAGGCAGTCAAGGCAGACAGCCCGCACAGTCAGTCAAGGCAGACAGCACGCACAGGCAGTCAAGGCAGACAGCCGCACAGCCAGTCAAGGCAGACAGCCGCACAGTCAGTCAAGGCAGACAGCACGCACAGGCAGTCAAGGCAGACAGCACGCACAGGCAGTCAAGGCAGACAGCCACACAGGCAGTCAAGGCAGACAGCCACACAGGCAGTCAAGGCAGACAGCCCGCACAGCCAGTCAAGGCAGACAGCACGCACAGGCAGTCAAGGCAGACAGCCGCACAGCCAGTCAAGGCAGACAGCACGCACAGGCAGTCAAGGCAGACAGCCGCACAGTCAGTCAAGGCAGACAGCATGCACAGGCAGTCAAGGCAGACAGCCCGCACAGCCAGTCAAGGCAGACAGCACGCACAGGCAGTCAAGGCAGACAGCCGCACAGCCAGTCAAGGCAGACAGCCGCACAGTCAGTCAAGGCAGACAGCACACACAGGCAGTCAAGGCAGACAGCACGCACAGGCAGTCAAGGCAGACAGCCACACAGGCAGTCAAGGCAGACAGCCACACAGGCAGTCAAGGCAGACAGCCACACAGGCAGTCAAGGTAGACAGCACGCACAGGCAGTCAAGGCAGACAGCCACACAGCCAGTCAAGGCAGACAGCACGCACAGGCAGTCAAGGCAGACAGCACGCACAAGCAGACAGCCGCACAGCCAGTCAAGGCAGACAGCACGCACAGGCAGTCAAGGTAGACAGCCACACAGGCAGTCAAGGCAGACAGCCACACAGCCAGTCAAGGCAGACAGCACGCACAGGCAGTCAAGGCAGACAGCACGCACAGGCAGTCAAGGCAGACAGCCACACAGGCAGTCAAGGCAGACAGCCACACAGGCAGTCAAGGCAGACAGCCACACAGGCAGTCAAGGCAGACAGCACGCACAGGCAGTCAAGGCAGACAGCACGCACAGGCAGTCAAGGTAGACAGCCACACAGGCAGTCAAGGCAGACAGCCACACAGGCAGTCAAGGCAGACAGCCACACAGGCAGTCAAGGCAGACAGCCGCACAGGCAGTCAAGGCAGACAGCCACACAGCCAGTCAAGGCAGACAGCCACACAGCCAGTCAAGGCAGACAGCTGCACAGCCAGTCAAGGCAGACAGCCGCACAGCCAGTCAAGGCAGACAGCCGCACAGCCAGTCAAGGCAGGCAGCCACACAGGCAGTCAAGGCAGACAGCACGCACAGGCAGTCAAGGCAGACAGCCACACAGGCAGTCAAGGCAGACAGCCACACAGGCAGTCAAGGCAGACAGCCACACAGGCAGTCAAGGCAGACAGCACGCACAGCCAGTCAAGGCAGACAGCCGCACAGTCAGTCAAGGCAGACAGCACACACAGGCAGTCAAGGCAGACAGCCACACAGGCAGTCAAGGCAGACAGTACGCACAGGCAGTCAAGGCAGACAGCCACACAGGCAGTCAAGGCAGACAGCACGCACAGGCAGTCAAGGCAGACAGCACGCACAGGCAGTCAAGGCAGACAGCCACACAGGCAGTCAAGGCAGACAGCCACACAGGCAGTCAAGGCAGACAGCACGCACAGGCAGTCAAGGTAGACAGCCACACAGGCAGTCAAGGCAGACAGCCACACAGCCAGTCAAGGCAGGCAGCAGGCACAACTGAAGTGCCTAGCAATGGACGCGCGGCCCCGACACCCCGAGAGTCGACCCCTCAATGACCCCCGTTTCCTCCATCCCTGAACCTCACGGAGAATGGGAACCTCACGGTCCACCTCACCCCCGATCCCCTCTTCTCTGAACCACATCGCCACCACCACATATCAGCGACTGGGGGGCTCCTGGCGTATCGAGGATGATGTAACGAGGATGGAGAGCGTCTAAGGTGTATTTTAAATCACAGTTGCCGAGCACAGGTGCCCAATGGCCCAGGACGTTAAGCGGCCAGAAGGAATAAGCCGAGGCGAGAGAGAAGTGCGGTGACCTGCAGCGTGGCGAGTGAGCGGGTGAGAGGTTTATCTAGCGAGTGGGTTAACGATTGGGTGAGTGAGATGCTATTGTGGAGCCCTCAACATGGGTATAGGAATCAATAAGTTAACGGGAACAGTAACCATGGTATAACGAAACAAGTGGGTGCATAAATGACTGAGTGAGCGAGCGGGTGAGTGGACGAGCGGGGAGCGGTTGTAAAAGTGAGTGACCGGATGAGTAGGAGAGTGGTGTTGTTGTGGCTTGAAGTATGGTGGTTAAAGAGTATGGGATGAGACGAAACGGTGAGAATGACTACTTTGGTAATCATCACCATCATCTGCACTGCCACACGATTGGTGAGGTGGGTTTAAGGTTTTATGCTGTACCGACAGTGCACCATGAATGTCACGTGATTGACGTTCATTTATTAAATACCTTTAAATTCATCCAAAAAACCCCACACAAAAGTATCCCGTGTAGCCCACACAGGCTGTTGAGGCAAGTGCTGTTAGCGAGCACATATGAAGGCCGGAACAGCACACAAGGGGGTAGTGCGGCCTGAACGACGTCCGACCGCCTTTGTCTCCCCTGTGCTGATGTTTACACATCCCAACCAGGTACAGGACTCATTTAAGGCCGAGTCAATCCTAGGCAAGGCCCAGAACCGGTTCAGATATTCGTCAGTTGGCCGAGAGAGCAGGAGTCGAACTCGGGCTTCTGGGTTCGTAGCGCAGTGCAGCGCTAACCCGCTGCGCCACTGCTCTCCACATACGCGCCCAAAAAACACCCAGTGCACGCCGACCCCTGTGATGAGGGGACAGCAGAGGTTCCACACTCCAGGCTTGACTACCCACCCTGCGTCTTCTAATCCCCATCCAAATGGCGTTACACGCTGCACGCACCTGATTATTGCTAAATTCGTCCCCTGGTGACGGAAAGCGGGACCTTTAATTGAGCTTACCCCACGTCACGTGGTACATGTGCATAAAGACAAAGGTCCACGGTGTAGCCTACAAACTGGAAGCAAGTGGTGTGGAGTGAGCAGCTTGCCACGTCGGGTTCTTCTTTAAATCCGGGTCGAACTAGGGGAAGCCCAGGACCAGTTCAGATACCACTCACCACTGATGTTGGCTGTGAGCAGGAATCGAACTCACTAATTTGACCAGTTTTAGTAGCGCAGTTCGCTAACCGCTGCGCTACCACTCCCCCCACTGTGTGCGTGTACGCTGACAGATGTGCACGCAACGGGATATTATCTTAATACAACCGAAGCAGTTACACACTGCGCACGCCTAATGATTGCTAAACACATCCTGATGCCAGTCCGCACTCTAACGCCACGTAGAACAAGTTTAACAACTCTCCGGCCGTGCAGCATGTGTGTGCTTACCAAAACAGCCTGCATTCGAATGAAAAACTCAACGCGTTGTGTGTCAATAACACGGTGGCTTTAAAGGTCAAATATATACAATAGGCAACGTTTTGGGAAATGGCCCTTCATTGCTCAAAACGTTACCTGCTGAATGCGTTCCATGAAAGCCACACATGCGCCCGCGGTCTTATTGACAGGGAACGTGTTGGGCTGGCTCGGCTTGTGCACCACTGCTCGGGCAGCAGCAGCAGCGTTGTCTGAACGGAGATCGGTGACAACTGGCGACTGGGAAACACCGGTCATGAATTGCCCGAGACACACCAATTGCACCCCCCCCCCATTCCCCCCCACCAAATCACAACCCACAGGGACAAACCCCAAAATCAGAATTAATCACGCAGCGCAGGACGGAATCCCTCGTCAGCTCCACGTAGTCTGACAATGAGGTGTGGGGGCCAAGGCTCCCCCCTCCCCACCTCCTCGCTTCTCACTGCAGTCCTTGTGCCTAAAGCAAATCGACCTACATCCACCCGTATCCAACTCTCAATACAAAATCACACTGGAGCACTCGGCTCGAGGCAAACGGCCACCCCGCCCTGCCCCCCCGGAAGATGGAGGGGTCACGCGAGGTCAAAGTTAATCAAGTGAAGTTGGGAACACAAGAACTTCCCCGCAGCCGAGAGCCGGAGACAAGATTAAATTTCCTGAGCTGAGTTGCACCTGAAATGCCTGAGCGTAGTGCACCGCACTCAACAGGAGCCCCGCACTCGCTAGAGAGCACCACTCAGGGGCTCCGCACTCGCTCGAAACACCGCACTCAGCAGATGCACCGCACTTGCTAGAGGGTGCGGTGTCGCAGTATTGAAGGTGAGGACCCCTCTCTTAGGGCACACTCACAGTGCACATCGAGTCCAGTCCAATCCACACTCCTCCACTCCACAACCTAGTCTCATCAACACTCCTCACTCCTCCATTTCAGTCCGATTCACGCTCGGGAATCCAATCCACAATTTTCCCATCTGCTAGAGGGAGTCTCAGTCGCCTGATATTAGGGCGCTGGAGTCCGCAAAGTGAAGGAGGCTCCAGTCCCTGGGACTGTGCTCAGCTGAAAGATGCGTCCCCTGGAGCCATGAGTCCATGGCAGCTATGCAGTGGAGAGGAACTGAGCGTGCACACGGATGTGCGTGTGGTGTGTCTAGTCACTCCAGTGTTTTTGTGTATATAGTGTGTGGTGTATTTCTATGTGTGATGTGTGTGTGTGTATATATAGTGTCTGGTGTATGTGTGTCATGTATGTGCATGAGTGTGGGGTGCATATATGGACTGTGTGTTAATGGGAGTGGTATGCGAGGCATGCGAGTGTGAGGTGTATAAATGCACTGCCTTCTGTGAGTGCTGGCGGGTATACACAAACAATCGCTGCGCACACACACACCACACATGCACACACACGCACACACATGCGTGCACACATGTGCAGAGTCCAAGCCTGTTCCCATTAGGTCACAGGAGTGAGGACAATTCCACGGCCATCGCCATCGAGTACCAGGATGGGCGTGGGAGGTGAGCCTAGGTGAGCCTAGGTGAGTTCTGCTGAGCTGCGAGAGTCCACGAATAAGCATGCGCTCCAACAGGTCATTCCGGTGCAATTTGTTTCCATTTGATTTTGTCGAGCGTGTGATCCGATCCGATGCGGTCCGGTAGTCGTGTGTGTTACGATCCGATGCGGTCCGGTAGTAGTGTGCGATCCGATACGGGTGTTGACACCTCCCGCACAGACGATCCAGTTAGAAAAATGTAAAACGCGCGGTGTTAGCGCTGCCCCTCGGTCCCTTTGTCCTCCCGGCCTCACACCGCACCATAGCGACCCGCCGGCATCACGCCGGCGCTCACGGCGTGCCGGGATCGGCCGGCCGCGCTGCCCCGGCCAGCGAGCCCCGTGCCGCGGGGTGAGCCCTGGCAAGCGCCACCCTCGCCGTCGCCAGCTCCATGGGCCGCAGCACCAGCTCGTGCACGGGCTCGACGCCGCGCTCCTCTGCCGCCGCCGGGTCCTCGACGCCGACGCCCGGCACTGGCGCCGGGTAGAGCAGCGTGAGGGAGGCGGGCGCCGCTTTGATGAAGGTCAGGTCACGGAAGACTGAGGAGAGGTTGAGCTGAGGCGGAGACGGGGGGTGAGAGAAAGGGAGTGAGCTGGAGGGTCCATGCAGGTGGCCGCGAGTGCGCGCGTGCGTGCGCGAGCGTACACGCCAAGCGAACGCAAGCACGCTCAGATACACACCTACACACTTGCAGCTCTGTTACCAGGACGACCGCAGCCCAAGACCGTCAGCAGTGGTGGCAGTCACAGAACATCGATCCTGCATCATGGCCCAAACTCACACGTGACTAGAGAATGTGGATGTGGAATACTAAGATAGGCCATGAGGACATTTTGAGTGTGGGTGCTGCGCAAGAGATTGCCCTGAAACCAGTCTGAGTTCGCAATTCAGGAACGGTCATCGGGCAATCAGAGGTTCACTGAATGCATCTTGGGCTTTATAACTGATGGAGAATGTTGTTGAAACACCGAGCTTATCTGGCTGTCAGAACTTTGCACACGAAGACCGCCCAGAGTAGATCTTTATGCAACTCCAGCGAGGCTGGATTAGCTTTAGGGTAAAGATAACAGTAATAAGTCTACAAGGGGCATCTAGAGCAAATCTTAAGAGCACACACACAGCATAGACAGCTCACACAAATACAAACACATGACGCAGATCACACAAACGCTTGAACACACATGGATACAAGCGTACGCACCACATAGACAACATGCAGACACGTGACATACATACACATTCACATGTACCACACATGCATTCAGACATATCCATGCATCCAAGCATAATACACACGACGCAGCATACATACACACACCTTTCCCCCTGTCCTGTTGCAGTTGAGCAGGTAGTGGGTTGGCTCCAGCCAGCAGTCGTAACCCCGGCGATGCAGAATCAGAGCCATGTCTTCAGAGGGTCCCCCTCCCTCCTGCACACACAAAGCAAAGACAAAGACCCCCTGTATAGCCTTAGCAGACTTTTGAGGCAAGTGCTGTTAGTGAGAACCTATGCAGGCCGGGATGGCACACGTGGGGGTGGGTGGCCAGCAGCATGCCCGGTCGCCTTTGTGATGTCGCCACCACTCGGTGGTGAGTGGCGGCTGCTGGTTCCGCTGTGTGTACACGCACCGTGGCCTGCAGGGTGCGCAGGTTGAGGAGGTAGAGGTCGCAGGGCAGTGGGGTGGCGAGCGGCGTCAGCTGGGCGAGCGGAGCGGCTGAACCCCGCGGCGCCGGCTCTCCCAGCAGCAGCAGCGCAGGGTGGTTGAGGACGTCCGACGTCACGTGACCCAGCAGGGAAAGGGAACCGCCCTGCAGGCGCCGAGCAGTCAGCACGCAGAGACGCACGCATGCACCGAATGGATACACGGGTATATACACGCACAAAGATAAAATATCCCCCGAGGTAGCCTTAACAGACTCGAGGGGCAAGTGCTTTTAGCGAGCACCTATGAAGGCCGGAATGGTACACGAGGGGATGGGTGGCCAGAAACACGCCCGACCGCCTTTGTCTCCCCAGTGGCGATGTTTACACACCGCACCAGGTACTCATTTGAGGCGGAGTCGACCTAGGGGAGTCCAAATAATTGTCACTGGTGTTGACCGTTAGCAGGAATCGAATCCGAGTTGCCAGGTTCATAGCGCAGAGTGCTAACCGCTACACTACCACTCCACACAACATACAGGCACACACAGAGACGCACACACGGAGACGACCACATAGAGATGAATAGACACTTGCACAGAAACACATGGGTGTCTACAAAGACAAAATCTTCCACATGTCCTTAAAAGACTGTTTGTGCAAGTAAGGTGAGCGAGTGCCTATGAAGGCCGGAATGGTACATGAGGGTCTAGGTGTGGCCAATGACATGCCCCGGCCGCCTGTCTCCTCAATGTCGCACCAGGTATTGATTTTAGGCTGAGTCGACCTAGGGGAGGCCCAGTACTGGTTCAGATATTCAAAATCGATATTGTCTGTAAGCACGAATCAAACTCGGGTCACGGGCTCGTAGCGTAATGCACTAAACACTGTACCACTGCTCCCCACACCATAACACACGCATGCACGCACGCACGTGTCCCACGCGCCGCCCCCGGTACCGAGTCATGCCGCGAGCGCCGCTCGGGCAGCAGGCGGAAGCGTGAAAGTGTCGGCTTGTTGTCCTTGATGCCTTGGCCCAGGCCCCGGTTGTCATCTTGCATAAGGCGGCGATCCAGGAACACCTGCAGCTCCCCTACATGGGGGCAGACACACGGCGCCCCAGCAGAAGTGCGTTTGCTGCTCACTGTTGCGGAGGTCCGCGGCCCGCATCCAGCAGGCCAGCCTGGTGAATCCTGCGGTGGTTATTGACCGTTACAATTCGCGGTGGCCATGAACGATCGCCAAGACCTTTGTGGGAAAAACTGTGGCGCCTTACCATTTCTACTTGCGTGCTTTTCCCTGCAGTTTACATGGATGACGTTAGATATACCTCTATATATCTATCTCTCTCTCTCTATATATTATTATTATTTTGATCATGAAATTCCTAGCACTCCTCTTGTCATTGCAGCATCAGCACGCACCTGGTCGCATGCCGGCCACGCCAAGGGCCTGCGCTGACAGGAGCGAGAGGCGCCGCTCGGGGTCCTGCAGCACGGCGGCGCTCGTCATCTGATACACGTTCGCCTGCAGCGGGAGCTTTTTCCAGAAGCGGCGCCGCTGCATCTGGGGTGTCACCGAGAGAGGGGGTGCTGGTGAGTGACGGTGCGCGTGTGTGGCTGAGGATAGCAGTCGCCTTCCAACAACAGCGGCGGGCAGAGCGGCGACGATGACAACAAAGAGTGGAGCGCCGGGCGGCTAAAACGCAGCAAGGTCGCGCAGTGGAGTGTACAGGCAGTGCATCTGCCAGTCATCTCAGTCAGTCAATGCATGGCACTTGGGTCTATCCTATGACCTCCACACTTCGTATGGCCTCAAAGTGCACCTCGCCTGCCACAAGCACTGTGGTGATGTCGGTGGCACTTTGTGGCGAATAGCGACCATTGTTGCGTGAGCGTGTGTGCATGCCTATGTGCGTGAGTGCGCGTGTGGAGGATGTGGAGCTAGGTGGACTTGCCGATGACTGGTACCAGCGGTGTCAAGATCGGCCTCTGTGGAGGAGGCTCGTGAAGGACGCTACTGGGCAGTTGGAGGCAGTCGCCCTCCAACAACAACAGAGGGCGGAGGAGTGACGCTCACAACATAGTAGGGGCACAGGTGGTGCATCAGCCAGTCATCTCGGTCATCTCAGTCAGTCGACCCGTGGCAACTGGGTCTGCCCCGTGACCTCCTGCCAGTGGGCGTTCGACACTTCACGTGGCCTCAAGGTGCACATGGCCTGGCACAAGCGTCGTGGTGATGTCACCGCCACTTAGTGGCAAATGGCGGTTGTTGTTGTTGTGAGCGTGTGACACCTGGAACCCGTTGAGGTCCGTGTAGAAGATGTCCTGGTTCTGCAGGTCGGTTGTGAGCACCATAACCAGCTCGTGGTTGACCTCGGAGTGAATGTCCACCACGTTGGTGACCTCCAGCGAGAGCCCCTCCACCCCTACCACACCACACGACCACTGTCACGACCACGGTGATATTTCCATCCGTGTCGCAAGCCACCGTTAAACCGGAGATGGTTATGTTATTTTAATAGTCTTAGTTTCTGACAGCACCGAGCGCTCACCCCCCAACCCCACCCCTTCCCCCCCTGCCCCCTTCCAAGCCCCGCCCCAGACTCCTGAGCCGCACAGTGCTCACCGGGGAGGTTGTAGAGCCGCACGGTGTGCGTGACGTGCGGGAGGTACGACGTCACCTCGGAAAAGAGCGGCCCCTCGGCGAGCCGCACCACGGGCTCCACCTCGGTCTCATACGGCTGGGGGAGCGGAAGCGGAGACATGGTGGTGTTCGATGGTCATGTCGATGGTGGTGGTGTTTAGTGGTAGTGGTGTTAATGGTGGTCTTTGTGGTGGTGGCGGTGGTGGTTCTAATAGTGGTGGCAGTGGTTGAAAGCTATGGTAAATGTAGTGGTGGTGGTAGCAGTGGCATTAGCGTTTGTAGCGATGGTAGTGGTGGTAGTTGCCGTGTGTGTTTGGAGAGGCACCTTGGCGTCCCCGTCGGGCAGGAAGAGGTACGCTCCGCTTTTGTCGCGCGCTCCGCGCGTGCCATACCAGGCTAGGTCCACGTGCACTGCCTGCTCTTGCGTGGCCCCACACAGCCGCACACCCTGCGCAAACCAAAACGACCGCCACTGCCATTCACGATCGAGAGGTGCCAGACACACACAGACGCACATGTTGTGACTGGCATTGTGGCCCACGCTGTGGCCAGGGTGACGGCCCCCGTTGAGGTCAATGGAGGCGCTCACCTGCAGGAAGCCCTTGGGGCCGCCGAAGCGAAGCGTGGCGTGCATGTTGTGGATGCTGAGGCCGCTGGGCGGTGGGGCCGCCCTCACGTCCACGCCGAGCAGGCCACCCCTCTGTGGGCCACGCCCGGGGGCCACCCCGAACAGCGTGGTGTTGGCCAGCACCGTCACGCGTGGGTCCGACGCCTCCCACAGTTCAAAGGTCACCAGGGCCAGGGGCGGCAGCCGGACGAGGAACGAGAGCTGGGGGTGTGGGAGGGCGAAGGGGGCCGTGGTCAGTGGTGGGGCGCGTGCGCGCAAGAGGCTGTGCGTGAGAAGTTGTCGTTGAGTATGCGCTGTGGAGTGGGTGGTGTCTGCGTGTGCGAGTGTGCATGCGTGGTGTAAACATGGCCACGAGGGAGACAACCATGGTGACGTAACTACCACTTAGTGGTGAATGGCGGCGGCGGTTGTTGTTGTGCGGATCACCTGATACGTGTCAGGCACCGTGTCAGCGTCCGCCGTCCACACCGGGCCGATCTGCGCGAGTACGGCGCGGCCGTCCAGGTGACGCACGCGTGCGCGCTGGGTACTAACGTGCACGCACACTACACACACACGCTCCTGTGCCAGCGTGTTGTACACCACCACCGGCCTGCCGCACACACACACACATACCTCCGTGAAGCCTCAAAGAGACCCCAATGAGCAGCTCTGTTATAAGGACAACCACAGCCCTATGACAAGCTGCTGGGCCAAGTGCCATTAGTGAGCACCAATGAAGGTAGCCATGGCACATGAGGGAGTGGTGCAGCCAACACTATGCCCGGCCGTCTCCGTCTCCCCGATGTTGATGTTGACAGACCACACAAGCTACGCATTTAAGGCTGAGTCGACCTTGGGGAAGACTGGGACCGGTTGAGATATTCATAATCGATGTTGCCGGGTTTGTAGCCCAGTGCGCGAACCACTACACTACCCTCCCCACACAGATGAGCACACACACATTCAGGCATGCACGCATGCATGCACACATAAACACATCTGCTTACGGGTACACTCGTGCACGCATGCACACCACCCGCTTGGTTGACTGACAATGACCCCAGTGTCCCACGACCCCCACCTCACACCACATCAAACATGACATTGTCCAACACAAACATTCTCTATCCCCGTGCACTGCATGTGGGGGACTTTGTAGATTATTGTTCCACGGCCTATTTACCCAGGAAAGACATTTTTGCTGAAGTGCGGATTGTCGTGTGGACTTTTTTGTATACAGTTGCTGAGAACAGGGGCCCCAAGGCCAAAACGTTGAGAGGCCACAACAACAAACAGCACTACTATTGAAGTTGTAACAGATAAGACTGTAACACGTATTTTTTTTTTATCGAGCGAGGTTATGACGATGAGAGCTTGGTGGAGAGAGAGACGATGATGGGAGGAAGGAATTCCACAGTGGAGCAGTGCGAGAGAAGAAATAGACAGAAGTGAAGTAACCTGCAGTGTGGTGAGAGGGTCGGTGAGATGAAACAGTCTGTGTAAAGGTGGACAATAACTCTGGTGGTATCTGGTGAGGTGCTGTCATAGCCATGGCCAACCAGGTGCTGGTCCTCAAAGCAGAATGGTCATAAGTTGTGTTTTTGATCGAGCTGCCCGCCTGTACACCGGGGCATCTCATCATCTCAATACACCTCAAAGGGTACCCCAAGTGGCAGCTGTTTCTGTGGGCACAAGGTGACTTAGCACCTGGCCTGCAAACAGGCAATAGTCTGCCAGTAGGGGGTGACGATTGCTGCTGCTGCTGCTGCTGCTGCTGTTGTGTGTAGTCCCAATTAAGTAAACTGCAGTGTAAATTTTCGAATTCTCCAAATTCGGATCCTGACGCCGGCACACAATGGGCTACTCTTTTGAACGACGTCAGGGCATCTTTTCCGTCCACTTTGAAGTGGATGGCGCGTAGTATTACGATGAACATTACACCCGCAGTAATAAACAGGGCAGCTGCCGGATTCGAACCGTGACCCTCCGTGATAAGCGACGAACGCGCTGCCGCCAAGCCGCGTCGCCGTCCTCAGCATGGCATGGACAAGACGGCGTCTTTTTGGCAGAATTAATGAGTCAATTATCAGCCTCCCAAATCAATACCAGCACCACCAATCAATACCACGTTGAGGTCTACCAGACTGACTGTTTCGTCTCATTCATACTGTGTTCAACCACCACACAGCAGCACACTCACTCAGCAACTAATTCATTCACTCACTCATTTACTCACCCACTCACTCACTCGCTCACGCTCGGACGGACGCATGCGCGCACGGACGCATGCGCGCACGGAGAGGTGGAAACCATCACCTGGGTGTGGAGGAGAGGGCTATGAGCACCTTGCCTGGCAGGGAATCCTGATTAGGCCTGAATTCATCCTGCAATCGCACACACACAAAGACAAAGATATCCTGTATAGCCTTTAACAAACAGGGCAAGTGGCGTTTGCAAGCACCAATGAACGCCAACATGGCACATGAGGGGGTCATGTGGCCAGCACCACGCCCGGCCGCATTTGTCTCCCCAGTGATGAGTTTTTTACACACTGTACCAGGTTGACCAAGGGGAGTCCCAGGAATGATGTTGGCCATAAGCGGGAATCTAACTCATGTTGCCGGGTTCACAGCGCAGTGCGCTAACCACTGCGCTAACGCTCTCCATATCGGCACACTCACACATGCACCCCCTCTCTCCCCCCAGGCAGGAGCCAGTCACAGATGCTCGCGGGGGCCGAGGGAGGGGGTGAACAGATGTTCGCGTGTGCGAACGGGAATCTGTGCTCACAGGCGAGCGAGTTGAGTGAGTAAGTGCACGAGTGGGCGAGTGAAAAAGCGGATGAGAGAGCAGGTGTGTGACTGAGCAAGTTTAGTGAGTGAGTTGGTGAGTGAGAGTGTGGGCAAGTGGGTTAGTGCGAGAATTCGTGAGAAGGTGAGTGTCGGTGAGTGTCCTGTTGAGATCTGCAGTCAGTGTCTTCAACACGGGTGGAGGAATCAATGAGTGAAGTTCACGGGAACAAAAATTACAACGATGTTAGTAGCGATAGCAGAGTGATAAGGAGGCCACTGACTGCCGGTAAGCGAGTGAAAGGAGTGAATCGGTGAGTGCTGGACAATCAATCGCGTGTGCGTTCGTGCACGTGTGTGTGTCTGCCATTCATCTCAGTCAACCAGTAAAACCTGGGTCGCAGTAGCGAGATGTTTACTACCTCGCCTTGTTTGGAGGAGGTTGTGGGTTCGATCCTGACCCTGACACCTGTATATTTGAAGTTTGCATGTCTCTCTCTCTCTCCCTGTGGTCGCGTGGATTTTTCTCTGGGTCTTCCGGTGTTTCCCTCCACATTTCGAATCAAAATGTGTTTAGCGTATTTGGCTGCTATTAATTTATCCACGATAATCCACTTTTTTTTTCTTCTTCTTGGTTCTTTCGGTAAAGTCACGTAGAAGGGAAGTAATAAAATAATAAAAATAAAACATAATAAAATAATTCTCACGACGTTTCGGCCACAACGCAAGCAGCCGTCCTCAGGTGAAGAACATGTCTGTCGATAAGACAGAGTCTAAAAGATAATCCACTTTGTTGAGCTATCATTTGTAACCAGGTCGCTTGTGAAAATAGCTATATAGCTCGGTGGCCTTACCTGGTAAAATAAAACGCTTAGTTTAGTTTCGTGTCTGTCGCATAACCTCCTGCCAGCAGCGAGAGGCTTACACACTTCACGGGATGGCCTCATATCGTGCACCTAGCCTCACACTTCACGCCATGGTGAAGTCACCGCCACTGATGAGTGAATGACGGTGGTTGTTGTTGTTGTGGTGGTGTGCGTCTTTGTGTGCCTGCATCACCAGAACAAGAGGGACGGAGGCTCCGCTGGTCCCCTCGGCCCCCTCGGCCCCCTCGGCGAGCAGGAACACGGCGGCGTCCGAGATGACACCATTGAGGTCGTTCAGGGCCTGGTGCAGCCTGTGGGAGGAGGAACGGCCCCGTTGGCGAGAAGCGCAGTGCAAGGTCAGCCTCAACACCCTCACCCGCGCTCACCCGCCCGTCCGGTCTCACCAACCCTCCCGGTCTCAACCCACTGCACCCGGCCATCTCCACCCCATCCTGCCCGTTGTGCCGTACCCCACACTGGCTTCCGGCCACACTTGTCTGATCCCAACCACCCATACACCCATCCTGCTCATCTGCCCACCTAGCGCTGGCCACACCTAGTCCACCCGCCCACCTGGGCCACAACTATCCACTTGCCCACCTATTCAGCCACATCTGCCCACCCGCCTGGCCCCACCGATTTCCATAGTCGAGGACGACGGGGTCCTTGGAGGTGCCGGTGATCGCGTCGTGGTGCTGAAAGAGGCCCAGGTTCCGTCGAGCCCCGACCAGACGCCGCATTCCGTCGTGGGCCCATGGGGGGGGTGCCACCGCGGGGGCTCCCACGGGGCCCCCGCGCGCGTACGACAGCGCCAGCGAGTAGGCAATCTCCGCCGCTCTGCACGCACAAAGACAAAGGTCCCCGGTGGAGCCTCGACAAAACCGTCGGGGCAAGTGCTGTTAGCAAGCACCTATGAAGGCCGGCACGATGCACAAGGAGGCAGCGTGGCACCACGACCGACCTTTTTGTATCCCCGGTGCTGATGTTGACACACCACAGGAGGTACTAGTTTAAGGCAGCGTCGACTGAGGGGAGTCACAGGTCTAGCTCAGATATTCATCGCTGATGTTGGCCGTAACCAGGAACTGAACTCAGGTTACTGGGTTCGTAGCGCAGCACGCTCGTGACACACTTCACCTGTCGTATTGTCCGTGCCTTCTGTGTGGGAGTAGCGCTATGGGCAGTGATCAGTGAAATGATGAACAGATGGCACTGCACCATATTCACCAGACTCTGAAGACAGGAGGCATCGAAGAAGTCAAATCTGTCTTTACCTCTGAACAATTACCACTGCTGCTACACAAACGACACAAAATTTTGCCCAAGTTGGAATCTTGCCATTGCTGCTGTCACATCTGGGCTGAAGCACCCAGTCCTACCTCACTGCTGCAGTGGATAGAAGTCAAAGTCAGGGTGACTGATGATTCAGCATTCATCTATTCACTCCAGTCACCTGCTCACCGACAGTCACTACCTTATCACTCTTATATTGGAGGTATTTTGAACTTCTTTGGCACCGCACGTAGCGACCCGTGATAATCAGAGGTTCTACTACCATAGTTACTGTTCAGGGCTTCCAGATTGAAAGTCAAAACAACAACTAACTCACCAGACTGACGTGTCTCATCCATACTGTGCAGTAGGCCTCGGCAAGGTAAGGTAAAAGTTAAAAGGAAAAAAGCAACGAGCCTACCTTTTACCCCACCTTTTACCCTTACCCCATACAAATTACCCGATTACAGGGTAATTACTGGGGAACTACGACATGAAAAAGGCTTATAACGGTAAATACTAGGTAGAGCGCTTTATTCATATAGAATACTCTCGATGATTCCAATTTTACACGCTTTCTTTGAACTGACTGTCTGTTCTATGGGGACCTCATTTGCCAGTAAAAATATGATAATTGGTTCTTTACCCTTCTATCTGGCAACAAAACTGACACCTTTTTGCAAGGAGTCATGTTTGCATAGACCGCAATACCTGCAGTCATAAATACAAACAAAAGACATAACTCTGATAATGTGCACTGTCCTTGAAGTTGATTGGTCCACACCCGAGACAGCTTTCCTTCGAGCCTAGTCTCATATGGGTTGGACCAGATGACGCCAAAAGGCGCACAACTCAAGGACAATGCACCATCAGAGTATGAGAGCTCGGGGCAAGCATCTACACTATGGGGACCTCATTTGCCAGTAAAAATATGATAATTGGTTCTTTACCCTTCTATCTGGCAACAAAACTGACACCTTTTTGCAAGGAGTCATGTTTGCATAGACCGCAATACCTGCAGTCATAAATACAAACAAAAGACATAACTCTGATAATGTGCACTGTCCTTGAAGTTGATTGGTCCACACCCGAGACAGCTTTCCTTCGAGCCTAGTCTCATATGGGTTGGACCAGATGACGCCAAAAGGCGCACAACTCAAGGACAATGCACCATCAGAGTATGAGAGCTCGGGGCAAGCATCTACACTATGGGGACCTCATTTGCCAGTAAAAATACAATTATCATATTTTTACTGGCAAATGAGGTCCCCATAGTGTAGATGCTTGCCCCGAGCTCTCATACTCTGATGGTGCATTGTCCTTGAGTTGTGCGCCTTTTGGCGTCATCTGGTCCAACCCATATGAGACTAGGCTCGAAGGAAAGCTGTCTCGGGTGTGGACCAATCAACTTCAAGGACAGTGCACATTATCAGAGTTATGTCTTTTGTTTGTATTTATGACTGCAGGTACTGCGGTCTATGCAAACATGACTCCTTGCAAAAAGGTGTCAGTTTTGTTGCCAGATAGAAGGGTAAAGAACCAATTATCATGACTGTCTGTTGTTGTCGTTATTGTTGTTGTTGTCGTTGTTGTCATTGTTGTCGTTGTTGTCATTGTTGTCGTCGCTGTCATATCCTCAAATCTTGTAACTCAATTTTAACCCACTTCCTAATGTGGTATCGACTGCAAACTTGGTATACGTATGTCATAATGGTGACAATACTATATTATATCACTAAAAAAATACATATTTTTAAACGATCTTTTGTATACGTTATGTTTTGGCTTGGCTCTAATTGTCCACGCTCAACTGACGTTGGCTGTAAATCACCACGGCCCCTTACGTTATGGCAAGACTCGGGGCCACTTCCTGGAGTTGTGGAGTTCTGCCATTACTAGTAACATTTCATAAAAGCGTGTTTGTTAAAAATATTACTTATTAAATGGAGGCCACGGAATCCGCCACGGAGCTTCTAGCGGTAAACAAGGTACCGTATTTACCGGGTAATACTTCGCGCTATCTTTACCCTACCGGATAATTCTTCCGAGCTACCTTTACCCGACCTTTTACCTTTCCCCTTGGCATGTCGACACCATTACCCTTTTACCCGGTAAAAAGGGTCATTTACCTTACCTTGCCGAGGCCTACTGTGCAGGTTACAACAACACACTCACTCCCCCACCCGCTCACTGACTCACCGACTCCACCACTGCCCCACTCATATTTACTTACCCACTCACCCACCCACCCACTCATTCACTCCCTCACTCACTCACCCACAAACTCACTCACTTGCACACCACACTGCCGATAACCTAACCTCTTCCCCTTGCTTAAATTAAGTTATGTATTTACTCTTAACTCTGACAGTGCTGTTTGTTGCTGGCCACTTGAACTTTTGGGCCTTTGAGGCTGTGTTCTGCAAGCATGGCTAAACAAAAACAACCAACGAGGTGGTCCTCGTTCGTTCCCCATTTGTGAACGTAAATAACTGCGCCCGCTCAGAACCGTGGCTCGAGGGGCTGTAAGCTGTGGAGGGGCAAGCGGGGGGGTGGGGGGTTACCGGAGCCGCGCCTCCACGAGGCGGTCCAGGTGCTTGTAGAACGGCCGCGTGGTGTAGAAGCCGGTCCAGTAGTGGTCGTCGCGGTCGGCGTACGAGAAGAAGTCGCCACTCAGCACTGGCAGCGCCGGGGCGGCCGGAGGGCCCAGCCGGGCAGCCCGCATTGCATCGAAATACTCGGAGAGCGTCCCAAACTGAGCCTGCGGTGGCGTACGGATATATAGGGGGAAGGGGATAGGTGAGCGAGTGGATAGGTGAGTGAGTGGATGGGAAGCGACTGAGAGGATAAGCGAATAAGGTAGTGAGCGAATGAATGGATGGATGAGCGAATGAGCGAGGGGATGGATAACTGACAAGAGAGTGGATGAGTGAATGAGTGAATGAAATGATGAGCGAGTCAGTAGAATAATGCGTGAATGAGCAACCTCAACTGGATGAATGTGTGTGTGTGCACGGGCGACGGCGTGGTGAGTGCGCGAGCGGATGGGCAGGTGACGCACTCGCGCGTGTAGCTCGGGGTGAGTGTTGATGTAGTCGAAGAGGCGCTGGTAGTTGTGGAACTGCTGGTCCCACTCCTGCGCCGTGTCGTAGCGGAAGTCATCGCCCAGGGGAACGAGCAGCACGGGCGAGCGGAAAAGGCGCGACTTCTTGCGGTACTGATCGAGCAGCAACCGGGCCCTGCAGCACAGGGACAGAGGGACACATGGAGACGGAGACAAGGGGACACACGGGGGGGACACGCGGAGGGGGGACACAAGGAGAGGACACAAGGGGACGATAGAATACGTGCACGGGAGAAATGGGAAATGCCGCATGGAGACACACGGATGATGAAGGCACAGCCACGACCTTGCAGAGGTTCACAGTTCAAACCAAGTGACCGCTCTGATTAATACTGCGATGTGTATTAACTGTAAAATACAACACGCGATCTGCTTCACTCACAGCGGACGTTAAAGATTCCGAGACGGTCTACTCTTGCGAATGACATCTGCATGCCAGCATCATAGCTCAACTTGATCCGAATCAATTAGCATTACACATGCACTAGCAATCGTCGCCCCTCCTGCAAAAACTTGGGTAGGGTGGAACACATGGGGTGGCACACGCGGTGGGTAGGGTGGAGCGTGTGGGGTGGGACACGCGGTGGGTAGGGTGGAGCAAGTGGGGTGGGACACGCGGTGGGTAGGGTGGAGCGTGTGGGGTGGGACACGCGGTGGGTAGGGTGGAGCGAGTGGGGTGGGACACGCGGTGGGTAGGGTGGAGCGTGTGGGGTGGGACACGCGGTGGGTAGGGTGGAGCGTGTGGGGTGGGACACGTGGTGGGTAGGGTGGAGCGAGTGGGGTGGGACACGCGGTGGGTAGGGTGGAGCGTGTGGGGTGGGACACGCGGTGGGTAGGGTGGAGAGTGTGGGGTGGGACACGTGGTGGGTAGGGTGGAGCGAGTGGGGTGGGACACACAGTGGGTAGGGTGGAGCGAGTGGGGTGGGACACACAGTGGGTAGGGTGGAGCACGTGGGGTGGGACACGCGGTGGGTAGGGTGGAGCGCGTGGGGTAGGACACACAGTGGGTAGGGTGGAGCGAGTGGGGTGGGACACACAGTGGGTAGGGTGGAGCGCGTGGGGTGGGACACACGGTGGGTAGGGTGGAGCGAGTGGGGTGGGACACACAGTGGGTAGGGTGGAGCGCGTGGGGTGGGACACACAGTGGGTAGGGTGGAGCGCGTGGGGTGGGACACACGGTGGGGAGGGTGGAGCGCGTGGGGTGGGACACACGGTGGGGAGGGTGGAGCGCGTGGGGTGGGACACACAGTGGGTAGGGTGGAGCGCGTGGGGTGGGACACACGGTGGGTAGGGTGGAGCGCATGGGGTGGGACACACAGTGGGTAGGGTGGAGCGTGTGGGGTGGGACACGCGGTGGGGAGGGTGGAGCGCGTGGGGTGGGACACACGGTGGGTAGGGTGGAGCGCGTGGGGTGGGACACGCGGTGGGGAGGGTGGAGCGCGTGGGGTGGGACACACAGTGGGTAGGGTGGAGCGCGTGGGGTGGGACACACGGTGGGTAGGGTGGAGCGCGTGGGGTGGGACACACGGTGGGGAGGGTGGAGCGCGTGGGGTGGGACACACGGTGGGTAGGGTGGAGCGCGTGGGGTGGGACACACGGTGGGGAGGGTGGAGCGCGTGGGGTGGGACACACAGTGGGTAGGGTGGAGCACGTGGGGTGGGACACGCGGTGGGGAGGGTGGAGCGTGTGGGGTGGGACACACGGTGGGTAGGGTGGAGCGCGTGGGGTGGGACACACAGTGGGTAGGGTGGAGCACGTGGGGTGGGACACACGGTGGGTAGGGTGGAGCACGTGGGGTGGGACACGCGGTGGGGAGGGTGGAGCGTGTGGGGTGGGACACACGGTGGGTAGGGTGGAGCGCGTGGGGTGGGACACACAGTGGGTAGGGTGGAGCGCGTGGGGTGGGACACACGGTGGGTAGGGTGGAGCGTGTGGGGTGGGACACACAGTGGGTAGGGTGGAGCGCGTGGGGTGGGACACGCGGTGGGTAGGGTGGAGCGTGTGGGGTGGGACACACAGTGGGTAGGGTGGAGCGCGTGGGGTGGGACACACGGTGGGTAGGGTGGAGCGTGTGGGGTGGGACACACAGTGGGTAGGGTGGAGCGCGTGGGGTGGGACACACGGTGGGTAGGGTGGAGCGTGTGGGGTGGGACACACAGTGGGTAGGGTGGAGCACGGTGGGTAGGGTGGAGCGCGTGGGGTGGGACACGCGGTGGGTAGGGTGGAGCGTGTGGGGTGGGACACGTGGTGGGTAGGGTGGAGCACGGTGGGTAGGGTGGAGCGCGTGGGGTGGGACACGCGGTGGGTAGGGTGGAGCGTGTGGGGTGGGACACGTGGTGGGTAGGGTGGAGCGTGTGGGGTGGGACACGCGGTGGGTAGGGTGGAGCGCGTGGGGTGGGACACGCGGTGGGTAGGGTGGAGCACGGTGGGTAGGGTGGAGCGCGTGGGGTGGGACACGCGGTGGGTAGGGTGGAGCGTGTGGGGTGGGACACGTGGTGGGTAGGGTGGAGCGTGTGGGGTGGGACACGCGGTGGGTAGGGTGGAGCGCGTGGGGTGGGACACGCGGTGGGTAGGGTGGAGCGTGTGGGGTGGGACACGCGGTGGGTAGGGTGGAGCGTGTAGGGTGGGACACGCGGTGGGTAGGGTGGAGCGCGTGGGGTGGGACACACAGTGGGTAGGGTGGAGCGTGTGGGGTGGGACACGTGGTGGGTAGGGTGGAGCGCGTGGGGTGGGACACGCGGTGGGTAGGGTGGAGCGTGTGGGGTGGGACACGCGGTGGGTAGGGTGGAGCGCGTGGGGTGGGACACGCGGTGGGTAGGGTGGAGCGCGTGGGGTGGGACACGTGGTGGGTAGGGTGGAGCGTGTGGGGTGGGACACGTGGTGGGTAGGGTGGAGCGCGTGGGGTGGGACACACAGTGGGTAGGGTGGAGCGCGTGGGGTGGGACACGCGGTGGGTAGGGTGGAGCGTGTGGGGTGGGACACGCGGTGGGTAGGGTGGAGCGCGTGGGGTGGGACACGCGGTGGGTAGGGTGGAGCGCGTGGGGTGGGACACGTGGTGGGTAGGGTGGAGCGCGTGGGGTGGGACACGTGGTGGGTAGGGTGGAGCGCGTGGGGTGGGACACACGGTGGGTAGGGTGGAGCGTGTGGGGTGGAACACGCGGTGGGTAGGGTGGAGCGTGGGGGGGGGACACGCGGTGGGTAGGGTGGAGCGCGTGGGGTGGGACACGCGGTGGGTAGGGTGGAGCGTGTGGGGTGGGACACGCGGTGGGTAGGGTGGAGCGTGTGGGGTGGGACACGCGGTGGGTAGGGTGGAGCATGTGGGGTGGGACACGTGGTGGGTAGGGTGGAGCGCGTGGGGTGGGACACGCGGTGGGTAGGGTGGAGCGTGTGGGGTGGGACACACGGTGGGTAGGGTGGAGCGTGTGGGGTGGGACACGTGGTGGGTAGGGTGGAGCGCGTGGGGTGGGACACGCGGTGGGTAGGGTGGAGCATGGTGGGTGGGACACGTGGTGGGTAGGGTGGAGCATGGTGGGTGGGACACGTGGTGGGTAGGGTGGAGCGCGTGGGGTGGGACACGCGGTGGGTAGGGTGGAGCACGGTGGGTGGGACACGCGGTGGGTAGGGTGGAGCACGGTGGGTAGGGTGGAGCACGGGGGGTTGGACACGCGGTGGGTAGGGTGGAGCGTGGGGGGTGGGACACGCGGTGGGTAGGGCGGAACGCATGCCAACCTCTCCTCCACGTTGTCATCAGTGATGGCGCGGGGTGGGACACGCCAGGGGCAGTTGACGCGGCCGCCCGGGAGGCGCTTGAAGTCAAACTGGCAGCAGACACGGGGGTCAGGCCCGCATGTGTGCGGGACGTCGTAGCTGTAGAACGGCATCATGTGGCACAGAATGTCTGTGCTGGACCCCGAGTCTGTGGCACAGCGCACAAGCGGACATGCAGACAGACGCCCGCTCAGGTTCTGCCGATGATGGGCAGCGTGACCACTCACCCCTGGTGTTCCCTTTCCCAGCCCTCTCCCCCACCTAAGGTATCCGATCTTCACGATTAAAGCCAAGAATGTAACGTGCAATTGTAACAGGGCAGACAGATTCAAAGTCTGGGGTAATACGTTATCTTGCGCAGTGGTGAAGATCGGTAACAAAATAACTCGGTAGACATTACGCGTTCACCTTCAGACATCTGTCCATCTACATAAAAGTATTTTGTACAGATGCCATCAGTCACACGGCCTTCCTTATGGGAGTATATCACTTCTGCGGCTTTGGTTCAACGTAAACAAAACTCTTCCAGAAGGACTGTACCAATGAACACCTGGCAGCATTGATTCAAGCAAACCTGAGACACCAAATGTTGAAACAGATCCACAGATCAACAGTTTGCTCTTTCCAATACGAATGAAACTGTAGTGAGTTGTGTTGCTATGGGGGACTGAACCTGGACAGAAGTGATCGCAACGTTGCTGCCCGAAACTTGGCGATATAAAACCACCGCTAAAGGGACTGCGGTTGGCGACATCGCCGCTAGTACGGCGTGAGCACGGCTCTACGAGACGTCATTCTTGTGCGACGCCGCCTCGGCTCGTTACCACTGCAAACCAAATGCTTTGAGGGACAAGCGTGCGGCAGGAGGTGTCATGGGCTCCCTGTGTGCATGTGGTTTTGTCTCCCATTTTTAATTTGTCTGATTTGCTCCCTTCCGCCTCCCTCCCACACGCCGCCTCGTATATAATGGTTGTGCCACCCTGCGCCGCCCTTCCCATCTGTTTACCCATCTTGCCTATTGACAGTTTTGCATAAAGTTTGAATGAAAAGGAAATCACCTTCCAGCTGCTGTAACCGAGACTTTACGCGTGCACATAACGATTCATTTACATATACAGGGGGATTCATGCCTGGTCACTCGAGCCCACTGATGCCCCAGCCCACTGATGCTCTAAATGACACAACATTTGTAATACGCACAGTTTTCGTTCACTCTCATAGATCGAACGATTCAGAGAACGATTCAGAGGCACGGAAAACAACAGAAAGTGGGAAGGCAGCCAAAATTGGTGTTACCAGTAATTGCCCAAGCTCTGTGGCCCTACATTGGGATATTTGGTCAACTCCATTTATAGTCTTCATACACGTGGTATGAAGCTGGTGTCCCCAGAAGAAAACCTACCCATGTCAGGGGGTAACACTAATTCCCCGTACAGATATAATTAACCCACTTGTTGTACTGGCATCGTATCCTGGCCATAAGCAAGGAGATGGCGACCTTGACTCTCATGGGCAGGAGGGAGTTTCATACGTCTGTGTGTGATCCATCAACCATTACTTCTTCAACGGAACTGCGTTAAAGGCCACGTGCGAGATGATGTGGACCAGCGGTAGCGGGTTCGCTCCTTGTTGTAGATTTCACGGTTCGAAGTCAGCGGCCACCCTGGTTAATACTGCGGTGCGTAATACATCATCAGCTTTTCTTCCGATTCCATTCCAATTCGTACGTTTACATCATCAGAACGGAATCGATTCCGATTGGAATTGAGTTAATCTATATATATAAAATCGTGCATGTCTGTCTATCTGTCTGTGTGTGTGTGTGTGGATTTCGGACCATACGCACTTTCATTGGACGGCGGTTGCCCCTGGCAACGGCTAGCGACGCCTTCGCCGCTTTCATTGGACCTGGCAACGGCTAGCGACGCCTTCGCCAAGGGCTGCAGTTTCATTGGACGGCGGTTGCCCCTGCCAACGGCTAGCCACGCCTTCGCCACTTTCATAGGCTCCGTAAATAATTAAATAATAGCCATTACACAGTTTTGTTGGAGCGCTGAGGGGGGGGGGGGGAAGGCACGCCACCCGTACCCTGCCTCTGCCGGCTGGACAATTTTGGCGAGGCCGCAGGCTCTGCACGCTACTAGGCCTCGACACCCACCACGCCACTCTGAGGTAAATTCATCAAAATTTTTCCTACTCTTCACTCCACCACCACCACAATGTGTGCAATTAATATTACTTTTAAACCCAACGCGCCAACAATCGATTACTTAAATGTTCACTGTACAAATAGTCATTAAGCTGGGTCAGCGTACTGCCAGTCTATCATGTAGACTGTAGCCTGCTTATTAAGCTCGGTGAGCGTACTGCCACTCTATCATGTACACTCTAGCCTGCTTATGAAGCTGACTGCGTGTACTGGCAGTCTATAATGTGGACTGTAGCCTGGTTATTATAATCGATTCTTTATATGTTCTTTGTACAAATAGTCATTAAGCTGGTTTAGCGACCCCAGTTCGATTCCAACTCACGCCCACCACCGCTGACGATTATTTGAAATGGACCTGGCCCTCCCCTAGGTCCACTCAGCCTCAAACGCGTAACTGCTGTCGTGTGTGAACATCGTCACTGGGGAGACAAAGGCGGCCGGGCATCGTGGATCCAAGTCCCGGGCGAAGCCGGGTCATGTGTATGTGTGTATGTGTTTATGTGTATGTCTGTGTGTCTGTATGTATGTGTATGTGTTTGTGTGTGTGTGTATGTATGTGGGTATGTGTGTATGTATGTACGTGTGTGCATGTGCTTGGGTGTATGTATGTGTGTGTCTATGTATGTGTGTGTATGTGTTTCTGTGTATGTGTGTGTATGTATGTGTGTTATGTGTCTGTCTGTGTGTCTGCATGTATGTGTGTGTGTATTGTGTATGTGTTTGTATGAGTTTGTGTCTTTACGCTCGCATTACACAAATGTTTTGCAGGTCTAAGGCGTTCCTTGCGCAGCATTGCCGCTTTATTATTTCAGTCGTTTACTGCCGTACGCACCCTGAAAGTCGTGTGTGTCTGCAGCAAGCGCGTGTATGTGTACCTATGGACGCGCGCGTGTGTTGTGTAGGGGGAACGGTAGTGTAGTGCTTAGCGTGCTGCCTGTGTCTGTGTGTGTGTGTCTGTGTGTGTGTGTGTGTCTGTGTGTGTGTCTGTGTGTGTGTCTGTGTGTGTGCGTGTGTGGTGTGTGGGGAGCGGTAGTGTAGTGGTTAGCGTGCTGTCTGTGTGTGTGTGTGTCTCTGTCTGTGTGTGTCTGCGTGTGTCTGTGTGTGTGTCTGTGTGTGTGTCTGTGCGTGTGTGGTGTGTGAGGAGTGGTGGGTGTAGTGCTTAACGCTACGCTGCGCTACCAACCCGGCGAACCCAGTTCCATTCCCGCTCACGGCCACCACCCGTGACGATTATTTGAACCTCCCCTAGGTCGACTCTGCCTCAAACGAGTAACTGCTGTAGCGTATTAACATCGCCACTGGGGAGACAAAGGCGGCCGGCCGTGATGGATACAAGTCCCGGGCGAAGCCGGGTAGTACAGCTAGTTCCATATGGAATCGGAAGTAAAAGGCCATGCGGGAGGGCGTGTGGCACAGTTTGGCAGAGTGCAGTCGTGTCCCTACAGTTCTCTGCGGTGAGTACAGTGCAATGTCTTTAAAAACGGCAGCGCTACGCCTCTCTAAATAAAATTAATGCTGACCGTTTGCTTGTTCTGAGATTCAGCGGTAAACGGGACCCACCCTGCAACTTGCAGGCGTCTCCAAACGGGAAAGGGTTAAGAAAAATAATACTGTAACTATTAAAGATCCCTTGACAGCATTCACAAGAGTAGGCCGTCGCGTGACAGCGCCATGGTCCAAATTTGCACATTGTTAACAATGACGCCGCAAAAAGTTACTCAATTGGGAGCACACGGTAGCAGCGGCAATCATCACTCCTGACTGCGAAAACTCGACAGGACGCTCCTGAAAAATATTCCCAGGACTCGGCAAGGCTTCTCCTGAGTAAACAAGTGTAGGAGTGGCGATGATGAACACCAGCGTCTGGCTGCCACTCACCCCAGCTCTGGCGCCAGTGGAACTCGAGGCTGCGCTCGTGAGCCAGGTGCTTCTTGACGGAGTAGTGAGTCCTCTGGATGAGCATGTTCTGGATGCCGGCATTGCGGAGAAGGTACGCGTTGGTAGGGCTGTGCCCGAACGGGTCGATGGCCCAGCCCGAGCGTGGCCGCACGCCCAAGTGCCTCTCCAGCCACTGGTGGCCCTCCAGCATCTGGTCCAGCATGGCCCACACGTGGACATTGGCCTCGTCGGGCATGACCCAGCCACCGGTCACGATCTCCAGCTGCCCGCTGTCAATCAGCCTGGGCTCACGCAAATAGGGGGCCAAGGGGGGCACGGGGAGGAGATGAGGAGGATGAGGGGGCGGTGATGCGGCCCAGCGGCAGCGCGTTCGCTGCTTGAAGCGGAGTTTAGCAGTTCAAATCCGTCAGGATGCTCTGGTTATTACTGCGTTGTCATCAATATCACCAGCAGCATCATCGCAGGAGCCACCCTTGTTATTATTGCGTAATGTATTAGCCCACAAGTGTGGTGAGTGCGGTGTTCCCCGTGTGTGCTATGTTCCCTGCGAGTGCGGGGAGGTAAGTGGAGTGCTCCCCATCAGTGTGGTGACCCGGTAAGCGCGCTGAGTGCAGTGAGTGCGGCGGCCTCACCGCTTTGCGGTAGCGCGTTGTGCGGCATCTGCGCCCTCCCACCACTTGGCGAGGTAGGAGACCTCAGCCCAGATGAAGCGGCGGCGCGAGTCCTCCGCCAACTTCACCATCGCGTTGTCCAGGATCCGCTTTGTCTGCTCCACGAAATACCCCTCAAACGTCTTAATCCAGCCTGCAAAGACAAAGAGCCCCCCCGTGTGGCCTTAACAGACTGTCAAGGCAAGTGCTGTTAACAAGCACCTATGAAGGCCAGCGTGGCACACGAGGGGGATGGATGACCAGCACCCCGCTTGGCCACTTTCTCCCCAGTGCTGATGTTTACACACCACACCAGGTACTCATTTGAGACTAAGCCGACCGAGGGGAGCTGTTATTGGCCCAGTGGGTTTCAAACTTGGGTCACTGGGTTTATAGCGCAGCATGCTAACGACTGCGACAATGCTCCCTACATGGTCATACATGCGCACGGGAATGGCAGCTGGTGTTGTTCTGGGGACACCTGTGTATATGGTTACATGCGGTAGTGTAGCGATTAGCGTGCTACACTATGAACCTGAGTTCAAATCCCGCTCGCAGCCAACACCGGTGACGATAATCTCAACCGGTCCTGGGCCTCCCCTAGGTCGACTCAGCCTTAAATTAGTACCTGGTGTGAAGTGTAAATATCACCACTGGGGAGACCAAGGCAGCCAGGCGTGGTGCTGGCCACCCACCCCCTCGTGTGCCGTACCGACCTTCATAGGTGCTCGCTAAAAGCCCTTGCCCCAACAGTCTTTTAATGGCTATGGGAGATCTTTGTAATTTATTTGTTAACTATTACTGTGCGTGTGTGTGGTTACACCTGCGCATCTGCGGTTACACCTGTGTGTGTGCACACACCTGGGTCGTTGTGCGAGTGCGGCACCACGTAGACCTGCAGCGGAGTGGACTCCCACGCCGCGTCTTCATACGTGATGTCAAACCCCTGCTTCCAGGCACCGCCGTCAGGGTTATCAAACGCCAGCAACTCGTACACATCCATCATCTGAGCGCAACGCACACACACGTATAGGACCACGGAGTTTGGGCAATTATTGGCAGTGCAGGTTCCGGCTGCAGTCCTGCTTGTTGGTCGTGAGTGGTAATTAAACTCAGATTGCAGAGTTCATGGTGCAGTGCCCTGACGACCCTCACGCAGTCTCCTACTCATCCACACACTCACCCTGTGCTGCAACGTGCCTGGCCCACACGTCACCTCGCCGCCTTCTCACCTTCACGTCGGCCTTTGCCGGCGAGTCCCCCCTCGGCTCCCGGCACTCCTCTGCCAGACCCACCGGCCCTGCAGGACCCCGCGCTGCCCAGGCCACCATTTGGGGCAGCACCCACGTGCCGTTGGTGAGCCGCCACGGGTAGAGGCCACCACTGTCGGTTCCCTGGTTCGAGCCCCCGCCGCCGCCTCCTCCCAGATCGACGTCGCCGCTAAGCCGCCCAGGCCCCGAGCCGCCCAGCGCCTGCACCGAGTCACGCAGGTGGCCGATCATCTGGTGGTTGTCTTCTAGCAGCTGCTCCAGCTGCTTCAGACGCTGGTGGAGCTCCAGCAAGGGGCCCTGTCGGCCAGGTAACGGACCGTGAGGACGACGTAGGAGCCGATGCCAGCACCAACACAGCCCACACACACCGCCCACAGACCTTCCCACACACACCCAGCGATTTAATCAAATTATTGTAATTCCGCTTTATTACCCAGGAAAGCCTCACTGTGGAGTGCTGTGTTGGGTCGGGTGCCCACAGGGCCACTTGGTTTCGGGTTGGAGCGGAGTTGTCTTTACGGCTTGAGGGTCGGGGGCAGGTCGGATCATATTCACCGTAGGTCGCCTGCCATGAACTACCACCATCATTATTTTTTATTGAGTTCCGTGTTTGTCCCGAGACACGGGAAGACACTACGATTCGCACAATGTTAAATGTTTCCACTCTTTCCTCTCATTACACAAACTGTGCGTGGACTCGTGGCTCCATAATAATGACCACGGTGCACGATCAGTAGGGCGCATAACGTGAGCCACGTGTGGGTTACGTGTTTTACAGAATTCCTATTTAGGAGCCGAGACCATTTATAGTTACTGGAGGTGTCAGGTTGGGTCGTTGGGTTTAATGAAAGCAGGTCGTGTCTGGTGGGTCGCAGTTATAATGAAAGCAGGGTGGGTCAAGTCATCACGGGTCAGGTTGGGTTGGGTCTTAGGTCAAAAAGTCAGACCTGTGCAGAACCAAGCCTTAAGAATTGTTTTTTCAGGAGGGTCCTGCCAAATTATCGCAGTAGTAGGGGGTGATGTTGCTGCCATGCGTGATTCCAATGTAATCAATTGTAGAGAATGTTTCAGCATTGGTATTTGACCAATACCGGTTAAATTATTCGTGATTTTTTTGCTATGGGAGGAACCCGGAGAACCTGGCTGAAACCCATAAAGAAGAGAGGGAGAACATACAAACTCCACACAGAAAGGTGCCCAATTCAGGAATCTAACCCAGGTCCTTCTTGCGGTGAGTGTTACCACAGTGCCGTCACCCTGCCATCCAAATTTTAAAACTAGGGGTATAAATGTCGGTGGTGTTTCGGGCAATGGCAAAGGAGAGAGGGAGTGATTGCAAGCAGCCCACTCAACCACTGAGCCACTTGTTGTTGATGATGGACGATTACACCAGCAATATTAACTGGAACTACCCACCAAATTCGAACCGTGGACCTCTGCAAAATGTGGCAAAAGAGCTGCCATTAGGTCGTGTTACCACCCCAGGATGTAACTCTTAAAGGTCGTCTGGTTCAGTGATTGGCAAACCCAGAGAGTCGGAGGAATAGAGCATGGATAGTTTACCGGTGACTTAAGTGCACGGGTCAGAGCCGAGTAAATCCGGAGAGATGGAAAAGTGAAGACGCAGATGACTACCCCAGTAACTTCAAACCGGGGATTAGAAACTGGTAAACACACAGAAGTGCCGAGGGCATGGGCACAGGGGGCGAGAGGCCCTGCACGAGGGGTGTTGATCGTTTACACGAGGGTGAACGGGTGAACGAATGTCAGTGGAGTCGAACACGGTTTTTTATTCGCCTCAACAGTGAAAGCTTTGCCAGACTCTTGCAGCCTCCGGCGGCACCCAGAGCATGCTGCTCACAGAGCACCGGAGCCCCGTGCGGGACTTCCTCCCTATGCCCACGTCTCTCTCGCTCTCCGCGTTTGTCTCTTGTTCTCTCTTTCCGTGTGTCTCTCTTGTTCTCTCTCTGTTCGTCTCTCTTGTGTTCTTTCTCTCCGTGTTAATCTCCATCATTCTGTCCGTTTCCCTTGTGTTCTCTCTCTGTGTTGGTCTCTCTCTCACTATACTCTTTGGTTCTTTCGCTAAAGTCACGTAAGTAGAAAAATAATAATAGATCACAATGTTTCGATCGCCACACAAGCATCCTTCTTCTCTCCGTGTTTGCCTCACAAGCACACATGTTCACCAATAAAAAAGACACACACACAGCCAGGTATGTGAAACGCACACCTGTGAGGCATTAACTCTGACCTCAGGTGAGGCGACGTTCACGGAAACTTAAGCTACCCATCCCGAGTGGGTACTCACCAAAGCCCGGAAATCCGTAACCAGTTTCAGAATAAGTTACCGGTTTCCAAGATCTGGAACCTGTGACTGATTGCAGTGGAATGGCAGTAACAAATGCATCAAATGGCTCACGCAAACGTACAAACAGCACACCGGCCTAAATCACTGCCGTTGTTCACTCGCCCTCGTTTCTAAGTTACAAGCTGAATGCGTTGGCAATTTTAACTGGTTTTTCGTAGGGTTAAAAGTATATCGATGAAAGTAAACCAGTTGTAACCACTTCAATTACGTAAACTCCATGGGAGAGGGAAGGGGCCCTCCTCAACTCACCCCAACCTCACGGCCAAGACTTCGGGGCGCATCCCACAGTGGGGGTCCCAGCCCAGAGTTTGAAGGCCATGGGGACGGGAGAGAAGTGCTGGGGCGAGGGGCTGGGAACTAACCCTGGACTCCAGCCACTAGACCTTGGGTGATGATAATTCCACTTGCAGAGGCATGTGACATAACTCGCTCATAATAATCTACATCTGTAAAGCGCATTTCATCCGTAGATCCCAATGCGCCCCGTGTATGGTAAGCAGGAGATAAACAGGACCTGCAGGGTGCACAGCCAGTACTAGGGGGTGAAGGCCAACTACTCTGAGTGCATTATTACCAAAGGCGAAGTGTCCATAGTCTGAGAACTGCAATGACAAAAGTCTGTTCACCCCAGTAAATGAGCCTTGACCTTGGAGTACTTACAAGAAGGCCATCTGAAGGTCTCAGGGACCTCGTTGGAGTGTAAACACGAATCAGTTCACACAAATATTGTGGGGCTAACCCACTGAAAGCCTTGTAGGTCAGCAGCAGCGTCGTCTTATAGACCACTTGATACTTGACTGGTAGCCAGTGCAAAGACAAGAGAGCAGGTGTGATGTGCTCACGAAACGGTGTGTTCGTAAGCACTCCAGCAGCTGCATTCTGAACAAGCTGGAATCTACTGAGCACCTTCCTCAGAATCCCGAACAGTAATGCGAAGCAGTAATTAAGTCAGGAGAACAAAAAAGCATGAACCAGTCTCTTTAAGTCAATAGGCGACAATAATCGAGGCAGGATATCATCACATAATTACTGGCTGCTAATTTAATCACCAAACACCACACTCTGCTTGGCGTTTACATTTTCCACGACGGTAATGACCATGTTGCGTTGTATAGCGTATTGAGCTGTGTCGAAATAGGACCCATATCTCGCAGAGAGGGCTTGCCTGTAACATCTGGCAGTTCACCAGCATTGGTTCCAACCAGCCTGACTGTTGATGAGACACTGATTGTCGAAATTGTTCCAGAGTTTTGTTTGCGTTGAACCAATTCTACTGGGATTCTATATTCCCAGATGGAAGACCATGTGGCTGATGGGATGTATAGACAAAAGTTGCATCATTTAGGACGCCATGGTGGCGACATGTTAACTACCTCACCTGGCATGCAGGAGGTCGTGCTTTTGATACCGACCCTGACACCTGCATATTTGGAGTTTGCATGTTCTCCCTGCGAATTTTTCTCCGGGTCCTCCAGTTTTTCCCTCCACATTTAGAAACATGCATTTTGAGTATTTGGCTGCTATACACTTCCACGTGAAAAGCCACTTTGTTGAGCTATTATTTGACCAGGTCGCTTCTGAAAAAGAGCTACATAGTTCAGTGGGCCCTACCCTGGTAAAACAGGAATAGTAACAAAAATGTTTAGCGACAGGTATGTGAAGGAAGCAGCGGCTTGTCTGCTTGTCTACTTGAGTCTGTAAATGCTTTGCGTGGGATCTTGTATACGGAGGAACAATTTCCTGCTAAAATGATCATCGAGGCATTGGTGCTCATTTACAGCCCTGTAGACCCAGTGGTGGACATGCCACGTTCCTTTGGTGGGCGGGTCCGTCGGACAACTACTGTTGCCGACTTCCCAACAAAGTGGTGAGTGCTGAATTTATGAACCCCGGAAGGAGGGAGGATGGGCCAAGTCATGAGAGATTCGGCAACCGCGTGGGGAGAGAGACCGCTCCCCCTCCCACTGGCCAAGCTGAAGGAGCAGGTGAGCGGCCTGGCGCCACGTGAAGCGAGATCTTGGCAGCCGCGCCAATGAAACAGCCACCCTGAACCACAGCAAGCGAGGAGTGGGAACCCACGCAGTGACACACTGACCTTTACCACGCCCACCCATCACACCTCCCCTCATCAAAACTTCCCCTCATCACACCTCCCCCTCATCTCCCACCAACCTCATCACACCTCCCCCTCATCACACCATCCTCACCAACCTCATCACCCTCCCCTCATCACACCTCCCCCTCATCACACCTCCCCCTCATCACACCTCCCCCTCATCACACCCTCCCCTCATCACACCCTCCCCTCATCACACCTCCCACCCCTCATCACACCTCCCCCTCATCACACCTCTCCCTCATCACACCTCCCTCCCCTCATCACACCTCCCACCCCTCATCACACCCTCCCCTCATCACACCCTCCCCTCATCACACCTCCCACCCCTCATCACACCTCCCTCCCCTCATCACACCTCCCACCCCTCATCACACCTCCCACCCCTCATCACACCTCCCACCCCTCATCACACCTCCCACCCCTCATCACACCTCCCACCCCTCATCACACCTCCCACCCCTCATCACACCTCCCACCCCTCATCACACCTCCCACCCCTCATCACACCTCCCCTCATCACACCTCCCACCCCTCATCACACCTCCCCTCATCACACCTCCCTCCCCTCATCACACCTCCCACCCCTCATCCACACCTCCCCTCATCACACCTCCCACCCCTCATCACACCCTCCCCTCATCACACCTCCCTCCCCTCATCACACCTCCCACCCCCTCATCACACCCTCCCCTCATCACACCCTCCCCTCATCACAACTCCCACCCCTCATCACACCTCCCCTCATCACACCTCCACCCCTCATCACACCTCCCACCCCTCATCACACCTCCCACCCCTCATCACACCCTCCCTCATCACACCCTCCCCTCATCACACCTCCCCCCCCTCATCACACCTCCCACCCCTCATCACACCCTCCCCTCATCACACCTCCCACCCCTCATCACACCTCCCACCCCTCATCATACCTCCCACCTCTCATCACACCCTCCCCTCATCACACCTCCCACCCTCATCACACCTCCCACCCCTCATCACACCTCCCACCCCTCATCACACCCCTCCCCTCATCACACCTCCCACCCCTCATCACACCTCCCACCCCTCATCACACCCTCCCCTCATCACACCTCCCCCCCCTCATCACACCTCCCACCCCTCATCCACACCTCCCACCCTCATCACACCCTCCCCTCATCACACCTCCCACCCCTCATCACACCTCCCACCCCTCATCACCACCCTCCCCTCATCACACCTCCCCCCCTCATCACACCTCCCACCCCTTATCACACCTCCCACCCCTCATCACACCCTCCCCTCATCACACCTCCCACCCCTCATCACACCCTCCCCTCATCACACCTCCCCCTCATCACACCTCCCCCCCCTCATCACACCTCCCACCCCTCATCACACCACCCCTCATTACACCTCCTCCCCCTCATCACACCTCCCACCCCTCATCACACCCTCCCCTCATCACACCTCCCACCCCTCATCACACCTCCACCCCTCATCACACCTCCCACCCCTCATCACACCTCCCTCATCACACCCTCCCCTCATCACACCTCCCACCCCTCATCACACCTCCCACCCTCCCCTCATCACACCTCCCACCCCTCATCACACCTCCCACCCCTCATCACACCTCCCCTCATCACACCTCCCCCCCCTCATCACACCTCCCCCCCCTCATCACACCTCCCCCCCCTCATCACACCTCCCACCCTCATCACACCCTCCCCTCATCACACCTCCCCCCCTCATCACACCTCCCACCCCTCATCACACCCTCCCCTCATCACACCTCCCACCCCTCATCACACCTCCCACCCCTCATCACACCTCCCCTCATCACACCTCCCCTCATCACACCTCCTACCCCTCATCACACCCTCCCCTCATCACACCTCCCACCCCTCATCACACCTCCCCTCATCACACCTCCTACCCCTCATCACACCTCCCCTCATCACACCTCCTACCCCTCATCACACCCTCCCCTCATCACACCTCCCACCCCTCATCACACCTCCCCTCATCACACCTCCCCTCATCACACCTCCCCTCATCACACCTCCTACCCCTCATCACACCCTCCCCTCATCACACCTCCCACCCCTCATCACACTCCCACCCCTCATCACACCTCCCCTCATCCACCTCCCACCCCTCATCACACCTCCTACCCCTCATCACACCCTCCCCTCATCACACCTCCCACCCCTCATCACACCTCCCCTCATCACACCTCCTACCCCTCATCACACCTCCCCTCATCACACCTCCTACCCCTCATCACACCCTCCCCTCATCACACCTCCCACCCCTCATCACACCTCCCCTCATCACACCTCCTACCCCTCATCACACCTCCCCTCATCACACCTCCCCTCATCACACCTCCTACCCCTCATCACACCCTCCCCTCATCACACCTCCCACCCCTCATCACACCTCCCCTCATCACACCTCCCACCCCTCATCACACCTCCCCTCATCACACCTCCCACCCCTCATCACACCCTCCCCCTCATCACACCCTCCCCTCATCACACCTCCCCCCCCTCATCACACCTCCCACCCCTTATCACACCTCCCACCCCTCATCACACCCTCCCCTCATCACACCTCCCACCCCTCATCACACCCTCCCCTCATCACACCCTCCCCTCATCACACCTCCCCCCCTCATCACACCTCCCACCCCTCATCACACCACCCCTCATCACACCTCCTCCCCCTCATCACACCTCCCACCCCTCATCACACCCTCCCCCTCATCACACCTCCCACCCCTCATCACACCTCCCACCCCTCATCACACCTCCCACCCCTCATCACACCTCCCACCCCTCATCACACCTCCCCTCATCACACCTCCCACCCCTCATCACACCCCCCCTCATCACACCTCCCACCCCTCATCACACCTCCCACCCTCCCCTCATCACACCTCCACCCCTCATCACACCTCCCACCCCTCATCACACCTCCCTCATCACACCTCCCCCCCCCTCATCACACCTCCCCCCCTCATCACACCTCCCACCCCTCATCACACCCTCCCCTCATCACACCTCCCCCCCCTCATCACACCTCCCACCCCTCATCACACCCTCCTCATCACACCTCCCCCTCATCACAACCTCCCACCCCTCATCACACCTCCACCCTCATCACACCTCCCCTCATCACACCCTCCTACCCCTCATCACACCCTCCCCTCATCACACCTCCCACCCCTCATCACACCTCCCCTCATCACACCTCCTACCCCTCATCACACCTCCCCTCATCACACCTCCCCTCATCACACCTCCTACCCCTCATCACACCCTCCCCTCATCACACCTCCCACCCCTCATCACACCTCCCCTCATCACACCTCCCACCCCTCATCACACCTCCCTTCATCACACCTCCCACCCCTCATCACACCTCCCCTCATCACACCTCCCACCCCTCATCACACCTCCCCTCATCACACCTCCCACCCCTCATCACACCCTCCCCTCATCACACCTCCCACCCCTCATCACACCTCCCCTCATCACACCTCCCACCCCTCATCACACCTCCCCTCATCACACCTCCCACCCCTCATCACACCTCCCCTCATCACACCTCCCCCTCATCACACCTCCCACCCCTCATCACACCTCCCACCCCTCATCACACCTCCCACCCCTCATCCCACGTGGCAACTGCGAGTCACGTGCCACCTGCTCGGTGAGACCAGGTCGCGGAGCACCACGGACGCGAGAAACGAACCCCGGAACGGACCCCCTCGAGCACGACCCCTCACTCACAATTCCTCACCCCTCTCCTCACCATGACACCAACTTCTTGACCCCCAATCACCAAGACGACCCCTGTGTCTCCTTACCCCTCACCGCTCGCCCTCACCTTGGCGGGGTCCCCGCTCTTGGTGCGGTCGAAGTGCACCCGGTCGAGCATGAGGTAGAGCGAGAAGACGGCCACGCAGAACGTGGCGCCGAAGCACACGACCACCAACTTGCGCAGCCTCATCGCTCCTCCGCCTTCCTCGGGGGTCCTAGCGGGTCACCTCTCCCCCTCCTCTTCACCACCACCACCACCTCTTCGCCCGCGTCCTTCGCAGGAGCTCACAGCGCAGTCACGGCCCCGGGGGGGGGGGGGTCCCCTGGGTCCCCTCGGAGTGGCCAACCCCCCCGGACCTGTGCCCCGGGGACCCCGAGAGGGGAAGGCGGGCAGGGGGAGACGGTGGGAGATGAGGAGATAAGACGAGGAGATGGAATGGGTGGTGGCCGCGCGGAAGGGATCCGAGATGAGGGAGTCGAGGAGAAACGGCAGCTCGAGTGGGAGATGGGAGAAGAGGTTGCGAGTCGCAGGGTGCGAGACGGGGGGAGTTTAAAGTGGGGGACCGGTGGGCGCCGGGTGGGTGGGGGGTATAATAGAGGGGAGACACGAGGTGGGAGACGAGGGACGAGACGCGAGGTGGGAAGAGCCGCGGGACGAGGTGAGAGGCGAGGAGGGGAGCCGGGCCCAGTCTCGGCGCGATCGACTCTCGGCACGCCGCCCTGGGCCGTGACGTCACCGCGAGGCGCGGTCGACTCTCGGCACGCCGCCCTGGGCCGTGACGTCACCGCGAGGCGCGGTCGACTCTCGGCACGCCGCCCTGGGCCGTGACGTCACCGCCCGCCACGTGCACAGCTGGAGCACGAACATCACCGATATCTTCATCCCCATTAGTAACATTCTTCGCAACATCATTATCATCATCAGCAACTTTATCATCCGCATAATCAGCAGCATCATGAGCAGCAAGCATTAGCCCAAAATCAACATTCTCAGCAACAGCATTGTCAGCATCAACCAGGCTTAGTGTATCCACTGCTGGATGAGGGCCTCCCCACAGAGAGACCCGCACCAGCCCCGGAACAGACGATGGATCGAGTGTAGTGAGGGACAGATGAGGCGAGGGTGGCAAACAGAAGAAGGGAATATGAATGAGGTTGGGGTAAAAAATAGGTGAGGAACAGATAAGGTGAGCAGATAAGGGGTGAGGATGAGTTGATCTGGACGTAATTGAGCCATTGTAAATGTATAAATTACATGAATATATATATTCTTGGGTCTTTCGGTAAAGTCACGGAGCTATGCAAAGCGGCCAATGCGATCAATGCAGCCGTCGTATCGCGATGTATCGTGGGTCTTGTATCGTGTTGACTCCATGACGTCACGTCCGCTTCCGGGGTAGGCCCGGAACATGTTTGGGAGAGCGGCACGTGACCCAAACCGGTCCTGACCGAGATTGGAGAGGTGGGAAAAGAAGAGGTGGGAGAGGGGGAGGTGTGGGACGAGGTGAGGGAGGGGTGGGACGAGGTGAGGGAGGTGTGGGACGAGGTGAGGGGAGGGTGGGACGAGGTGAGGGGAGGGTGGGACGAGGTGAGGGGAGGGTGGGACGAGGTGATGGAGGTGTGGGACGAGGTGAGGGGAGGGTGGGACGAGGTGAGGGGAGGGTGGGACGAGGTGAGGGGAGGGTGGGACGAGGTGAGGGAGGAGTGGGACGAGGTGAGGGAGGTGTGGGACGAGGTGAGGGGAGGGTGGGACGAGGTGAGGGGAGGGTGGGACGAGGTGAGGGAGGTTTGGGACGAGGTGAGGGAGGGGTGGGACGAGGTGAGGGAGGGGTGGGACGAGGTGAGGGGAGGGTGGGACGAGGTGAGGGGAGGTGTGGGACGAGGTGAGGGAGGTTTGGGACGAGGTGAGGGGAGGGTGGGACGAGGTGAGGGAGGGGTGGGACGAGGTGAGGGAGGGGTGGGACGAGGTGAGGGAGGGGTGGGACGAGGTGAGGGAGGGGTGGGACGAGGTGAGGGAGGTGTGGGACGAGGTGAGGGGAGGGTGGGACGAGGTGAGGGGAGGGTGGACGAGGTGAGGGGAGGGTGGGACGAGGTGAGGGAGGTGTGGGACGAGGTGAGGGGAGGGTGGGACGAGGTGAGGGGAGGGTGGGACGAGGTGAGGGGAGGGTGGGACGAGGTGAGGGAGGGGTGGGACGAGGTGAGGGAGGGGTGGGACGAGGTGAGGGAGGTGTGGGACGAGGTGAGGGAGGTTTGGGACGAGGTGAGGGGAGGGTGGGACGAGGTGAGGGAGGTGTGGGACGAGGTGAGGGGAGGGTGGGACGAGGTGAGGGAGGAGTGGGACGAGGTGAGGGAGGTGTGGGACGAGGTGAGGGTGGGACGAGGTGAGGGTGGGACGAGGTGAGGGAGGTGTGGGACGAGGTGAGGGAGGTGTGGGACGAGGTGAGGTGAGGGTGGGACGAGGTGAGGGAGGTGTGGGACGAGGTGAGGGGAGGGTGGGACGAGGTGAGGGGAGGGTGGGACGAGGTGAGGGAGGAGTGGGACGAGGTGAGGGGAGGGTGGGACGAGGTGAGGGGAGGGTGGGACGAGGTGAGGGGAGGGTGGGACGAGGTGAGGGGAGGGTGGGACGAGGTGAGGGGAGGGTGGGACGAGGTGGGGGAGGTGTGGGACGAGGTGAGGGTGGGACGAGGTGAGGGTGGGACGAGGTGAGGGAGGGTGGGACGAGGTGAGGGAGGTGTGGGACGAGGTGGGGGAGGTGTGGGACGAGGTGAGGGAGGTGTAGGACGAGGTGAGGGAGGAGGAAGTGAGAACATGAGCTTAGAGAACGGAGTGGAAAGAGGTGAGATGATCAGAAAAATGAGAAGAGGAAGGTGAGTTGGAGGAAGGAGGTGAATAAACAGGACCCTGCGGGGTGGGCTGGTAGGAACGAATAACCAAAGAATATAAACATAATGTATTATTACACTTGTTTAGCCAGGAAAGCCCCACTGAGTCTAAAGGTTTTTGTAGGGTCCTGCCAAGTGTTTGCAGTAGGGGGCGATGTTGCTACACCGAATCGGACGATACGAAGGGAGAGATTGAGGCCTAGTTCTAGGCTTTAGGCCTAGCTGTAGGCTTTAGGCCGCCGTGAGTTAATTTTAAAATTAAATGTTTTAATGATTTATGTAAAAGCTTTAAATTTAAATGTTTCTATTTAAAAGCATCAGGGAATGTAACATTGTTAAACATTAACTCCCTTGCACACACGCGGGGGTACGATACGAAGGGAGAGTTTGAGGCGTAGTTCGAGGCTTTAGGCCTAGCTGTAGGCTTTAGGGCGCTGTGAGTAAAATTTGAATTTAAAAGTTTTAATTAAAAGCTATCAGGGAATTATAAGGGAATGTTACACTTGTTTAGCCAGGAAAGCCTCATTAATTTAAATGTTTTAATTAAAAGCTATCTGAGGGAATTATAAGGGAATGTCACTTGTTTAGCCAGGAAAGCGTCACTGAGTCTAAAGGTTTTTGTAGGGTCATGCCAAGTGTTTGCAGTAGGGGGCGATGTTGCTACACGGACGGACGGACATCGGACGGACGATATAATCTATTGTAGGCTGGTCCACTTCGTTCCTACCAGTATAACGTGCAAAGTGAAGGCTCAGAGCAGGGAGGAGGTGGCACATCTTACCGGTACGAGTTCGCATCGTGTCACTGCGCCTTCACGCAACTCACAATGATGTACACTATCCACTGCTGGATGAGGGCCTCCCCGTGCCTTTGGTTTATTTGACCTTAGTCCACCACTGTGGTCAGTGTCGGTGGGCAGTAAAGATGTGGGAGCAAACAGGACAGCACTCGTGTTACAGACACGTGTGTCAGTGTAATGTGCACGTGTGTACACGCACGTGGAGAGAACAAAAGTGAGAGTACACCGGTACAGTATATCATAGGCGACGTTTCAGGATATGCCCTACTCGGGTGTAGGCAGGAGACGTATACCGCTGAGATAGAACGATGAAATCAGCTCAGCAACTGAGATAACGCTGGCTTGAGTATGCCTTCATCCAGCAGCGGATAAATCATGGCTGATGATGACGAGGGTTTTAACTGTTGGTGGGTGGCCTGACTTGTTAACGAAAGCGAGCTCACCTCTTCACTCATCAGTCCTGTATCCACCCTCGAGAGAAACTCATGTCCAGTACAAATATTCGTTGAAGCAATTTATTTCAGGAGTATCGGGGAATAGTTATGATTAATCTCGTGGACAAGACGAGTTATTTGCACGGCTCTGCTGATACCCCCTGCATGGACGCCAGCCAGAGTGAGTGTCGCTGACTTTGTGCACCTCGTCAGTCGTGGCCGCGTGATGAGAGGCTTACTCATGCGAGGCCATCCATCGGCGCTGCTCCGGACCTGGCACTGCCTGACCGTTTCCTGGTGGCGAGGGCTCTAATTCCCCCTCGCCTCCCTCATATCAGGCTCAGAGCCACGCAACTCGACAGCGCCTGGCACGGCTCCCAGAGTTGTGGGAACGCTGCTGCTGGGTCTCGAGTGCTACAGTCCCTCCATGGAGTTTCCACTCTTCTCCAGCTCTCACGCTTCGTTCTTTCTTTGTTTCTCTGTCGCGCTCCTGTAAACGTATCTTCCTCCCACTGTTTACTTCTTCACTGCTTAAATTGCCAGCCGGCGGTGGCCACTTGGCCATTGAGCACACGGTTTGTCACTTCTGATGGCCACGACTGATGATGAGTTCCTGGCTTTCGATCAAATTGTGAATCGCCTCTTCCGCTGTGTGTATGTTGAACTTATTTTGCTTAACCAACCATTTAACCCGTAGGCTTTCGCGACCAATATTATTCATAATAAAGGTTTGTGGGTTAGATCGCGTATGTGTCGTAACCCTCCACCACCCGACACAGCCAATTAGTAAGGGATTTGTCACGTAAACAAAACGCCAATCAGTTACTACTTCAGCCCACTGGTGTGTTGGATAGTAAATCCACAACATTTACAATTTTAGTACGACGTTTCGCTGGTAATTGCCTGTATCCAGCATCATCGGGCGATTTGCCAGAATAGCCAACCATGTGAATCGGAGGTGCAGGGGAAGGACAAGCTAAATACAAAACGCAGTTCTAAAGAAATTAGTTTTAAATCTAAATGTAAAAATGCTCTAGTGAATTCCTGATATTGGAAGGAGCGTTCTGGATGGCTGCAGAAGCGCATCTGAAAGCACGCAACCACAAGAACTTGCAACTCCGTGCAACAACTCGATGTTTATACAACAGCGTGTTGGGTTTTGTGGCACGATTACCAAGCTCGAGGTGTAAACAGAGCTCTGTTGATTCATGCTTTTTAAGGAGTTGACTGCGTGTCACAAGTTTGATGTTTGACTTTACGCACAGTCTGGAAACAGGTCCCAAGACCTGGATTCAGGAGGTGGTGAACGTCTGCATGCCTCGGTGGGTTTGATTTGATGGCTTGAATGAGCGTGAACAATATAATGGCCTTAATGTCAGCTTGTAACGTGAAACCACCGCATGGTATTTGCTCACTCTCGGGGGGAGGCCCGAGGCGGAACCACTAAAGTTTTATTTTACCAGGTAAGGCCCACTGAGCTATAGTGCTCTTTTTTCAGAAGTGACCTGGCCACAAATGATAGCTCCACGAAGTGGCTTATGTGGAAATTTATAGCACACAAAAGCTCTGGCACGCATCTTACTAAATGTGGAGGGAAAAACTGGAGAACCTGGAGAAAAATCCACATAACCATGGGGAAAACATGCAAACTCCAAATATACAGGCATCGGGGTTAGGATCGAACCCACGACCTACATACCAGGCGAGGTACTGAACATCTCGCCGTGCTGTGGTGAGGAGCCAGTGCAAAATTCGACCCCCGATCTCTGCAGTCCTCTGATGGGCCATTGCCAGAAATGTAGCCTCATATTTTTCCGTTTATGTATGTGTTGAACGTCTTTCCTACCGTATGTAGCTAACTGTGCTAATCAGGGTGCAGGGGATGGACAAACAAAACACAAAAATACATTATAAAGAAATTAATTTTCAGTGTTATTGACGAATGTTGCATTTATTGTTATTTGCACCACTGCCCATTTCTGTGATGTGACAGTCAACCATTGTGCTCTGATACGAATGAACATTTTGTGTTCCAGTTTTTCTGATGTGGAGCAGTATGGAGACCCCTTGGATAAGATCTTACCAAATAGCACCGTGAATGCGCCAGATTTCTTCACCTGTAGGAAGCTAAACAGATGTGAGCCTGCTCAGGACTGCGATGGGTGGCCACCTGGAGTTTCCAGGTGAAGGACTGGGGCTGCGAGGTGACCGGGAGATTGAAGATCAGAAATGCATTCTTAAATTTCTGTGTTTTTGTCATTTTGGTGACCCAGGTTACTTGCAAATGACTTGATCTCAAAATAAACTTGAAACTTGAACTTACTCATCTAAATTGTTTTCCCACTTATTCACTCTTACAAATGAGATAAATTCCAGTCCCTTGAGTTCTCACCAGGTTTCAAAAGATAAACTTGATGTCTGAGAGGCAAAGCAATTGGCAATGGAGGGGGTGAATGTGGCAGACACTCAGAGCCACACTAAGACGCCCTTACAAGACACTCTGTAAATGACCAGAGTCCGTCTCGCCATGTAAAGATAGCCTAGCCCCATCGGGTCCGTGGACCAATGTCTTCCAGCGGATTTTGTTTAGGCAGCAAATTCTGGATCGGTTTCAACTTTCGGTCTCCTCAGCAGGGTTATGCCTGTTAAACAGATGCCACCCAGTTGACAGCTGTTGTAGGCAAGAGCACTCCACTGCCACTACCACACAGATCCGTCCGTATACGACAAACAGGGCTTGCATAGCAGTGTCTAAATGCGACGGCATCTCAGGACTCTGCACAGAACGAGTGGGCACGTTTATTTTAGACAAGCAGCCGTAGGTCTCTATGGGTCTCTGTGAGAGTCTGTGGAAGCGCTAGAGGTATTCACAGGCAGGGGAGAAGAGGAAGGTCTTGAGCTGGAGCAGAGGCCTGCGCAGGAGGCCTGCGCCTGGCTCAGCAGCCTGAGCAGTGGCCGCGCGTCGTACGGGAAGAGATGGCGCCGGCACAGGCGCTGTACGCGGAGCTGCAGCCCCGAGAGGCAGTGGAGCACGGACAGCAGCGTGGGCACCGGCGCCACCACGCCACCGCCTACATCATCATCTACCTCGTCTAGATCGGCCACGGCGTCGTCGCCATGCACACCTTCGGCAGCATCGCTGCTTTCATTGTCATCGTTATCACTGTCGTCGCCGTCATCGACATCACTATCATTGAGATGGTCATCGTCACTCTCATCATCATCGTCACTCTCATCGTTATCCTCGTTTACACGAGCACCATTTTCGTCGTCACGAAGGCAGAGTTGCCGGCTCTCAGGACCACTCGCCCAGTGCGTCCCTCGTTCGCCGCCATCGGCGTCGTCCTCCGAGGACTCGTAGTCGACAAGCCGGCGCAGCTTTTTCTTCCCGAGTTCCTCCTCCGCCACTGCCCCTTGCTTGCAGACACTGTTCTGACGCCGTCTCTGGCTCCTCCGCTCGGGGCTCCGCTCCTCTCCCCGTGGCGGCGGTGGTTTGCGTTGGTCACCCTGGCCACGGTGAATCCTGGTGGGCGGGGAGGTGGCGCCGGTGGGGCCAGTGTGGCCGTGAAGGTCGGCGGTGAGGCAAGCCTGTGCCAGGGCATGCGGTGTGGCACGCACATGGCGCAGCACCAGTACAAGCAGCTGCAGGAAGCGCGTCTCGCTGGAGATGAGCAGGTCGAGTAGCACCACGGGGCTGAAGCAAGCGTGGCGCACGATGCTCACGAAGGCGCAGACTGCGCCGACGCCGACGCGCTCACTCCACGGGATGGCAGCACCGCCGCCATCGTCCTCGTCATCGTCGCTGGAGAGCACGATGAGACGTCATCACCATCGTCATCATCAGAAGCTTGGATGCATTTCCCACTAAATATTATTCGGGTCTCCCGTCAAGGGTGGGGTTTTGTAACTAGCAGTAGCAGTAGCGACAGTCATATCGAGTGACCATGCTGGATGTGGTGTGCCAGGAGTGGAAATATATCTTCCGGATTGTCCATCCAGATAAGCCGGACCGGGAAAAAACTAATCTCAAATTGTGAGGTCAAACGGCGAGGGAGCTTAAGTGTGACGACGCATTTCAGAGTGAAACGTATACACACATACGGCGGTGCTGGCGGTGGTGTTAGCGGTGACAGTAGCTCACGGGTCAAGGTGGGGTCGCAGCAGCAGGAGGCTCATGGCCGCCTCCACCAGATCGTCGTCCTGGTCTCCAAACAGGGTCACGAGCCACAGGCACCGGTGGGAGGTCAGCGGTGAGGAGGTGCAGGGGCCCGCGGGGCCGTCGAGGAACCCAAGCGCAAAACGGGCGGCGGCCCCCACGCACGTCCGCACGCCCGCTGAGCACACACAGACAAAGACCCCCGTGTAGCCTACACAGACTGTTGTGGCAAGTGCTGTTCGCAAGAACCTATAAAAGCTGCCACGATACACGAGGGGGTGTGTGGCCAACACTATGCCCGGCCGCATTTGTCTCCCTCGTTATGGTTTACACACCACATCAGGTACTCCTAAGGGAGGCCCAGGACCGGTTCAGATAATCGTCACTGGTGTTGACAGTGAGCAGGAATCAAACTCGAGTCGCCAGGTTACACTACCGCTCCCTAGCAAAGACACATGCACACACACTCAGAGGCGCAAGGGATGATAAATTGAGGAAGGCATTAATTACATGGCGAGCTTGGTGCCAAATTGCTCCCTTCCAAGCTCTGTAGTCCACTATATATTAAGGTGTTAATGACCAATTGAGTGTTTACATGTGGGAAGAAACAAGGGCACCCAGAAAAAAACCACTTGAGCAAGAGACTATCCCATGTAGATGGAACAAGTGGAGTCCACATGTTGCTGTTCCGCCTTCTGACAAACTCGGGAATAGCTCCTCGACACCCATGGGGAGTTCCACAACATCTGTGTGATCCACCAACCCTCGTGATCTCGGTGATGCGAGCTCAGTCTCTGCAACAAGGCCATTATAAACCTTGCGGCTTAGCATTGTGTGGTGGTAAAGGGTTGAGGGTCAAAGGTCAATGGCCAAGCTTACCAGAGTCCAGGTTGGCCGCACACACCACGGCCGCCACTAATACGGACAGCACCACCCCCCGCAGAGTCACGAGGTCAATGGCCGGCCACTCAAAGTACGAGGACGGGACTCCTGACGACCTATCAGAGCTGATGTGGCAGCTTCCCATACACAGCTGCTCCTCCCGGTGTAACTGTGAGGCAGCACTCTCCTCCCAGGGTGGAGAGGAGCTGGCCTGGCCCCCGAGGTGGTATGCCGCACGATGGATGTGGATGCTCTGCAGCAAGCCCGTGTGCACTGCATGCACCAGTGTCCGTGCTAGGCACACCACACCCTCTGCGTCCGCACACCGGTGTACGCCGGTGGGGTGTGCGTTGCAGGAGGTGTCGGCGCGCCGCCGTGCGCTCCGCACCAGCCAGCGCTTGAGATGGCCAGCGAGCCGGCGCACGGCTGGATAGGGGGCGGCCGGCCGTGCCAGAAAGCTCAGCAAGCAGCGGGCACCGTCGCAGCTGAAGGGAAAGCGACTGGCGGCGCCTGGACTCCCCGAGCGCACAAGGGCGTCCTGCAGCTCCAGTAGCGCCAGCAGCAGCAGCGGTTGCTGTGGTGGCGGTGGCGATGGTATTTGGGGGGCGTGGGTGAAGACCCGGTCCATGAGAGTCGGCCACACCGGATCCAGAAAGCGCAGGACGTGTGCCAGGCCCTCTGGACACAATGACCATGGAGATTTTTAATTTGCCTTCAGGCAACGGGAGATCACAGCGTCATCCGAAAAGAGAGGTGAGTCCATGCGACATTGTCGCCTTGGCCGAGAAGGCTGATGCGTTTAGTGCTGGGCCATACGAAATCGCTCATGCTGGAAAACCCCACGCGTGATCTGCATCCGAAAATCACGGACCTGAGGTCCGGCCGCTGGAGGCCTCCTCCCGGGCGAGGGCGCTCACAAGGTCGCTCAGGGCCCACGCCGCCTCGGCCTGCCCCAGGGTGGCCAGCTGGGTCCTGCTCAGGGCCCCCGTCAGCCGAGACACGCACGCGCTCACCCACGCGCTCACCCACGCGCTCGTCTCAAAATTCGGCACCTGCAAACAGAAATGACAGGAGGGCGATCAAGGTCAAGAGGTCCCACCCATCACAACCTACTCTATTCCTGACCTCCAAGTAGTTTACCCTATCCATGAATCCTGAAACGCAAGTGCCGTCTCTCCGAATTGACCGAACCACTGAGCGGGCCTCGCGCCCGCGTTGGTGCCCACAGTGCCGACAAAACTCGACAAACGAGATGCAGAGAGGCACAGACGACATGAGGGCAATACGAACCGTGACTGTGAACCGCGACGGCTCCTCCGATTGCTGGAGGGACCGCTAACTCTCTAACGAGTCCAGGCGTCCATCGGGGCACAGCCTCCTCCCCCGAGCTGGCACGCACACACGTGACCCCCACGAACCCGTGACCCCGGTAGCTCCGTGCGACCTCACCTCCTCCCTCTCCAGGAGCAGGCACAGCGCGGTGGCGACCTGCACTGCGCAGTGGGACAGGAGACCCTCAGGGGAGCACAGGAGGGCGTCCTAGGTACGGGGGGGGGCACAATGTATTCAGTGAGATATGGATCCACGCGGTAACCAGGGTAACATTGGAACAGGGTTAGGAGTATAACACGGGCCCCACGAGCTGTACCCACCAGCAGGGAGCCTAGGGTTCCCGTGGTGCCCAGGAGCTCCCTCAGCACGGATCGGTAGCCCTCCTGGAGCACCGGGCCAGGGCAGTCCTCCACACGCGCAGGTGATCCTGCACACAAACTATGCAAGTATTTCACAAATCCCATCAGCCACACCGCCCTCTTTCTGGGAGTGTATAATCCAGGCAGCATTGGTTCAACACAAGCAAACTTTCGACCAGTTTCGACCTTCAGTGTCTCATCAGCAGAGTCGGGCTTTGCTTGCTGGTCAATGCTGGTCAACTGCCAGATGTTACAGGCACGGTCTCTCTCTTTGAGATATGGGTTCTATTTCGATGCAAAGCTCTAATTCACAATACAAAAGAACCAAGAGTCATACTCTTTGGTTTGTTTCGGTAAAGTCACGTAGGTGTAAAATGAAATAATTCCCGACGTTTCGGGCGCAACACAAGCGTCCATCATCAAGTGGGAAAGCATGATCTGCTGCTGAGGCAGACTGGAGCGTTGGGCCAGTATATTTTACCAGCTGAGGCCCACTGAGCTCGATAGCTCTTTTCAGAAGCGACCTGGCCACAAATGATAGCTCAACGAAGTGGCTTATCATGTGGAAAGGTATAGCAGCCAAATACTCTAAACCAGGGGTCGGCAACCTACGGCTCCGGAGCCGCATGCGGCTCTTTACGGGCTGCTTCTTGACGATATGTACGTATGTACAGTATGTACTCAGATGCATTGCGGCTCTTGAAATACTGAATTTTGTACCGAATTGGAAAGAAATGGCTCTTCTTGTTATTTTGGTTGCCGACCCCTGCACTAGACGCATGATGTTGATTCTAAATGTGGAGGGGGAAACCGGAAGACCCGGAGCAAAATCCACGCGACCACGGGGAGAGAAAGACACGCAGACACACAGCAGGCGTCAGGGTCTGGATAGAACCCACGACCTCCCGCACACGAGGCGAGGGAGTTAACATCTCGCCGGCTAGACAGGAGGTGGAGTCACGTCACTGAGTTTCCTGGGTATTCAGGCGGAATGGTGACGGTAACAATCCCAGCAGCGCGACCAACACAGCATGATATATGATACCCGATGATGATATCTGACAGTGGGACGATGCTGCCCCCCCGAGGTCGACTCAGCCTTAAACGAGTATAGGTCTTGATGTGGTGTGCATTGAACAACAGCATTTGGGAGACAAAGGCGGCCGGGCGTGGTGATGGCCACATCACCCCTTCATAGATGCTACTCCCTAACAGGACTTACCGCAAGAGCCCGCTGAAGTCTACACGGGGTGGCGGGGGGGGGGCTTTGTGTCCGTGAGTCGCCCTCTCACCTGGGCCAGTGCAGCGCACCCCGTGTGGCCGTGGCCGCCGATCCCAGTTGGAGTCGGGGCCCGACGGGTGCCCGGCCCCCGCCGGGCCCCCGTGGAGCCCCGCACACAGAGCCCGCACCGCGCTCGCCGACAGCAGTGCCAGGTCCAACCGGGGGGTCGCCAAGGGGCCGGGGGGGGTTCCAGGAGTCCCCGTCTCGGGGGCCCACAGCTCCGAGGTTCCCGATTCTCGGGGAGCCAGGTTACCAGGGGTCCCCAGTTCCAACCCCAGCAGCAGCACCCGGGCGGCCCCACCTGGGCCCCCGCACTCGGGACCCCCTGGCAGGGGGAGCCCCCCCAGGGCCGCCTCGCACAGGGGTCCAAGGCTCCGTAAAGACGCTGGAAACCCGGCCATGGCGAGGCCCTGGGTGCGGGGCGTGTGGGGGCCAGGGCGACCCCTGCTGCCCGAACCCCTCAACTGCAGCAACGTCAAAATCAGGGGATTCGCCTCCTGCTTCCTTGACCTGCCCCTGAAGGCAACGTGAACAATACAGGACAGCATGAGTGTGGTACGCAACCAACCATCCACACGGACTTCCTTCAGGGAGTGCATCATCGCTCTGCGCCGGTTTCGACATCCAGAGTCTCATCAGCAGAGTCAGGATTGCATGAACCATTGATTGGTTCAACACAAACTCTGGTCAGATTTCGACATTCTGAGGCAGGCTCGCTTTGGCCAATGCTGAACTGCCAGATGTTCAAAGGCGAGGGCCCTCCTCCCTCTCTGTGATGAGATGTGAGTCCTGGTTTGGCGCATAGCTCTGTCACGGTGACGCGGAACTCAGGGGACCCTGGCAGCTTCAGTTGTTGTCCAATTCACTTGCGCCACTTCCGATCACAACCCGAGTCGGCCAGTCTCTCAGATTTATTTTGACAGTGACCCACGACAAGATAACCAGGGTACAGTTCATCAGGAACTGCCGATGGTTTTGCCATAACGCATCGGCTGTGTTGCTGTATACACGTGTGTGTGGGGGGCGTCTTCAGGCTGAAGTAACTGGGACCTGTGTGCGCCTCCAGTGGCTGCAGGAGCTCCGTCGAATCCCGTGCGGCACGCGGTCACGTGAGAGTTGGCTTCATCGATCAGAAAACCATAGCACTAGAAAACCGCTTATCGGTTTTCTCCACTTGGGGCTATGTTCAGTAGGGTCCCGTCCACATTTTACAGCAGACGGCACGATGTTAAACTAAACTCATTTTTATTTTACCAAGGCCCACTGGGCTATATGGCTATCACAAATGACAGTTCAAACCAAGTGGCTTATGTGAACATTTTGATCAGCCAAATACTCGAAACGCAAATGGATTCTAAATGTGGAGGTTAAAACCGGAGGACCCAAAGAAAAATCGACGCAACATCATGGAGAACATGCAAACTCCAATAAAGGCCTCAGGGTCGTGATTTAACTCACGACCTCCTGTATACCAGAAAGTTAACATCTCACCACCGCGGATGCTGTGGTCTCAATTGAATAATTTGCAAGTGATATTTAGTAAATATTATTGATGCCCTGTTGCACCACCAGTGAGAAATGCTACCCAATGCGAGCGGCTCAAAGAAGCCACAGCCTCCATGAGAGGCGATTGTGAAACCTGAGACCCTAAAATCCCAGGGGATCCCCACCACCCCGAGAGGCCACGGGACGCTGCAAGTGTCCCGCGAGGCCCTCGGCACCTCCCACAACCTGAGGCGGCCACGGCAAGCACTCTGCACAGCCGCACCAAGGGAGACAGGAGCCAGGAGGAGACAGCCGCGTTTATTTAAAGCAAGGCGGGACGAACGACGGCCGGCAAACGCACGGCGCCAGCCGCCAACCCCCGCCAGCAGCCGAAGATAAAAGCTTCAATGACGAACAGAATCGACAGAAACGGTCCGCGTCACCACCGTATATACACCCCAATACCTCACCATTGTTGACCCAACACGAGCACGGAGATGCAAGGATACAGAATATTCTCTTCGACATGAACCACGTTTCTCTTAGTGTCGACACCCGCATAATATACTGTGCGAACATTCAACGCGGGTGCCGGCATCAAATCGTAGGGAAAACATTTTCTTGACGAGAACCTTCTTTTTGGAATGAACGAATTTTATGACTACGCTTGTTTACCCAGGAAAGCCTCAGAGTTTCAAGACTCTTTATTCAGGAGGGTCCTGCCAAGTTTGCTGCTGTGTGTGGGATCTCAATTTAGTTATTTGTGTGGTTTATTTTTATCTATAGGAAACCAAACATTTCAGAGGAAACCCATGCAGAACCAGAACAAGGAGTACAAACTCCACACAGAAAGGCCCCCGATTCAGGAATTGAACCCAGGCTCTCCTTCCTGTAAGGTGCAAATGTCACCACTGCGCCACCACCGGCCGAAATGGGTTACGTGGGGGCCAATGCTTAATATAGGAAAAGACTGCGAGCTCCAGCCGCCTCTGAAGATCACCTCGGACGTGACTCCAATCCCTTACTTGCTCCTCCTCCACACGAGCAACACCCACGGGGAGCAGCAGGAACTCGACTCCACCGGCATCACGGTGCAGGGCCTGCCGCAGCATCGCCGCGCGGAGCTGAAAGTGCACGCTTCCTTTTCAACAAAAGCCATAACGCAGTTCACCCAACACACGGCATCAGCGAACAATCACCCGCTGTGCGAGGCCGTGGTCTCGTGACCGTGGAATACCGCGTCCCCACGTGGACTGCTCCACGGCATCATTTGTCACTGAACATTCTCCGAGTCCTCTGGGAGACTGGAGAGGGTGGAATGAGATCAGCAGTAGCCACAGCCATAGCGATAAGCCGCACTGGATGTGGTGTGCTGGGTGCATAATTATTTTACAGGTCACTGACCTGGTACAGACCCAGATGAAATTAGGCCCTGGGTTAAACCCTGCATGGCTGTGGCCCCCAACTAGCCGGCTGCTCAGGTAATTGGTTGACCCACAGGCATCTCCACTGGCTTGGCTGACCAGCCGGTTAACCGTTCAGCTTGCTACTCAATACCTGACGGACTTGCGAGTTACACATTCCACCATATTTCTGTTTCGCTTACTAGGTGCCTACTTAACCGTATTGATTACTGCTTGGCTAAGAGAGAGGCTACTCAGATAGCTAAAGAGATCGACTGGCTACGAGTAAGAATAGCTGGATGATTAAAAAGACCAGCTGGTGAATTGACTAGGTGAGCAACTAGCCGGCCAATACGAGCGATGAGTCGTGTGGCTAGCCATGTGGCTAGAATATGTCCATGCGGGGGGGTTGTTGTGGGAGGGCTGAGTAGAAAAGGATGTATCCTGCGGAGGTCGACACGTTCTTGGGGTAGATGAACTCCACCTCGTGGTCATCGAACTTGAACCAGCTGTCGCGGACCGTGTTGTGCGCGTACGCTGTATAGTGGCCGCCATCCAGAGAGCCGTAGTGATTCTGGGGAGAACCAACAATTGAATAGGGGAAGGGAACAGAGATATCCCAATTGTGTAAAATAGCGACAAGTTACTCAATTGAGATTGCACACAGCAGTAGCATTGCCCCCTACTGCTGCCAATCACTGGGCAGGACCCTCCTGAAAATTATCTTGAGGATTTCTTGGGTAAACAAAGGTAATTTTCAAAAACCGTATCATTCCGGATGTTCACCCAGGAAAGCCTCGCTCAATTTCGAGACTCTACAATTTCTAAGCGTTATACAAATTAATCATCAATTAACTTTGCAAGTGATTTTCTAAATTTGGATCATGACAGAGGCACACAATAGCCTACTCTTCATTGAATATCACGTGATTTTTAATGTGTGAAGCAGACAGTGTGAAGTGCAGTAGGGTTAACACACCACGTAGCATTAACCAGGGCAGTCACTGTGGGTGACGACGCAATAGGTCACGGTGAAATGGTTAATGATGCTGTGGGTGATGATGCTGTGGGTAATGATGTCACAGATGATGATGATGATGATGACACCTGCAGTATTAACAAGGTCGGCCCTCCGGATTCGAACTGAGAACCCCTTGAACGAGCGGTGAATGAGCTTCTGCTCGGCATGTCACCGCCCCTTACGTGGAGAGGGAGGCAGCGAGCAGTTGAGGTGGCGGGGGAGGTAGGCAGTGAGTGGTTGAGTGGGCAAGGTTGAGTGAACGAGTTGCGTGAACGAGTGAATGAGCGGTTGAGTGGGTGGGCGACTCTCACCGATACGGCGTACAGGTTGTACTCGGAGTATCGATTCTCTTTGTTGATGATGTACGGCTTCATGTCCAGCGACGTGAGCGGGAAGCCCACGTTCGTCTGCAGCTTTTGCTTCCAGCGGCCCGAGTAGGAGAATCTGCACACGGGTGAGCATGGGCGAACATCCACGAGTTCACACGTGTGTGCAATCGTGACCAAACACACGAGAGTAATTGAGGCCACTGCTGCCCTCCCGTGTTTTGGACTCAGCGTGTGAACCGGTGGCTCCATGAGCACTGGTGGCTCCATGCGAACCGGGTGGAGATCAATCAACACAATCACTATCACGAGTGCTGTGGTTGTGACAACTTGATTTGATTGGCTCAGTCTAATGGTGGAGGGTATACCTTAAAATTGGCATTATCCCTTCACAATCTAACCCAAAAGTAACTAATTACGAATCAGTCAGAGGAGAAAATGGAGGTCTGGAGCGTGGACCTGAACAGGGGGAAGGGAGTTCCAGACAATGGGAGCAGCAGAGGAGAATGAGCGACCTCCCACTGAGTGAAGGTTGAATGTGGGAGTTGATCTGTCCCAATGCAATTGATTATAAAACTAATGATATGTGTAGTGAATAACTTCTATAAGACGGACGCTGGGAATTTCATGGCAACACAGAAGAAGCCATGCAGACACCCGGAAGAACACAGAACCGGTGAGGGTTGTAGATGTGAAGTGGCAGGTTGGGGGCGGGCCAATTGCCAAGACTGGCATTGGAGTGGTCTTCACAAGTTCGGCGACCAAGTGGAAGAGAAGACTTAAGTCCAGACAGTGGGAGACTGTCAGGGAAATTCTATGGGTCTCTGTGAGAGTCCGAAGGTCTCTGTGTGCGAGTCTAAGAGCAGATGGTGGGAGGCTGTCAGGGCAGATCTCGGAAGTCGCCATGCATCTCCGGTGCAGCAGCACCTGCAGGATCTAGCGCAGGGTGGAAGGTGTCAGAGTAAGGAGTTGCAATGGCGGTGGCATCTAATCTCTACGGTGACCGCTGCATTCTGTCGCCAAGGGTAACTGTCATTAACTGGGTACCGGCGGGGGGCAGGGGGGTTCCGTACCGCTTTAGATGGATGATTAGCACGGGTGGCAGCCTCCAGATCTCCATCGTCTTGACAGACTCGCGCCGCTGCTTGCAGTGGCTGCACAGGTAGCGGTTGGCATCTGTCATCTTCTCGGGTTTGGAGAACATCTGCAGGCAGTCCTGCGGGCGGAGGGACGAGACGATGGCCCCCCGTGTAGGCAACACAGACAATCGGGGCAAGTGTGGTTAGCGAGCACCTATTAAGGGCACCGCGGCGCACCTACCAGAGGCTGGTGCGGCCAGCGCCACACGCCTGGTCACCTCTGCCTCCCTCGTGCAAATTTTTAGACACCATACCAGGTATTGAATGAGAGCACGCCCCTGTAAGGGAGGCCTGGTACAGGGTTCAGATATCATTCACCACCGCGGTTTAGCCCTGGCATGGAATCAATCTCCCTGGTTCTTGGCCCAGTGCGCAAACCCCTGCGCCACCGCATGTCATGACATCGCCCAGAATGGCGCCCGATCGTGTCAGATCATAAGTTGAAGCTGCACAGGGCTGAGCCATCCTCACACAGACACCCTGCTATCGCCATCCTTTGGCGCAGTGACGTGGCCCAGCGGCAGCGCATTCGCCGCTCTTTGCAGAGGTTTCGCGGTTTGAATTACTGCAGGATGTATTGACCATATGCTACTACGCGCCATCTGCTTCACAGTGGACGTTAAAAATCACGTTAAATATCTAATGAATACAGTTACCCTGCAAACTACCCACTGGAATTACACACAGCAACAGCATCACCCCCGACTGTGAAACATATGCGGACTGCCTGTGAAGCACAGTAGCGCCTTCCTGCTACAAGAACGACAGCGCGAACACGAACTCAATCGTCGTCAATGTCACCATCGTAATCATCATCGTCGGCGTCATCACCTGCAGCGTGCACTTGGAGGTGGTGTCGGAAGGCAGGTGCAGCGTCAAGTTCATGAAGACCTCGAAGGTGCGCGACACCTTCTGGCAGGTGAGACACTTGATGGTGGAGCGGAACTGCCCGTGGAAGAGGGTGACAAGGACGGACTCGTTGATGTGCTTGTACGCGTCCCACGCGAGCTTTGCCGCCATTGAGTCGGACAGGTGCTCCGTCTTCTCCTCCTTCACGCGCACTCGCTTTGCCTGCGCACAACAACCATCACCACCATCATCATCAACGTTGTCGTAATCAGCATCACCTCAGATTAGCACAGTTAGCTATGTACAGTGCGAAAGAAGTTGAACATATCATCCGGCTATTTGTATGCTGCACGTTTAAAAGCCTCGGCAACTCACAGCGCCTTACGCCTCATCTTAACTTAAATAATTCTAAGGGCACACCCAGTAGCAAAGGTCCCTGTGCGGCACAAGGTGACGCAGATAGTGGCCTGCGAGCGGGCATTGCTCAGGCACCTTTCTGTGTTCGAGTTTACATGTGAGTGCGAGTAAACGTGTGCGCGAGAGCGGATTATGTATGATTTCGCCCGGTTCTGCATGGGTTTCCTCCAGGTTCTCTGGTCTCCTTGCATAGCTAATTGGTATCGGCAAAACATCTCAATGCCGAAAAATTCCTTGAAAATTACTCAATTGGGATCACACAACAGCAATATCACCCCCTACTACTATCATGTTATTGCATTGTTTGTTTTTGTATTATTTGTTTTTGTAACGTTCTTACACACCCCTACTGGACATCTGTGAAAAAGAGCTTAAAAGCTCATCGAATTCCTCCAGGATAAATAAATATTCTGATTCTGAAAGAGTGTTGCGACTCGGTGCTGTGAGGGCGGGCTGCTAGGGCTCGCCTGGTTGAGGTCCTCGTGCAGCCCGTCGAGCAGAAAGATGAGCAGCTCCTGCGAGTCGTGTTGCTCCGTGCCACAGAATTGATCGTTGAGACGGCCAATCATGAACTTGAAGTCGCGGGGGGTGATGGAGCGGTACTGGCCCGACCAGAGTGCGCGCACAATAACTGCAAACTCCTCCACCACCTGGCCCTTGCGGCCAAGGGGGTTGTTCCTGAACAACATTTGCAATTGTTAATGTGTGCCGCGAAGTGATGCTGACAGCACCACGGAACTTGTTACAGGTTAGGTGCACTTTGAGGCGAAGGCTCGCCGGGTAGGTCACGAGAGAGACCCAGGTGCTAGTGGTTGACTGACTGAGACAACTGGCAGATGCACTACCTGCACTCCACTGTGCCAACTCGCTGCGTTTTGGCTGCCAGGCACTCTGCCAGTAGTTGAGAGTGTCGCTCCTCTGCCCTCCGCTGTTGCTTTAGGGCAATTGCCTCCAACTGCTCAGAACAATCCTTCACGAGCCTCCTCCACAGAGGCCGATCTTGGTACCGCTGGTATCAGTTATCAAGAAGTGCGTGTCAGGAGAGTGTGTGTGAGAACATGAAGGCTTTGAGAGTGCGGACACGCACACCCTTCCTGCGTCGCAACCGCTTACACACCCCATGCGCACTGCACGCACACTGCACACACAGATACGCCACTCGCAAGTTACAGCCAAAAACTTCTCACACGCACTCAACACCTGCAAATCACAAGCACAATGCCTACAGTCTTCCCACGCACGCCGCGCACGACACCCGTACGAGGTACACCCCGCCGGGCACCCCACACTCGCACCTGTTGATGTTGTTGACGTACTGCGAAGTGAGGAAGTACTCTGCGAGCGACGTGGTGTTGCTCAGGCACTGCACCACCGAGTTCATGTAGCACGTGTTGCCCAGGTTGCGTAGGCCCGTAAGCGCGCGGCCCATTCTACCGTATGTCGGGTTGAGGTGGCGCATCGGCAGAATCGCTGAGGACTGCGCCCGCACCACCGCCGCAGGCACTGGCCTGACGCACGCACAACGCATAAAGGTAAAGATCCCCCATGTGGCCTACGCAGGCTGCTGGAGCAATCGCTGTTAGCGAGCAGCACCCGTGAAATGTGGCATGGTGCGGCACCGACAAAGGTGTGGTGTGGCTGGTACCACGCCCAGCCACCTTTGTCTCCTCCCGGTGGTGATGCTTAAACAAAGGACCTAGAGGAAGTCCAGGACCAGTTTGAGGTATCAATCACCATTGCTGTCAGGTACATGTTAGTGCTGCTGGGGCAGCAACTCATCGGAAACTTGAAGCCAAGTTTAGCCAACGTGAGAATTGTTCTGGAACTCACCGGTGAGTGAGCTGAAACAAAAACTATTGGCGCGTCGTGAAACACTTGCACAAAACGCGATGGTTTAATATGTTTGGCTGCGTCGGATGGTGAAGGGCATCGCCACATAATTTTGGGCAGACAATTATGTGGCCCGTCCCAAAAATCATTTGCGAATCCTAACATCAGCTGTGAAAGCCTAATCGTTAAAGAAAACACACTGGCAAGCATCGGTGCATGACGCTTGTGCCCGTGTGCGCCCCCCCCACCCCATGCAGGCACCTCGCTGCGGGCCCACGTACTTGCTGGCGCGGTCGAACTGTGGCTTGGGGCGAGGCCCCCCGTCCACCACCGTCCGCTCGTCCTCCTCGTCAATGTCCATCCCCAGCTGGGCAACATTGGGCGAAGAGAACGAGCGCTGCAGGCGCGGCCGGTCCCGCTCGCCCCCCTGGGTCGCGGCGGTGCGGGCCGTAGGGGCCGGCTGGGTCGGGCGGACGTCGGTATGACTGTCCGGGGTGTGGCGCGACGGTCCCATGCGGCCGTCCTGGAAATGAGCGGGGGCGGTAAACGCATGCTGCACGTGAATATTTGAGCGTGAACAGCGCTCGCGCGTGAAGACCCGGAGACGCGTGTGTGCACGTGTGTCCACACGTGCACACATTGGTCTGTGCGTGTGCGCTTACCCTGCAGAAGCTTAAATAGGGGAGGAGCAGTGTAGTTAGTTTGTGTGTTTGGTGTTTATTTGTTGCATTTCGTATGTGGTTGGTGGATTAGTCTGCAATTTGTATTTGTGATGCGGTTGGGGTGTGGCTCATACGGTTGGTGTGGGGTTGGTGCAGTTGGTGTGAGTGGTGTGCGGGCTGTCAACCAGCGCACACGAGGTCACACCATGTTTGCCTCCGTATGCCTTTAAACGAATTGCCGCCCCCACTTCAAATAAGTGCTGCCCCTCCTAAAACAAAAAGTGCCGTCCCTCCGAACAAGAAGTACCGCTCCTCACAAATAGGAAGTGCTGCCCTCATCGCCCGCTACCTGCATCCTGCCACGCTGATCCTGCTCCGCCTTCTCGCGAATCCTGGAGACCCGCTCGGCTTCCTCGCGCTGCCGATTCTCCGCTTCCTCCTGCTGCTGGCGCAGCCGTTCTGCTCGCACGTCCTGCTGATGTCATCGTCACAAACGGACAGGGGCGGCTCCCACATGTTCACGCATTTCGCGTCATGAACTCTTGCTAGCGCCGGGTGATTCGCACAATCGACGGCAGCCCCGAATCGTGAATTACAGGAATCAAACGGGATTCCTCACGGGATAGTGGGAGGTTCAGTGGGGGAGAGAGTCGGTGAGGATGTGCCACTGATTGTACTTGTCGATGACTGCTACCAGGAGTCAAGATTGGCCGTCATGGAGGAGGTTCGTGAAGGACGCTATTGGGCGATTGGAGGCAGTCGCTCTCAAACAGCGGCAGGCAGAGGAGCGATGCTCACAATAATGAGCGGAGTGTCAGGTGGCTAAAACACAGCAATTTGACATAATAGGGAGCACAGGTGGTGCATCTCACAGCCATCTCAGTCAATTCGTAACACCTGGGTCTGTCCCATGACCTACCGCCAGCGAACCATCCTCACTTCACGTGGACTCAAAGTACACCTAGCCTGGCACAAAAGCTGTGGTGATGTCATCACCACTTAGTGGCTAATGGCGACTGTTTTTGTTGAAGTTGAATGGGTGACTTGAGTGTGTTGAACATAGTGTGAATGAGACAAGTGTTTGGCAAACCGACTCCTCAACAAGGGTGGAGGAATCAACGGTAACCACGGTGGTAGCGATAGAAGCGTGACATTTTGGACCTTTGGGCCTGCGCTCAACAACTGTACGCATGGAGAAGTTGGGTTTAGCAGTGACATAAACGGGGATTGACAGCCAAGGAACCATCCCGAGAATTATTTGTCTGCGGCTGAAGAGACGTTAACATGGGAATCGCTCACAGAGGAATTGGGATTTCTGAAGAAATCTTCCGTGATAAAACCATGGGATTTATATGTGCGGTTTAGATTTTTGCCAACAGGAATTGTCCAGCGCTACCCACTCACACCCTCCACTCGACAGACATGAGGAGCACGTACCGGCGCATGGGGTGGAGGGCTCTCTTTGGCAGATCCGATAGCGGGGGAGGGCACTGCTCGATCCTTCTCTTTTTCCTCCTTCTCTAAACGCGCTCTCCGTGTTCTCTCCACGTGGTCTTTCCTCGCCCTTTCCTCGTCCTCCAACTTCCTCCTCTCCTCCGTCTTCCTCTTTTCCTCCTCTGCCCACTTCCTCTTCTCTTCCTCCTCCGCTGCCCTCCTTTTCCTCACCTCCTCGGCCTTCATCCTCTTCTCCTTCTCCACGCGCGCCTTCTCCTTGATGCCTGCGGCGTTGCGCGCAATCTCCTCGCGCTCGCGCGCAGACAGCCGCTCCGGGCCGGGCACTGCCGCGGCCGCAAACCCGGCGGCCCGGGCGGGCACCGGGTTGGGCCCCGCGGTCGCCACTGCCGGCTTCTTGGAGCGGTCCACCTGCGCTCAGTCATCACAGAGACGAACAGATCACACCGCAGACACCTCAACGTCTCAGGTCCACACCGTCAAGAGAGCTGGGCTCTCCTCGATTTGGAAACACGCAAGAAACACGCAGTAATTGCCGTCCTGATTAAAAGCTTGGCAGTACCTTCGAGCACCCATATTTCAGAGCGGGCCCTTGCCTGTAACAGCTGGCAGTTCACCAGCATTGCTTCAAGTGAGCTGGACCATGCTGATGAGACAATTAATATCAAAACCTGACCAGAGTTTGGTTTGTGTACAACCAATACTGCTGAAATGATGCACTCCCAGAAGGAAGGCCGTGTGGCGGATGGGATGTGTACAAATATGTTTTTACGTGGAAAGACCGACATGTGAAGGAGGGGTATCATCGTTTGCGTGTTCATTTTGCTACTCATATCGTCCACGATGTAAGGTAAGATGTAATGTAAGCCAATGATTATTTTGAAGCTTCGCAGAGCTTTCATGGGTAAAGTTGTACCAATGTAATAAGAGAGCGCCATCTCCTGGATTATTGTGGGGTTACATTTACATTGATACAGTCCACGTATTATCTAGAGTAGTGATTCTATCTGGGGGAAAGGTGAATGGGTGGATCTAGCAGGGAAGCCTCCGAAACGTTCTCGAAGGTTCCAGGAGGGGCGTGGCCAGAGGCGGGGCTTAGCCTCCGAGAAGGGAATATAAGCCGGGGGTACAGCAACGTGCGGGGTCGGTGGTTGAAGATGGAAGAGGAGCTCCCCGTCGCTGCTGCCCCGCCATTCCACCTGCCACGTGGCGGCTCGACCTCCAGCCGCCCGATAGCGCACCGCCAGCCAGGCGGTGCATTAGCGAGAGGGGTGAGCGCCACGTGGCGCGGGGCAGCGCAGCCACACGAGCGGGTCGACATCCGCGGGAAGAGAGGGTGGCTGTACCGAAGATTTAATAAATACAGTAAAACTTTGGATTGTGAGCATAATTCGTTCCGGAAACGTGTTCGTAATCCAAAGCACTCGTATATCAAAGAGAATTTCCCCATAAGAAATAATGGAAACACAGATGATTCGTTCCACAGCCCAAAAATATTGGACTCATATAAAAATGATTAATACAAAATACCTTTTAATATTTGTATTATTTAAATTTAATATAAAGTAACCAAATGTATGAATTAGATTTAATCGTGGCTGGTGTGAGGGAGACGAGAGAGAGGAGAGGAGGGTTATTGTGTCGGACGACTTTCACTTGCAGTACAGTTACTAAAGAACAGTCACTACACTTGGACACAAAATTAAAAAATGCTTTACGCACACACTCGTCGTCACAACGCTACAGTAAGCAGTATACGCTCGCACGGATGTTGACTATACGAGTGAGGCACGCCGACTGAGACCGAGCATGGGAGACGATTACCCACAATCCCGCAGCGAGAGAACCATTGGCTCAGTTGTGATCGCGTGACGCTCGGCAGACAAAGCGTGTACTGTACGTACTGCTCGTATTGCAAGACATCGCTCGTTTATCAAATGAATATTTAATTTAAAAAATTGCTCGTCTTGCAAAACACTCGCAGACCAAGTTACTCGCAATCCAAGGTTTTACTGTACCTTGAAGTTACTTACCGTGTCGGAGCCACCAACGATAATTATTATCGGTTCGATTGCTCGTCCACCATTGCGAGAGGGCTGCCCGTTTCAACGGGCACACGGTGTTGTGATGCGATGGTGACGGTGCCCTGCGCTGCTATATTATGACTGCGGCGGGCCTTCTTCGGTACCTGAGGAATGCTCTTGGCTGCAGCAGTGGGAAGGCCCGAGGGCAGGGCATCCAGAGAGCCCCCTGGGGCGCTTGCCGCGGCGGAGGCAGTGGCGCCACCACCACTCTGCTCGGGCTCCGGCCGGACACCCGCGACGAGAGTGGAGGACCCCACGTCCCGCACGGTGGGGGGAGGGGCAGGGGGAGGGGCCGGGGTCGGGGGAGGTGGGGGCTCCTCCAGTGAGGGGTAGTTAAGTTCCACTGTGAGTGATGGGAGAGAGAAATGTGGAGTCACCCAATAAGCAAGAGGGCAATTGGAGGGTTAGTGAAATGAGGGAGGTGAGCAATGGTGAGTGGAGTGAGTTTAGAGAGTGTGGGGTGATGGTGGGTATAGGTGATGCTAGGTGTGCATATTGATTGTGCTTACAGGTTATGATGGGCAGGAGTGAAGACAGTGTGCATGTATGACGTGCGAATGACAGTATGTGTGCCAGTATGGTATGCATTCAGGGGTAATTGGATGGGTGCATGCGTGGGTGCATGGGTAATTAGGTAGGTGCATGTATGCGTGGGTGATTGCGTGTGTGTGTGCGATTAGGTGGGTGCGTGCGTGCGTGCATACAGAGATCAGGCTGGGTGCTGGGTGGCCCCGGCCTGGCTGGCACATGCACATGTGGCTCGCTGCACCACATGGGGTAGTGCAGCAGCCAGTTCTCGTAGCCACCCTCCAGCACCAGCGGCTGGCTGCGCAGGATCGTCATGCTGTCCCACTGCACGCACGATCCACGAGACACACAGGGAAACAGCTGCACATGCGACGTGCATACGAGCCGTGTCGTGTTGCGTTGCGCTAAGCTCTGCGGCGACGCGGTCGAGGAATTATCTTTGTGTCAGGCCTTGGTCATCCGTCGTGTTACTTTCCTCCATCGTTTGGCATTTTGGTCCTCAATTATTTGTATTCATTTTGTGCTTTGCTGTTTTGTTGTGCCCCCATGTGTGTTGTGCCAACTTCTACAGTTGTGTTCTCATTGTGACCTGTTGCGTTCCCCCGTCACATCATTGCACATTCCTCTACTGTCAAGTATCGTCTCGTATCGTGTCCGTATTGTTCCTCCCCCCCATCGTGCCCCCCCCGCCCCCGTCGTGTCTCCCCGTCCCCCGCCGTTGTCACCTTGTAGATGGCGTCGCGTAGGCTGTGCAGCGTCGTTCCCAGCAAAACGTCCTCTGGGCGGCTCCTCCAGTCCAGGAGCAGCACGTAGTCCACCCTGCCCCGGTCGCCCCACAGCGACAGCGACTCCTGGGGCAGGCCTACCTCTATCTGCGCCACTGTGGTCCTGCACCAAACCAACAGTGGATATATCGTCTGGTGCTGCTGCAGCTGCTACATTGCCAATTATGCACAAGCACAATTAACAAAATAACTCAACATTTTCAAAGACAACAGGTAAAAATAACACGAAAAATATACAATAAGCGACATTTTGGGCACAGGTGTGCGTGTGTGAGCAGTTGGCACATTGGGGAGCTCAGGTGGTGCATCTGCCAGCAATCTTAGGTCAGTCACCCCATGGTACCTGGGTCTGTCCCATCACCTCCTGCCAGCAGCAAGCGCCCGTGATGACTTCCAAGGACACCTAGCCTGGTACAAGGGCGTTGGTGATGACACCGCCACCGGGTGGCGAATGGTGGCTGGTAATGTCATGTTCTCACTCACCCCGGGTTGATGGCCTCCTCCGGTACGCTGATGCAGCGGACTGACATGATGTGGGAGGCCGCGTAGTCGATGGAGGGCCGTGCGTCCATCAGCACCAGCTGGACGTCACTGCCGCTGAGCATAGAATAGAGCTGCTGCGGCGTGATGCTGGTACGGCAGGGGCCTACGCGCATACACGCACGCGCACAGACCCCGTGTGTCAGCACGAGCACTGTCGCAGGTGTAATAGATAAGAGTGTAACATGTTTCTGGAATTGAGCAAGGTTATTATTGGAAGAACTTGCGAGGGGGGGGGGGGGAACGAGACGATGGTGGGTGGGAAATCCAAAGTGGAGTGGTGCGAGAGAACAAACAGAGAGAGGATGAACGTTTTGAGCTATCTCAATTAAAAAAAGAGGGATGATATCGTCATCCTCTCAGCCGACAAGGGCAATGCCACAGTCATCATGGACAAAAACACATACAATAACAAAATTGAGGACCTACTTAATGATGGTAGCTACACAAACATTTCAAGAGATCCCACCAACAGCCTCGTTACAAAAACCAACAGCATCATCACTGATTCGGCTTCATTAATTAAACAAACCAAAGGTTTTCCTTAAAACCCTCTGCTGCTCGACCTCCCAGATTGTATGGATTACCAAAAATCCATAAAGAAGGTACACCCCTTCGTCCTATCGTCTCTACCATTGACTCACCCACATACAAACTAGCCCGGTTTCTGTCTGAGACTTTGCAACCATTCACTGGTAAGACCACCTCATCTGTACTTAACTCAGCTCACTTGGTATCCTTAATTAAGGACATCTCACTATCTCCAGGTGAGTTGCTCGTTAGTTTAGATGTAGTTTCTTTGTTCACCAAAGTTCCTGTGCCCGACACCAAAATTTAGTCCAACAAGGATTTAATGCTGATGTACTGGCCTTGGTTAGACACTGCCTCACCAATACATACTTCACCTGGAATGGAACATTTTACAAACAAGTTTAAGGCACCCCATTGGGTTCTTCCTTATCTCTGGTTGTAGCCAATGTTTTCATGGAAAATTTTGAGACAGATGCCATCCAGGCCTCCACTTTACTTCCATCCTTGTGGAAGAGGTACGTAGATGACACGTTCGTCATCTGGCCACATGGCCGACCAGCTCTGAACCAATTCCTCAACCACATTAATTCCATACACCCAGCCATCAAATTCACCATGGAGGTGGAAAATGATGATCTAATCGAAAAGAGACCAGATGGCTGAATGGTACACTATGTCTACAAGAAAGCAACTCATAGGGATGCCTACCTAAAACCGGACTCCCACCACCAACCATCCCAAAAGAATTCCCTCCTCAAAACTCTACACCACAGAGCTCGATGTATCTCCGACCATCATCACCTAGCCAGTGAACTGAAATACGTGCACCAAGCTGTCAAGCTGAATGGATATTCGAACCACACAATCTGTCAAGCTATCACCCCAACACAGTACATAAAATTCGTGATCTGATCCCATCTGTGAAAGATAGGATCCCCGATATGCAATACCATGGCGTCAACAAACTAAGCTGTGTCTGCGGCAGTAGTTACATTGGGGAAAGTAAACAACTAGTCTTGGACCGTGGTCGTGAGCATAAGGCAGATTTGAAACACGGTAGGACCAACACGTCGGCCGTGGCTGATCATTGTTGAAATGCGGTTGGCTCACACGAAATTGATTTCTCTAAGATGAAGGTACTTTGTAAGCCCACTGGCTATCAACAAAGAATCGTTCATGAAGCAATCCATATATACACAGACACAATTTAAACCGAGAAAATGGTTACAAACTTAGCAATCATTGGTAGGACGTTATCAACCAGTTTAAGTCATAACTGGCTGTGATATTCCCATCCTGCCACCTTCCGATGTTAGTTGTAATTTTCCGATTTTACATTAACAGGTTAAATTTCTCACACCAACACAGCCACCTCCGCACGCCGACCTCGACGTGGTGGTGGCTCTGCGATCTCTTACATTAACATGCTAATCTCTTACATTAACATGCTAATCTCTTACATTAACATGCTAATCTCTTACATTAACATGCTAATCTCTTACATTAACATGCTAATCTCTTACATTAACATGCTAATCTCTTACATTAACATGCTAATCTCTTACATTAACATGCTAATCTCTCACATTAACATCACTAGCCCCGCCCACTTCGTTTATGACCCTTGGGCTACACCCATTTTAAACCTTTAAAACAGTCTGCTTTTAGCAGCTTTCCCCTCTGTATTCCTCCTGATGACAATCGTTTGTGTTGTGATCGAAACGTCGTAGTTTTTTGTTTATCACATTTTTATTAATTGTAACCTATCTACGTGACTTTGTCAAAAGACCTAAAGAATAGAGAGAGAAGCGTGGTGACGCTCGAGTGTGGTAAGTGGGTGACTGAATGGGTAAGTGTGTGGGTGAGCCACACCCGGCATCATTCGGCTGCCGATACTGGTGGGGTCGCGAAGCCCCATCCTGTCACCTCCACACCAGTGGCACACGTGGAAAACGGTGACTTTTCTTGCGTAAATTATTTTCATGTTAGCCGGGTAGCTGAGGCAATGAACCAATCACAGGCAGATTTACCGATGTATTAAATAACCGTGCTGCTGGCAGAACTCTCCGAGCGTGGGAAACTCAGGGTGAGGGGGGATGAAGAGGTGAGTGAGGTGTCACTCACCGGTGTGGGAATTCGATTCTGTCGGCACAACCTCTGCGCCCGGCTGAGACCGAGAGCCAGGCGACCCCGACTGCCAACGACACACACTCGCATTTACACGCTGCTCACATCCACACACACATTTACACGCTGCTCACGGAGTCCCTCAAGGCAGCCTTTGGTTCATTCGTGAATTCCTACTGCACAAAGAAAACATGCGCCCATGGAAATGCACGAAACAAGCACGAAACAAGCACGCACATCTACACCCTCACGTTCTAAAGTAAGCACACCAATTGCGATGTACGTGCAGGCATGTACATGTGAGTGTGAACGTGTATGCATGGGTGTGTACATGTACATGCGCGAGTATACATTTGGGTAGGTGCGCGTACCCTGCGTTTCCTGGTCTCCGGGGGCCGCGTGCCGCCTGTGGCAGTGCCATTGCCCAGGGGGCCGTGCCTCCGATAAAAGTTGTCGTCGTCATCCGCGTCGTCATAGTCGTCGTCTCCGACCCCTTCATCCCTGAAAGCGGCGTCCTCCTCGGCCACTCGCTCTCGCTCCTCCAACCGCTGCCGAACCTCGGCCTCCTCATATCTACTCACGCACGCAGCCTCATGAGCAACCACACACACAACCATCTCCCATACAAATGTAATAATCGTAATGTTAATTTGTTAATGATAGGGCCACCCTCCTTACACCTAGATGACACATAGGTCTTTACAAGAGAGAGGCCACTTACACCTCATATTCAACATTTAAAAGGGCACCCCCGGTGGCACCTGTCCCCGTGCGGCACAAGGTGACTCAGCACCTGGCCTGCGGGCACAAGTCTGCCAAAAGAGGGCGATGATTGCTGGCATGTGTGTAATTCCAATTGAACGATTTTGTCAGATCACGCAGCCAAACCCAAACTCACGAACCATGGTCGTGGCTGAGAACACCTAGATGTGAAGCTAACTCTCAACCAGGGTTAAACGTGTCGCACGAGCTGAGCGAGCAGCCTGTGAGTGCTCGCAGCTACGCCAACCCAGACCTTGCCTGTTTTTGAGGCTCTCGGAGAGTCGCTCTGCCTCTCTCACAGCCTTGCTAAAGTTGTCGCTCCCCAGCATAGACAGGAAGAACCCCTGAAGATAAGGAGACAGCAGACACAGCACACGTCAGCACCAGCTGATCCTACTTCAAGGATACGGTGGACACAGTGTGCCATCATCAGTCCACTTCCTTCTCTTATATTGAACGACGGTCCAGCACTCAGCGGTTCACTCCAGTCACTCTTTCATTGATGGTCAGTCGCCTCTTTAGCACTCTTCTATCGCTGCTACTATGGCTATTGTTTCCGTGAACTTCACTCATAGATTCCTCCAGCTGAGTTGAGGACTCGGGCTACCAGACACTGTTCCATCTCATCCACACTGTGTTCAACCACCACACTCCAATTATCACTGTTGGCTAACTACGGTGTGAAAGATCAACATATATACATACACTGCAAGTCACAGCAACACACACACGACCAACAACAGGCGTAGCGTTCCGTCGGTCAGTGACTTCCTTGATACTCGTTGACCGTACGCCCTTCAAGGACTGATTTCATCACCCGTGGCAGAGACTCGTTCTGCCAGATTGTTTCCCCTCAGCCATGCTCCATTTCGCCCACTGACACCGTTTGACCGAGCATCTCTCTCCCTCCTGCCCCCATCACTGCACAGCTGAAGCTTAGGACTCCCTCCCACCTCCTCTATCCACACGTGCAGCCATTTCGTTACTCCCCGAAAGGCAGGAAACATAAGCCATTAGAGCATAGCACAGTAAAATAATATAGTCTGCCGCACTGTCCTCTGCTCCCGCCACATAGCACCTCTATAGTCAATAACACCTGCTTCATGCATGACGGTGGTTGCCCATCCAAGCACGATCCAGGCTCAACCCTGAATAGCTTTTAATACGGGATGCACCCCGGGTTATTTTGTCATGGGCATCGCCTCTACAACCTTGCTTGATCCAAGAACCGCGTTCGTTCTCCCCTGATGTACGATCACCAGCGCTCTATACTGATGCTCACTTTGTGTTGTAGGCCTCTGGACGCGCATTTGGCAATTACGTTCCGTTGGATGGAGAATTCGAAGAATGAGGAAGTTCTAAAGCAGGTTTAGGAGGAGCAAAATATAATCATAACAATCTCGAAAAAGCAGATGTGGTGGTGGTGGCTATGCATGTGGCTGTCTGCAATCCAGCATAATGGAGGAAGGGAGGGTTGGTGGATCGCATACATATGTTTGCAAAAACCCCTTCCCGTGGGTGCCGAGGAGAAGCCTGGTTTTCCTAAGACAGTACAGCAAAGTGCGGACTAATGTCATCTGTCCCTTCTGTGTGATGGGCAAGTGTTGCCTCCTCGCTCACGTGGGTTTTCTCCAGGTGCTCTGGTTTCTTCGCACATGTATACACTCATTCGTTGGCTGAAAACATCTGATTATACAGAGGATCCAGAGCCTGGGCAATTGTTAGTAGTGCTGACTAATCGCCGCCTGGCTGCTGCCTTCATGCTCAACTGTGGTTCCTCAACGATTGTGAGAGAGGGTGGGTGGCAGCTGGGATTTCAGTGAAATGGTGATGCTCAGACATGGTCCAGGGAATCTGAGCCGAGGACTTTCCACTCGGGCAGAGGCTGTATGGAGCGAGCGTCACCCTCACCTTGTCCTGTAAGAACTCTGGCGTCTTGCGCAGGTGGTCGACAATATGCAGGAAGCGCATGTAGAGCATGTAGGCGTTCTCCTCGTCGCGCTCCAGCCCATACTCCTCCGCTTTCTTCAGCACTTTACTTGCCGACTGCGCGTAGCTGCAAGCCCAAGACCGTCGCGTGAGGGATGAGATGAGGGCAAGGGGTAAGGGACAGGGGTTAGGGTAAGGGTTGGGGATAGGGCCTGCGCTCGGCTACACCATCATTTTCACAGCAGGAGCACTTCACGCGCGGGCATAGGGTTGCCATCTGGGTGGCAGGATGCTAATCCGTCAATCGCCACCTGTATTTGGGTGGAAGGAATTGATTTGTACCAAGGTCTGGTACCAGTCTTGTGTTGAACTCTATTACAGGATAGCGCACACTACTGTACTAATAGATCCAGGCTGACTGTTGGTCTACAGTGAAAAAAGCTGCCCACCCTCATTAGGCATGTCTGCCTCTTGCAGACATTCTCGTGAGCACAGTTGCATACATATCAACCCATAAGGTTGACCCGTATTTTTGTACAGGGAAATTGAGTTTTCAGGTCCATGCGGCGTACGGCAGTTTCAATACGAGCAAAACATGTTTTTGTCTATTTGTTTGTGTTTCTCCCTTGTGATGGGACTTTGCAGGATGAACGTTGAGATTTATAATGCCACGGGCTGACCAATAAGGTCTGAATTGGTCTGTAATAAGGTAGGCACTGATAAGGGGTTGACAGGTATGCAGTTGTGAGCACGAGTGTGAGCGTGAAGGTGTGAGTGTTGGCATGAGCGAGGAGGGTGTTAGCAGGACGGTATGATTGTAGGTGTGGGTGTGAAGGTGTGAGCGATGGTGGAGCGGTTAGCACGCTGCGCTACCAACCTGGCACCCCGAGTTCGATTCCCGCTAACAGCCAACATCGGTGACGATTATCTGAACCAGTCCTGGACCTCCCCTAGGTCGACTCAGCCTCAAATGAGGACCTGGCGCGGTGTGTAAACATCGCCTCGAGGGAGACAAATGCGGCAGTGAGTGGTGTTGGCCACCCACCCCCTCGTGTGCCGTACCCGCCTTCACAGGTGCTCGCTAACAGCACTCGCCCCAACAGTCTGCTCAGGCTACACGGGGGGTCTTTGTCTTTCTCTTGAGTATCGGTGTGAGTAGGAAGGTGCGAGTGAGTGAGTGAGTGAAGTGGCGTGAGTTGTGGTTGTGAGAAGGGCGGGAGGGCGCTCACCCCCGCGGGGACTTGGTCTTCTCGATCTTCACCTGCGCCAGGCTGTTGAGTTCGCCCAGCGAGGCGCACACGTGCAGCGGCTTCTTGTTGGAGAACTCGGTGAGGACCGGCATCGTGAACGCTCCTGGTGGTGCTAGCACCGGTGGAGCTGGGACGGCGTGGGGAGAATCTGGAAGGGATGATATTGGAGGTGACGATGATGAGACGTCAGGGTCAGAGGGCGGAGGTCAGGGGTCAAGGTGGAAGTCATCGCCCGGGTCAGATGGTGTCCATGGCTGTGGCTGTATCCGTCTATTCTTTGGGTCTTTCGGCGAAGTCACGTATAGGTCATTTATTATATTCATTAATTTGAACCCATCGACGTGACTTTACCGAAAGACGCAAAGAAAATGAATTCCTGCAGTCACGAAAGCTTTAAGTCAATATTTGTAATCGTGTAGTTACTGAGTTGCTATTTTAGTGACTGCGTGACTGAATTAGTTTGGCTGCATCAGTGAAGCCAGCTTCTGAGTTAGTGTCGCTAATCACATAGCTAATCAATGTACGGGTTAAGTATTGGCGAGTTATTGAACACGGCGAGTTCACGAATTCGCGTTAGTTGCCGAGTTAGCGGCTGAGGCGCCGCCGCCTCCGATTGGTCCGCGCGCGTCACGCGCTCGCGGCTCGGCCAATCACGGCGCGCAGAGCTCGCCTGGTTTGGGCCGCGGATTCTAAACGCAGCCGGGGCGGGGGGGCAGCCGGGGCGGGGGGGGCAGGGCAGGGGGGGCGGGGGGGGCAGGGCAGGGGGGGCAGCCGGGGCGGGGGGGGGGGGGGCAGCCGGGGCGGGGGGGGGGGGGGCAGCCGGGGCGGGGGGGGGGGGGCAGCCGGGGCGGGGGGGGGCAGGGCAGGGGGGGCAGGGCAGGGGGGGCAGCCGGGGCGGGGGGGGGGGCAGCCGGGGCGGGGGGGGGCAGCCGGGGCGGGGGGGGCAGGGCAGGGGGGGCAGGGCAGGGGGGGCAGGGGGGGGGCAGGGGGGGGGCAGGGGGGGTTCTCCCCCCGGGGGCTTCGACTCACGGCGGCGGCGGCGGCGGGACGCGCGGCGCGGCGCGGGGAGGGGACCCGGACGGGTGGCCCCGGACTCGGCGAGGGGGATGCGCGCGGTACCGACTCGGCCGAGGGGATTTCCTCTCCTGCGGGCGGGCGGACGTCGCCAATTGCGGGGGGGGCGGGGCGGGGAAGGACCGCGTCACGTGGTTCCGGATGGTGCCCGGCGGGGCTGGTCACGTGATAAAAACATCCGGTCTCCGTCTGTGGTGTCAGATGCGAGGGGGTTTACCTCCAGGTGGCAGCCTCCGCCACTGCCGCTGCTCCCGCTGCCTCCTCTCATGGGGGGGGGGGGGCTCCGTGCCGCTGCTGCCTCCTCCTCCTCCTCTCTCCCGTGCCGCTCCGTGCCGCTGACGCCTTCCCGGCGTGCCAAGAGCAGCGCCGCGCGCGTTTTGGGGCTTTCCAGCGGAAACGCGGACAACAGGCGACGTTTCGAGCAATGGCCCTTGATGGTACATATTTCCAGCAGGGACAGAGGTGGCACTCATTACATCCGAAGCGCTCGCCACAAATGAAGCACAACAAACAAGACGTTGCCGATCTCGTCAAGGAGGAGAACCCATCAATCACGCGAACTCGCCGCGGCTTTTGGCGGGCCATCGAACAAAGACGGCCACTGCATCGCGTGCTTTTGTATGCGCTTTGCGGCCGTCTGGAACGCGCTTCCTGACAAAATTAGGAATCTACTGCAACTATGCACTTTTAAATATCGATTTAAAACGCATTTCTTAAAAACTGAGTATTGTGTTTAATGTGTTGTCCTTCCCCCGCACCTCTGATTAGCACGATTGGCTACGTACGGTGCAAAATAAGTTCAACATACAAAGTGGATAATCAGAATATAGTATTTATACTGGAGGAATCCGATGAGCTATACATCTATTTTTTCACATGTTCAGGGGCAGGTCAACAAACAATACATTACTGTATATCCATTATTGCGCCCCCCCCCCCCAAATATAAAAGTCTATTTTTAGACTAGTTTTAGACTTTTAGCATTGTGTAGTCTGGAAGCGACCCACATGCCAAATGTCAAGTTTGTAGCATGTCGGGAAGTGCGCTAAACGGTTTAGACAACTCGGGAAGGGAATGACGTGAGAGCTAAAAATTGCTATTAGAAATTCCCGACAGCAAAAGCTGTGAAAGTTTCATGACATCAGCGTTCGAGAGTTTTTGCTGCTTCACACAACAGATGTATTGTCTGCTTTATACTTAAGAGCGAGCTGAAAATAGTTGCGTTGACTTAGAAAATCGAGACAGCGCATTTGTGCGGGATAGTCGGCCTACGCGGAGCGTTGGGGGATGCGTGACGTCAACAAGCACATTGCGTAACACTTCCGCATGCGGGTGACATCACAGATGACGTCACCGCTCACTTGCCGTGCCAAATATATCCATTATTGCGCCCCCCCCCCCCCCAAATACAGAAGTCTATTTTTATACTTTTTGCATTGTGTACAGTCTGGGAGTTACCCACTAATCGTCACCGGTGATGGCCGTGAGTGGGAATCGAACTCGGGTCGCCGGGTTCGTAGCGCAGCACGCTAATCACGACAAGACAATGCGTTATGCTTCCACATGCGCGGGTCACGTGACATATTTGACGTCACAGCTCACTTGCGCCATGCAAAAAATATATGCATTATTGAGCTCCCCCCCCCTCCCTCCCAAAAACAATTAGTGTATTTTTATAATTTTAGCATGGTGTACAGTCTGGAAAGTACCCACATGGCAATTTTCAAGTTTGTTGCATGTCGGGAAGAACGCTAAACATTTTGAACAGACACACAATCACAACTTTGCCTTTTATATATATGGAGATGACTGCTATACATTTCCCCATGATAAGACACTACATTTGGCTATCAATTGTGGCCAGGTCGTTTCTGTGAGCGATACAGCCGAGCCTTACCTGGTAAAAAATAAATTGGCAGGAGAGGGCGGTACAGAGCCTCGAGGCTCGGGGAAGCTTTCCCGGGTGAACAATCGGCGCCCGGTTGATGATCCGTGTGAACAAACCACGAATACAACTCTGCTCTCATCTTCGCCTCGTTGTGTTATTTATTCACGCAGTCTCCGTCTCTCGCAGCGTCATAAAATCAGAATGATAGCACGTTTATAAAACGGTTAAAATTAGTCTTCATAAAAAATTAATCTGACAAAAGTGAAAACAGCAGCGGCAGTTGTTCCTTGCACATCGCCCATAACATTCACAGCGGATACAAACAATCCCAACGCTTTCTCTGTAAACCTGAGGCTCTGACAGAGAATTCTGCAGGTCGGACACGAATAAGAGTAATGACGCAGGCAACACATGCAAGGCCCAGTGGCAGTGCGTTCGCCGGTCGGTGCAGAGGTTTTTCGGTCCGATCCTGGCAGGCCACCCCCGTTAATGCTGCCCAGTGTGTTCACCCAAACACACCACGTGCAGTCCGAGCCCTGTGACGTCACCTGAAGCGAGCAGGCCATTGCGTGCCAGCGTCACAAAGCAACCTCACTCCCTCCTGGAAGACGCTACCGATCTGTAAGACACGGTTATGCTTCTGTGGTGGCCCTGCACTCTATGAACGATGTGAATACCGAACATAATCGGTAAAAATCATTGTTGAACCTTTGCCATGTACCATGACTGGCATCCACAGTTCGTATTGCAGCGATTGGCATCTTATTTCTGCTACCTTTACAGTTGTTTTACAGTGATTATTGTGCGTAATTACTGCTCGTGTGTAGAACTACTACTCGTGTGTAGAATTCCTGCTCGTGTGTGTAATTACTGCTCGTGTGTGTAATTACTGCTCGTGTGTGTAATTACTACTCGTGTGTAGAACTACTACTCGTGTGTGTAATTACTGCTCGTGTGTGTAATTACTGCTCGTGTGTGTAACTACTACTCGTGTGTGTAATTACTGCTCGTGTGTGTAACTACTACTCGTGTGTAGAACTACTACTCGTGTGTGTAATTACTACTCGTGTGTGTAATTACTGCTCGTGTGTGTAATTACTGCTCGTGTGTGTAATTACTGCTCGTGTGTGTAATTACTGCTCGTGTGTGTAACTACTACTCGTGTGTAGAACTACTACTCGTGTGTGTAATTACTGCTCGTGTGTAGAACTACTACTCGTGTGTGTAATTACTGCTCGTGTGTAGAACTACTACTCGTGTGTGTAATTACTGCTCGTGTGTGTAATTACTACTCGTGTGTAGAACTACTGCTCGTGTGTGTAACTACTACTCGTGTGTGTAATTACTGCTCGTGTGTGTAACTACTACTCGTGTGTGTAATTACTGCTCGTGTGTGTAATTACTGCTCGTGTGTGTAATTACTGCTCGTGTGTAGAACTACTACTCGTGTGTGTAATTACTGCTCGTGTGTGTAATTACTACTCGTGTGTAGAACTACTGCTCGTGTGTGTAACTACTACTCGTGTGTGTAATTACTGCTCGTGTGTGTAACTACTACTCGTGTGTGTAATTACTGCTCGTGTGTGTAATTACTGCTCGTGTGTGTAATTACTGCTCGTGTGTAGAACTACTACTCGTGTGTGTAACTACTACTCGTGTGTGTAATTACTGCTCGTGTGTGTAACTACTACTCGTGTGTGTAATTACTGCTCGTGTGTAGAATTACTGCTCGTGTGTGTAACTACTACTCGTGTGTGTAATTACTGCTCGTGTGTAGATTTACTGCTCGTGTGTGTAATTACTACTCGTGTGTAGAATTACTGCTCGTGTGTGTAATTACTGCTCGTGTGTGTAATTACTGCTCGTGTGTAGAATTACTGCTCGTGTGTAGAACTACTACTCGTGTGTAATTACTGCTCGTGTGTAGAATTACTGCTCGTGTGTAGATTTACTGCTCGTGTGTGTAATTACTACTCGTGTGTAGAATTACTGCTCGTGTGTGTAATTACTGCTCGTGTGTGTAATTACTGCTCGTGTGTAGAACTACTACTCGTGTGTGTAATTACTGCTCGTGTGTAGAATTACTGCTCGTGTGTGTAATTACTACTCGTGTGTAGAATTACTGCTCGTGTGTGTAATTACTGCTCGTGTGTGTAATTACTACTCGTGTGTAGAATTACTGCTCGTGTGTGTAATTACTGCTCGTGTGTGTAATCACTGCTCGTGTGTAGAACTACTACTCGTGTGTGTAATTACTGCTCGTGTGTGTAATTACTACTCGTGTGTAGAACTACTGCTCGTGTGTGTAACTACTACTCGTGTGTGTAATTACTACTCGTGTGTAGAACTACTGCTCGTGTGTGTAATTACTGCTCGTGTGTGTAATTACTACTCGTGTGTAGAACTACTGCTCGTGTGTGTAATTACTGCTCGTGTGTGTAATTACTGCTCGTGTGTAGAACTACTGCTCGTGTGTGTAATTACTGCTCGTGTGTAGAACTACTGCTCGTGTGTGTAATTACTACTCGTGTGTGTAATTACTACTCGTGTGTGTAATTACTGCTCGTGTGTGTAATTACTACTCGTGTGTGTAATTACTACTCGTGTGTGTAATTACTGCTCGTGTGTGTAATTACTGCTCGTGTGTGTAATTACTGCTCGTCTGTGTAATTACTGCTCGTGTGTAGAACTACTACTCGTGTGTGTAATTACTGCTCGTGTGTGTAATTACTGCTCGTGTGTAGAACTACTACTCGTGTGTGTAATTACTGCTCGTGTGTGTAATTACTGCTCGTGTGTGTAATTACTGCTCGTGTGTGTAATTACTGCTCGTGTGTGTAATTACTGCTCGTGTGTGTAATTACTGCTCGTGTGTAGAACTACTACTCGTGTGTGTAATTACTGCTCGTGTGTGTAATTACTGCTCGTGTGTAGAACTACTACTCGTGTGTGTAATTACTGCTCGTGTGTGTAATTACTGCTCGTGTGTAGAACTACTACTCGTGTGTGTAATTACTGCTCGTGTGTAGAACTACTACTCGTGGTGACTAGTCCTGTCGTATTGTCTGTCTCCATGACCCACACTCCGGTGGAGGAGACAGGAGGCCCTGCCTGATCACCGTGGCGTGGCATCACGATGGCTATACTGCTGTTCCATGGGCAGAGAAACTCAAGTGGGTCTTAACCCCGGCTCATTATAAACTACCCCACCTCCTGTAAGCCTGGCTCTTGACACACCAGGCCTATGAACCACAAACTATAACGCTGGTCTATAATCCTCATCAATTATAGCCCTGCTTCATTATAACAGGTGCAGCCCTGCAACTTCTCGCTCATGCCACTATTGGCAGAAGGGGCCTCCTCCAACAGAGGGGACTCTCAAAGAGAACCCCATGGGAGGATATTTGGCCTTCTCTTGCACGCTGACCACACGTCTTGAAAGAGATAAGAGTACCCACACTTCAACCCACTACAAGCTACCTGTCGATCGACTTAGCTGTGATGAACTCATTTACGCTGCTGCTGGGCGGACAGGGGTAGTGGGGGGGGAATTCAAGAAACTCGCTCCGTAGTGCTGTGGCAGCAGTGCCACTGCTGTAATCCAGACTAATGAGAAACTGGACTCATTACGAGGCTGGCTCGTAAACCACAGGGACTATAAACCTAGCGCCCTGGTCACTATGAACCAAAGTCGTCCCTAAGAACTCAACTAATTCGTGACAACGAATTAAGCCGGCTCACCCGAGCTAGCATACAAAACCGACTCATCACAAACCGCGTCCAATCGGAACCCCATTCGTCACGCCAAACTGGCTTGTACACAGCCCCTCAAAGCCAGTGCCATTCACATCCAGCTCACTGCAAAAGCGTTAAATACGTTCAGGTCATCAACGTAGCTCACCAACGGAGGTCTCAACCCAGTGCGACGGACAACAGCCACGCTTGGTGGCACCTGCTGGGTGGAATTACCGACGCGGGCCTAAATTGGTGCTCGCAAGCAGCACTTGGTCCCAATTGCCTACGTGTGCAAAGAGTGGCCATCTCTGTGTGTGTGACTGCACGAACATGAGCGAGTGAGTGCTAGTTCGATTGTGTGAGTGTGCACGTGTGTCCGTATCAGCGCGTACGTGTCTGTGTGTGCGTTTGCCTTACGTAGTGAAAATAGGAGTAGAAGTGTGGTGGTTAGTATTCTGCGCAACAACCCTGGTGACCGGAGTTAATTTCCAATAACAGTAGTGAATATCCGAACTAGTCTTGGGCCGCCCCAAGGCCGGCTCAGCATTCAACGAGTACAGTACCTGGTGGGGTGTATAAATGATAGGTTACCGGGCGTGTTCCAGGTTACCCGTGTGCCATAACTCGCTTTCATAGGTGCTCGATAACAGCACTTGCCCCGGGAGACCTTTGTCTTTGTGTCTGCGTGTGTTTAGTCTGTCTGCGTGTGTGTGTGCTGGCACGTGCGTCACAACTTGACGGCGCCTGTGACGAGTTTGTGGTACAGCGAGGAGGTGAGCGGCACATACGCCCCCTCCGCATCGTCCAGCACGTAGAGGGGGTCGTGCATCGACCCGGGGTCGAACCCCTCAGACACCAGCCGCACCTTGCGCTGCTTCATCGTGCCCGTCATCTCCAGCTCCTCCTGCCAGGAGGGGAGGGGGTGGGAAGGAGGGGGCAGGAGTGGTTCCATAAGAAGGTGGGGGTCAGAGGGCAGCTGAGGCAAATCTGAAAACTTTAAGGGTGTGGGAAAGAGGGGTGGTCACAAAGTGTGAACCTCGTTAAATAGGGCCTCGATATGAATTAAGCAACACTGCCTGTTGTCTCTCTGGCAATACAATGCAAGAACGTCACTCCTCGTTTCTCTTACACACAGAGTCCTTCAGAATTTTGGCAATTGGCAAGGCACTATAACAACAGCAATAAATATCCACTCATCGGGGTCTCAAGATGGGGGGCATTCGCCCCCTTTTCTTGGATCCATCACTGGAGGACACAAAGTATCAGAAGTGAGAGGTCAGGGGTCATGTGGGATCAGAGAACAGGTTGGGCAAGGGGCCATTAGGGGTCAGAGGTCAGGGGAAGAGGGTTTCACCGGGCCCTTGTTTTTCCTAAAAGGGGGTGTTGCGTTATGGGGGGGGGGGGGTGGTACTCACCTGGATGCGCAGGAAGCGAGGACGAGCATAGGTGGGGAGGTGGAGCACCACGTGGCGAGCGAGCGCCGCCCCGTCCAGCGAGGAGCGGCCATCGCGCAAGACCAGTGCCGCCATCCCCACGCGGCCCTCATGGCCTGGACGCAGCCATCACAGCCACGGCACAACCAGCACGAGAGCGTCAACCACGGCACAACCACCACGCGCGTCAACCACGGCACAACCACCACGCGCGTCAACCATGGCACAACCACCACGCGCGTCAACCATGGCACAACCACCACGCGCGTCAACCAGAGCACAAACAATGCACATCAACCATAGTACAACTGCATGGTAATCAACCGCACTCAAGCTCAACCACTCAACCACCGCTTTCACCACACAACATGCAGTGCCGTGCGCACACCGCGACCTGGGGAGCATGCGCTCTGGGTCACCGTGGCCCCTTCGGCAATCAACGATCGACGACCAGGAGCAAGAGCAAATACCATTGCGCCCGTGTTCCTAGCACCGGCACCATCACCATCACGCAGGCAGCACCATCAAGCAGCCAGCACCATCACGCAGCCAGCACCATGATCATCGAGCAGCCAGCACCATGACCCATCCGGCACCGTCACCACCGCACCTGGCACGGTGACCCCGTACACGTTGACCTCGGCGACTTGCTCTGTCAGGCTGAGCACGTCGGCGACCTCAAGCGTCGCCACATTCTCTCCCTTCCACCTACACACACAGACAAAGGTCCCCCGTGTAGCCTTTAACATACTATTGGGGCAAGTTCTGTGAGCGAGTAGCACCAATAAAGGCTTGGACAACACACTAGGGGATGGTGCGGTCAGCCGTATTTGTCTCCCCAGTGCTGATGTTTTATACACACTGCACCAGGTACACATTTAAGGCTAAAGTCGACTTAGGAGAGGCCCAGGACCAGTTCAGACAATCGTCACTGGTATTGGTCGTGAGCGGGAATTGAACTCGGGTCGCAGGGTTTGTAGTGCAGCGCACTAACCGGTGCGCCATCGCTCCCCACAATCATATGCATGCAAACACGCATGTACACACACATCACCGCCCTATCACGTGTGTGTACTCATGTAATCACGTGTCCCCGTACCCGTGTGTGCGTGTACTCACATACCCCCGGACACGTGTGTGTACCCACGTGTCCCACTACCCATGTGTGTGTGTACCTACGTAGTCACGTGTCCCCGTATCCGTGTGTGTGTACTCGTGCATATACCCACCTGAACGTATCTCCCGTGCGGTCGCTGAAGTAGACGTATCCGTCGTGCTCCACGCGGATCAGGTCACCCGTGTTGAAGTAGACGTCACCACGGCGGAACACTCCGTGCAGGAGCTTCCGCTCGGATTGCGAACGGTTCCCCGCGTAGCCCGAGAACGGCGATCGCGGCGTCACGTATCCCACCAGCAGGCCCACCTCGCCTGGGGACCACGGCAGCACCAAAGCGGACCATTGTGAATATCGCGCTAGTCATCAACGTCATCGCCGTCACCAGTGTGGTCATTGCCAGCGTCGAGGCCGGTTGTGGTTGTTATTGTTCTTGTGGTGGTTGCGGTGATGGTTGTGGTTGCAGTGGTTACCGGGCCGCACCCGCTCGCACCACCCCTCCGGGCCCCGCCACGGCTCCTCCTTCTCCATGTCGTAACGCAACACCGCCAATGGGAACATGATCTACAACCATAGCACAACCACGACACTGAGCCATATTGCAACAACAACTACAAGCATAACAACGCTGCACATTCCAGATCCTGCAGATGCACGTGAATCCCTGTATCCCAGTGTCACCCATGTTGTCCCCCTCCCGTGTTTCCACACCCACAAAGGCTCCTGCGTATCCCTCTACGCATCATCCGATGGGGCCAATGGTGCAAGTCTTTCTCTGCGTTTCCACTCGTCTCCTTGTCTCCCAGAGTCTCCCCAAGTCTCCCACACCTCCCCGTGTCTCTCTGCATCTCCCTATCTCTCCCCACAACTTCCCACGTGCCTCCGTGAGTCCCCAAACCTCCCCGCATGTCCCCACATCTCCCCAAGGCACTCAGTGTCTTCCCGCACGTCTCCACATCACTCTGCATATCCCCGCCTGTCGCCACAAGTCCGCGTGCGCGTCTCCCGCAACCTCCCCCCACCACCGCCCATGGCCCCCCACCACCACCCCACGCACGACTCCCTGCCCGCCACGCACACCTTGGACAGCAAGCCGATGTAGCCAATGGCCCCCGGTTTGCCGCGGTGGTTAAGGAGGCCGATGTTGCCCTCGGTGGCCGCGTAGAACTCGCACACACGGATCGGACCAAAGCGATCCAAGAAGTCCTGCCACACGTCCTGGCGCAGCCCGTTCCCCACGGCCATGCGCACACCGTGCTCAGACTCGCCGGGGCGCTGGGGCGGGGGGGGGGGTTAAGGCAGGGGGGGGGGGGGAGAGGGGCAGTTATGGCCGGAGAAGGGTCATGGAGTGAGCGATAGGGAAGTCACGAGGAAGTTACAGGGGTCCCACGAGGCAGGTCACGAGGTCACATGAGTGAATGGGGTCAAGGGCACGGCGTGATGCTTAACAACACTCATACGATAGACCAACAGATTGGAATCATAGGTCACAACACTGGGGTTGCAGGACATGACAAAGTCACAAGATCTGGGTTATGGCTCACGCAAGATGAAAGATGATGAGGTGTGAAGAGAGGGTACGGGAGAGGGTGGGTGCATGGGGGTGTGAACTCTACGTGTTTACGTATAAGTGTGTATGTATAAGTGTGTGCGTGTCTGGGGAGCGGTAGTGTAGTGGTTAGCACACTGCGATTCCCGCTCACAGCCAACACCAGTGACGATTATCTGAACCCATCCTTGGCCTACGCTCGGTCGACGCAGCCTCAAATGAGCACCTTGTGTGGCGTGTAAAAATCATCACCACTGCCGGCATTCATAGGTGCTCGCTAACAGCACTTGCCCCAAGTCTGTTAGGGAAATACGGGGTATATTTATCTTTGTGTGCATGCACAGTTTGATTAAATAAGTGTGTGTGTGTGTTTATGTAATGTCTAGGCATGGCTGATCAACCCTGTTATGCTGATGTAGTAATTTCTGCTCACTATGAGAAGGCGTTGGAGACTCTGCTGCTGAACCTGGAATGTGCCACAATCAGCCCCACGGAACAGCACCTGCCTGTGCGATTTATCGCATCATCCTACCTACACCTCACGCTCCCCACGAGTCAGAGTTGCATCTGCCACTCACCTCAGTCTATTACCATCGCTCCACTCGTTTGCTCAGTAAAGCCTCATCGAGTCTCAGGACTCTCTTTCAGGAGGGTTCTGCCGAGATTTCGCAGTAGGGGGCGATGATGATACTCCTGCTGTGTGCGTCATGTGCAGTGTAATTTACACATAATTTTGACCGTGACGCTGGCACACAATGGCCAACTCTCGCGAATGACGTCCACTGTGTGGCATTGTTACGGTCAATACGGCACCACCGGGGCAATGACCAGGACGGCGCAACATGCGGTGAGCGTACCACCACCACCACCCGGTGCCATTTAACCCACAGCTCTGGGGCCTGTCCTATGACTTCCTGCCAGGGAGCCTGTGACACCCTTGAAATTTCTGAAAAGTGTACCTAGCCTGGCACATGGGCCCTGGTGAGATAAACACCACCGGGTAGTGAGCAGCAGCTATTGTATTCGTATGTATGCATGTTTGAAAAAGAGCGCAATAGCTCATGGATATCTTTGAGGATAAGAAAGATTCTGATTTTGCTCGTCGTGGTGTTTGGACTCGTGTTTGTTTTAAACACTCTTCATTCATTGGCTGAAAACATCTTAAAATAAAAGCCCAATGCAGCAGGTCCCTCCTCAAAAAGAGGCCTGTGACTCAGTGTGGCTCTCCCGCGTAGACAAGTACAAAGTACAGCAGGTGTGTGTGTGTAAGTGCTCGCCAACAGTCGTTGCCCCAACAGTCTGTTTAAGATATGCAGGGGATCTTTATCTTTGTCTGTTTATGAGCGTGTCTGGAATTGTGTAACCACGGGAGAGCGGTCGTGTAGCGGTTAGCGTGCTGCGCTACAAACACGGCGACCACCAGTGATGATTGTCTGAAACAGTCCTGGGCCTGCCCTAGGTCGACTAAGCCTCAAATGTGTACCTGGGGTCGTGTGCAAACATTTCGACTTTGGAGACAAAGGCGGCCGGGCGCGGTGTTGGCCACCCACCCTCTCGTGTGCTATGCCGGCCTTCATAGGTGCTACACGCTAACAGCACTTTCCCCTACATGTATGTATGTATGTTGAACGTCTTTCCCACCGTACGTAGCCAACCGTTCTAATCGGAGGTGATATTCACCATTGCTAAGGCTATACGGGGGATCTTTGTCTGGGCTTGTCTAACAGTCGACCTCTGTGCGGGCATTTGGGGGTGGGAAGACGGGTAGAGGGGGGGTTTGGCACCTTGCCGAGCATCAGCATCCATCGAAACAAGAGTTTACATAGAGCCACACCACCTCCCGCCCTCCACGGCCACCCCACCTGGCTACACGGTTCGCCCACACCGCCCGGCCACACCATCTTGCTGCTCGGTCACAACCACACTGCCACACCACCCGACTGCCCGGCCTAGACACAATGCACACCACACATCACCACCACAACAACAGCCGCCATTCATGACCAAGTAGCGGTGACATCACAACAGCGTTTGTGCCAGGCTAGGTGCAGTTTCAGGTCATGTGAAGTGTGGAAGGCTCGCTGGCAGGAAGTCACTGGACAGATCAAGGTGCCATGGGTTGACTGACATGACTGGCAGACACACCACCTGTGGCACCCCTACTGTGCCAACTCGCTGTATTTTATCCACCCAGCGCTCTGCTCTTTGTTGTGAGCGTCGCACACAGTTACATACACACACGCACGCACAGCTACAAAGATCCCTGTATAGCCTTCACCAGACTGTTGGGGCAAGTGCTGTTGGGGAGCACCTATAAAAAGAGGCACGGCAAACGAGGGGTGGGTGGCCAAAACCACGCCCGACCGCCTTTGTCTCCCCTGTGGCGATGTTTACACACCGCACCGGGTACTCATTTGAGGCTGAGTCGACCTAGAGAAGACAAAGAACCAGTTCAGATAATAGTGTTGGCCATGAGCGCGAATCACGCTCTGGACCCCGGGTTCATAGCACAGTGTGCTAACCACAACACTACCGTTTCCTACAGGGACACATGCACGCACATAGCTATGCACATAGGTACAAACATGCACAAGCACACACGCACAAGCACTGTGTTCGAGACTAAAGTCCGCATGTCCCTGCCACCCCCCCCCCCCGCGTTATCAGCTGCTCCCCACACACCCGACACACCCCACACGCCCCACATACACGCACCCGACACGCCCCCCCCACACACACACACACCCCACACGTCCCACACACACACACCCCACACGTCCCCCACACACACCCGACACGCCCCCCACACACACACCCGACACGCCCCCCCCCCCCCACACACACACCCCACACGTCCCCCACACACACCCGACACGCCCCCCACACACACACACCCCACACACCCCACACACAAACATTCCACACACACCCCACACGCCCCCCACACACCCCCCACACGCCCACACACACACACACCCCACACGCCCACACACACACACCCCCACACCCCACACACACACACACCCCACACGCCACACACACACCCCACACGCCCCACACACAAACACCCGACACGCCCCACACACAAACACCCGACACGCCCCACACACACACACACCCGACACGCCCCACACACACCCGACACGCCCCACACACACACACACCCGACACGCCCCACACACACACACACCCGACACGCCCCACACACACACACACACACCCGACACGCCCCACACACACACACACCCGACACGCCCCACACACACACACACACACACCCGACACACACACACCCCACACACACACCCGACACACACACACCCCACACACACCCCCCACACACACACACACCCCACACACACACCCGACACGCCCCACACACACACACCCCACACGCCCCACATACACACACCCGACACGCCGCACACACACACACACACCCCCCACACACACACCCGACACGCCCCACACACACGCCCCACACACACACACCCGACACGCCCCACACACACACCCCACACACACACACACCCGACACGCCCCACACACCCGACATGCCCCAAACACACACCCCACACACACACACCCCACACACACCCCACACACACACCCCCCACACACACCCGACACGCCCCACACACACACACCCGACACGCCCCACACACACACACACCCACACACCCCACACACACACACACCCACACACACACCCCACACACCCACCCGACACGCCCCACACACACACACCCCACACACACACACCCCCCACACACACCCCGACAAGCCCCACACACACACATCCGACACGCCCCACACACACACATCCGACACGCCCCACACACACACCAGACACGCCTCACACACACACACACACCCCACACACACACACACCCCACACACACACACCCCACACACACACATACACACCCCACACACACACACCCCACACGCCCCACACACACACCCGACACGCCCCACACACACCCCACACACACACACACAATCCACACACACCCCACACACACACCCCACACACACACACCCGACACGCCCCACACACACACACCCCACACACACCCCACGCCCCACACACACACCACACACACACCACGCCACACACACACCACACACACCCCACGCCCCACACACACACCAGACACACACCACACACACACCATGCCCCACACACACACCCCACACACACCCGACAAACCCACACACACACGAAACACACTTAGCACACAACACACCTAACAAACCCCACACACGACACACACCTAACACACCCCACGCACACACACCCCACAAACCCCACGCACACACGAAACATACACCCACACACCCGACACACCCCACATACACTCATACACCTGACACACACACCTAACATACACCCAACATATCACACACTGCACACACACACCTGACATATCACACACCCCACACGCACACCACACGGCTGCCTCTGTGTGCGCGTGTCAGCAATTTGCCACTTGTACACGCATGTCTTGTGTACACGCATCAGGCAGAGATGACCAAAACATGGTAGCATTACTGGAGTGATGCAACGTAGGCACAAATTACCAATTACAAATGTGATTCAATTACATGTGTAGTGACACTAAGCGTAGGAGGCACTCTATTTATTAACAGCCTTCACAGTCCACACAAACGATCAACAGCTGGCAGACTGCCTGACTGACGACGCCGAGCAGGTGAAGCGGCGGCGAAGACTCCAGCAGCACGATGAGGGGATCCCACTCCAGGCGACAGCCCCGAGCTCTTGCTCGGGGTCCCCTTTTATCCTCCCAGCGTGGCCTCGCTCCGTCCCAGCCACACCCCCTTTCTAGAAGCTACTCGCGGGTTCCCGGGCTTCCCTCACGTGCGCCCTCTGTAACCTTTCCCCTACATCCCTCTCTCTGGCTTATCACGTGACCTGCTGACAGACAGGGCTGCTGCAACTGCAGATCCCCTTCTCTGCCAGCAACCAGCGCTCTGCTCCATAGTGACCAATTCAATGTCACTACACATGTTTAAATTACATGTCATTTAGATAGTGCCCATCTCTACACACATTTACACAATTCTGCCTACGCATAAACACACGTGTGCACTGTGCACCATAGGCTGGCTGCATGGCGTCTACACACCACACCAGGTACTAATTTGAGGCCGAGTAAACCTAGGGGAGACCCAAGATCAATTAAAACATTCACCAGTTATTACCCGGGTTCATAGCGGAGTGCAGCGATAACTGCTGCGTCACCGCTCCTAACACCTGCACACACGTGCGCACGCACACACGCACCTTGGGCTGGTTACAGAGGTAGCGCAGCAACTCCCCAATATACTGCACCACGGTGACATCATGCTTGCGGCAGTCGCTCCAGAAGTGGCTTGCAGAGAACTTCTTCCGCAGCACCAGCGTGGCGCCTGCCACGTACACACGTGTACAAGAACACGCGTACAACAACAACCGACATTCGCCAGTAAGTGGCGGTGACGTCACCATGACGCTTGTGCCAGGCCATGTGCATCTTGAGGCCACGTGAAGTGTCGAACGCCCGCTGGCAGGAGGTCACGGGGCAGACCCAGGTGCCACGGGTCGACTGACTGAGATGACTGAGATGAGTGGCTGAATTACCACCTGTGCCCCCTACTGTGCCTACTTGCTGCGCTTTAGCCACCCGGCGCTCCGCTCGTTGTTGTGAGCGTCGCTCTTCCGCCCTCCGTTGTTGTTGGAGGGCGACTGCCTCCAACTGCCCAGTAGCGTCCTTCATGAGCCTCCTCCACTGAGGCCGATCTTGACACCGCTGGTACCAGTCATCGGAAAGTCCACTCAGCTCCACGTCCTCCTGTACCACATCACTCCATCTCTTCTCTAGCCCATGCTGCGCCTGTTTAGCCCCCTCGATCCGGCCAAACAAAAGCTGTTTAGGCATGCGGTGGCTGGGCATGCAGGCTACATGATCCAGCCAACGCAGCCTTGCCTGCCGGAGGAGCTCACCGATGAGACTTTGCCCAGATCTTTCAAGGATTTGTGAGCTCCTCACACAATCCAGCTTGGTTAAACCCAGGATGTATCGTAAGCAGACCAGCCTAAATGTTTCTAACCGGCAAAGATGCTCCATTAGGGGGGTCCACGTTTCGCAAGCGTAGAGAAGAGAGGGAATGACTGTGGCCGAGAAGACCTGAAGCTTCGTGCGGAGCGACAGACCAGGCAGCTTCCATACATAGTTACGCAACCGATAAAAAGATATTGCCGCTCGACTGATTCGGAGTGAGACCTCCGCTGACAAACCACACGTACACACACACGTGCTACATAAGCACACATGCATGCGCAGACGTGTGACACGTGGCCCGTACAGACGACACACGTGGCTTTTAGCACCACCACCCACCCTAACCACCACCACCCATTCCTTACCACCACCACCCACCTTAATCACCGCCACCCATCCCTTACCACCACCCACCCTAGCCACCACGTTTACCACATGTGAACCACCCCCACCACCCCCCTCCCGCACACACCCAGGTTGATGCAGCCTCCGATGCCGATGAGCGACGCGGCGCTGTGGTAGAGCGGCAGAGGCGAGTACACAACGTCGTGCTCCGTCACACCACATGCCTCCAGCAGCATCGCGCCGCGCCAGAACCGTAATTGGTTCACAATCGCCGCCTTCGGGAGACCTGAGAGGGCGGGGGGCGGAGAGAGTTGACGGTGTGGAACGTAGCGGTTAGGGGTGATGAATCTTGCGGCGTCAGGAGTAGGGGTTGGGGCTTAGAGTTTAGGGTTCGCGTTCGGGGTTAGACTTTAAAGGCTATCTCTCGGGGTTCTAGTTTGGACTAGGGGTTTTGGGGTTGTAGTTTGGGGTAAGAGATTAAGAGCAAAGGGTTCAATTTACCAGTGAGAAATCAGGAGACCAAGATGAGTCTCATTTGTCTGATTGACCTGGGGGTCACCAAAATGGCCAGAGTAAACGAAAAAGGTCTCTGAGTTAGAAGCAAAGGTGAGGATTCGAGTCAAGAGTTCGGGGCGAGGACTCGGGCCTAGGGTTCGGAACGAGGATGTCCACGCACCCGTGGTCCCAGACGTGTAGATGTACACGAAGCTGGAGTCCATCTTCACGTCCTCACAGCTGTCCTCCGGCAGTGGAGGCAGGGGGTCCCCTCCGTCGGCTTCCCCATTGGGGTCCGGGCCCCTCATCGCGTCGTCAGGTCCTTCCAGGGCCCCCACCCCGGGCAGCGGGGAGGAGGAGCCGAGGAACCAGGCGGTGACGCCGCTACTGCGCGCGTCCGGCAGGACCTGCTCCAGCAGCTCCGCCATGTCTGTGCCATCGCCACCACCGCCACGCTAGTATTACAACCACCACCACAACCACTGCCACACGCTAGTATCACTACCATGACACCACCGCCACCACATCAAAGCGTTATTACCACAACCACACTGCTACCACAACCACCACACCGTACAGATTTACTCTCCGCCACACCACCACACTACATTTACTCAAATACCGCGTCGCACAACAACGCAACATTACCACTGCCGCATCACCACATAGCTCACAACCACCACCCCACCACCACCACAGTACTATTGTAGTGACATCGTGGGATGTCACTGTGTGAAGCCGGGCCAGAAGTGGCATGGCGTGCGATGGATTGACATCGCTGGGGATACAGTACCAGCCCTAGGTGGGGCTCGGTGAGCACTGTATGACAGTGAGGGATGGTACCACACTCTGCGTGCAGTGCCAGCCCCTACAGGGAAAGGTGGACGTGGCGAGGGGCAGAGCGACCCCCGCCACAGAGGTTATAAGCCGGAGCGCTGAGCGGCACCTGCTGCTGTTGTCATCCTAAGACGACACGTCGACGTTCCACGTTCTACAGCACGGGGACTCGGACCCGAGCTGGGGTCGGGTCCGCTGGAGCTAGAAGTGTTATCGAGTAGATAGCCCGGTGGTCCACCACCATAGGTACTATCTGGTGAAGGGGCAGTTACCCCTTCGCATTGTGTTAATGGAAATACACGTGTTGCCTCCATGAGTCCGTCTGAGTCTCCATTTGAGCCCACTACACTATCATCACATCACTACCAGGGACGTGCAGTCAGGGGAGGCAGAGCCTCACCTGACATACTCCAATGAAAATAGCTGTTACAAAAAATAAATAAAAAGAATAATCAAATAAAATAAATATTAACATTTCCCCACTGATCTGTGTTATGTCATTTCTGTAATATTCCAAAATTTTTATAGTAAAAATCGCCAAATTTACGGAGCTCCGCTACAAATACAGGAAGAGACTAGAGGTGAGGCTGTGACGAGCTCAGCCTCCCCTCTGATTGCGCAACCCCTCAGTATTTCAGTTTCATTTATTAGGATTTACCCTGCGAGCCATTCGGCTCTTGATTTGGGTGCAACCGCAACAAACAAGAAGATTACAAGATACACCTAAAATTCATTGTACACAAATCTAAACATCGCATACATAAACAATAAAATCCTACAGAAAAAGCACCATCCCCGTCCAGTAACTGGATGGAGCGTGGGCAATAAGCGCGCGTCTGTCACCAATTTAATGTTTGTAGACCCCTTCATTTCATGTCCTCGCTTTCCATACTCCAGGTAACTCAGGGGTGTCCAAACTTTTTGCAAAGAGGGCCAAATTTGATAAAGTGAAGATGCCCGGGGGCCAATAGTTCCTTCCGACATTTTTACCTCAAAAGTTACGTGAAAACACACCGTTATAAAACAATTATCATTGTCAAAATTACCTTTATTTTTCAAATGACAATGTAACCAAATATAAGCCGCTCAGGCAGACGTGAACAACTCTAAATACACAATTCTGCCTTTCATTCAGTCATGTAACATTGAACAAACTGTATAGAATTCCTTAAATTTCCATTAGTTAAATTAATTTGCCTCATGAACATTTTAAACAGGAGTTATAAGTAATGCAACGTGGTCTGTTATCATTAAACGTTAAAACAAGTGAATTTTGTCTTTTACAAGATCTTTCAGAAAGCAAGAGTTTGTGTCACATCTACAGGTACATAACATCAACAGTTATAACCAAATCTTATTCAAGAGTTTAATAAAAACAAGTGCCATAAGTCCAAGTGCATTAGTGTGCTTTAGGCTTTTCACTGTTATTAGTGACAGATGTTACCGTTCAAAACACTCAATTTCAGATTGATCAAGGAACAGATAACTTGCTGACACTAATGAGAAGGGCGATACTGAGATCTAGATTTCAGTAAAGAGACCAGGTCAGGCTTGAGGGCAGTGGTTGAGATGCATAAAATGCCACGCAATTTGGAGTCACTCATCCTTGACCTAAATCTTTTCTTATTTAAGTTCATGACTGAGAATGTTTGCTCACACAAATATGTAGAGCCGAATAACATCAGCATTTTCTTAGCGAATGACCGCATTTCTGGAAACCTGCTTTTGTCCAGCTGCCGGTAAAAGTCAACAAGAGAACACTGCTGGTGTTTCCCGCGGCACTCATCGTCAAACTGCAGCTCAATGAGCTCCAGATGCAGCTGTGGAGGAGCATCATCAGGGTCCACGGAGATGGGAGAAGAGAAAAGCAACATGTCCTTTTCAATAACTGCAAAGTCCCGAAAGCGTTTGTTAAATTCCACAGAAAGAGATGCGATAGCTGTTGCATAACTCTTCATTTGCGCACCGATGTTGTCTTGTGGGAAACTGTCAATGACCTCTTTCAAAGCTGAGAAGTGCGCGGTGCAGGGCTCTGTTTGGGACAAGTGTCTTTGGAAAAGTTGCAGTTTGGTTCCAAAGGCCTTGGTGTGAGCAGAGAGCATTATAATGGTGCTGCCACCGTGTGGCGGAAAGAGGAATAACATCTTTAAAGTTTAATGATTTATTTATTCTGACAGAGCTAGCGAGCCATAAATAACACATTATAAGACCGAAGCTGCGGGCCGTATGAACTCTGACCGCGGGCCGTGATTGGCCCCCGGGCCGGACTTTGGACATGCCTGAGGTTACTTATTTAACGTATGTGTATAAAGATATTCAGGTTCGCTGGTCTCGTCATGAAACTGCAATGAAAAAGCACCAGGGGAGGCAGCTATCATAAATGCCTCACTGAGGGGGACGTGTCTAACACGCCCCCCTCCGTGAGACCACGCCCCCTCCGTGAGGCCACGCCCCCCTCAGTGTGTAAATCTGGCTCTGACACGAGCCAGTGCCTCCCCAGCCATTGACCTCACCGCACGTCCACTGGTCACTACCACAGCATCACTACTGTCACTGCTCCACTACTATTAATCAGGTGACCTTGCAATGATGGACAGGTAGACACCTCTCTCTGCACCCTCACCTCACTCCACCTTCCGCTCTCCCTCACCCCACGCTCACCTCGCTCCCTCCACCCCTAATTCCACTCTATCTAATTGTCCAGGGATCCGGTGACGTCATCGGGGATGATCCCATCCAGATTAAAATCGGCAGCCCCTCCCCCACAGTCTCCACCCTCCAGCCCAGAGGCCCTCCCCCTGACCGAACCAGGTATTCTGTACCTGGCCCAGCTCTGCACTCACCCATTATACAACAGCCACCGTTTTCCATTAAGTGGAGGTGACGTCACCACGGCACTTGTGCCAAGCTAGGTGAACTCCGAGGCTGTTCCTTGAAGTGTCGAAGGCTTGCTGGCAGATGGTCATAGGAAAGACTCGGGTGTTATGGGTTGACTGACCGAGATGACTGGCAGAAGCACCACCTGTGCTCCCCTCTGTGCCAACTTGCTGTGTTTTAGCCGCATGGCGCTCTGCTCATTGTTGTGAGCGCTCCTCTGCTCTGCGCTGTTGTTGGAGGGCGACTGCCTCCAACTGCCCAGTAGAGTCCTTTACGAGCCTCCTCCACAGAGACCAATCTTGACACCGCTGGTACCAGTCATTAGCAAGTCTACTCAGCTCCACATCCTCCTGTAACATCAGCCCATCTGTGCTCTAGCGTGTGCTGTGGCAGTTTAGCCCCTTCATCTGGCCAAACAGAAGCTGCTTGAGCATGTGGTGGCTGGGAATACAGGTAACATGACCCAGCAAACACAGCTTTGCATGCTGGAGGAGCTCACTAATCATGGGATTGTTTCCAGATATTTCTAGGGTATGTGAACTCCTCACACTGCAATCAAGTCTGGTTAAACCCAGGATGGATAGTCGGAAGACCAGCCTGAATATTTTTAACTGGCAAAGTTAATTCAAAGGGCTCCACATTTCGCAAGCATAGAGCAAGAAGGGAGGGCATAACTGTAGGCTGAGAAGAACCGGAGCTTCGTATGGAAAGACAGAACATGTAGCTTATGTACAGTGTTACACAATTGATGAAAAGATATAGTAATACCCCGATTTAAGTCTCCCCTTTTTATGTAGTTTCACAAATACAGGAGACCCTTGAATATCGCGAGTTTATCGTTCGTGCTTTCGACCTATCGCAGGGGGTTAGTTTTGGCCTTTCATGGGTATACTGTACATGAAGTACTATAAAGGGGATCCCAATGTACGTCGCCGCGATACACGTTTCGCACTCACGTCGCTGACTTTTTGAGAAACCCAACGTAAAACGTGCCTGCACATACATCGCTTTCGAGTCAGTTCAGCTTAGTATAGAAAACGTATTGTAACTTGTATTTCACACATGCACCACCATCTTAGCACCTATTCCCAGCATACTATCTGCTGCTGCTGCTTCTCAGTCCCATCGTGTTCTCTCGCGTTGTGTTCATTGTAATCGGCCTAATCCTCTCCCAACAAATTCTTCAATCAAGCACAACTCATCCACTCCTCAAGGTAAGGTCGTAAAAATGCTGCTTAAGATTCTGTGCTTTTTTACGCTAAAAATGGTTTCCTGTTTGAGACATTGTTTAAAAATGTCACAAAGAAGTTTTCTATAAAAAAAAAGTAGGAAAACTTTTCAAGTGTACAGGGCTGCTTGGAAATTATCATAAAAAAACATCTCAATTAAGTATTTGGTAAGTATATATGCTGTTTAAAGGTCCTTGAACTCAAAATGTATTCTAAAGGTGTACATTGTGTTGTAAGATGAATGGATATTCGGACCGTATTATCCGCAAAGCTATTTCTCCAACTATGGAGAAACAACCCCATGAGACTCCGATCAAAACCATCACGTTACCATACATAGCAGGAGTTACCAAAAAGATTTTCAAAATCTTAAACAAACACAAGATCCAGTACAGAAAATCCGTGATCTAATCCCATCCGTAAAGGATGTAATTCCTGATATGCAATACCCTGGAGTCTACAAACTGAGTTGCATCTATGGCGATTGTTACATTGGGGAAACAGAACGACATGTATCAGACCGTATTTGCGAGCACAAGGCAGATTTGAAACACGGCAGGACGATCTCTTCCGCCGTGGCTGATCATTGCTACAATGCTGCGGGCTCTCATGATATTGTCTTCTCCGAGACCAAAGTGCTCTGCAAGCCATCTGGCTACTATCAAAGGTTTGTTCATGAAGCCATCCAGATATACATAGACATAACTTCAACCGAGGATACAAATTGAGCAATCATTGGAAAGATGTTATTAACCAGGTGAAAACATTAAATTGTTCATAGTTGTCCCATCTTATTTATCGGATACCAGTCTATTTTACCGAGTTAATTGCATCCCCAGCGTTTAGCAGCGCTGCATTTCACTTTGGGTGCCCTCATTGGTTTTGGCAGCAGTTCGTAGCTGCTGCGTCGCTCTCTTTTTCCCTCCCCGTGCATCTCTCGCTCACTCCGCCTCTCGCTCACTCCGCCTCTCGCTCACTCCGCCTCTCGCTCACTCCGCCTCTCGCTCACTCCGCCTCTCGCTCACTCCGCCTCTCGCTCACTCCGCCTCTCGCTCACTCCGCCTCTCGCTCACTCCGCCTCTCGCTCACTCCGCCTCTCGCTCACTCCGCCTCTCGCTCACTCCGCCTCTCGCTCACTCCGCCTCTCGCTCACTCCGCCTCTCGCTCACTCCGCCTCTCGCTCACTCCGCCTCTCGCTCACTCCGCCTCTCGCTCACTCCGCCTCTCGCTCACTCCGCCTCTCGCTTCTGGCCCCGCCAACTTCCCCCCCCACCCGCCCAGTTTCGCGTTCCCAGTCCCTGGCGTCCACGAGGCGCCCTCCCCTCGCTCCCTACCCCCCCCCCCACCTCCGTTCTCCCCCCTCTTTGACTTATATAGCTTCCTGGCATCTCTCCCACTTTAGTATCAATTTTCTTGCTGTGGTGTTCACACCTGATGACGATTGCTTGTGTTGCAATCGAAACGTCGTGATTTAATTTAATTCATTTTTATCTGTTATGTTTTATTTTATTTTTATTCATTATTTTCTTTACCTACGTGACTTTACCGAAAGAACCAAGGGTATTGGACAAGTGTTTTTGGTTGCTAGCTATGAAGCACAACATTTCCCTAAGTTATGGTCCCTATCCCAACCTTAATCTATTGTTTCTTATGGGTGAAATTGCACCCGCTTTAGATCACGCAGGCAATGTTTACCTTCTTACAGTTCATATCCATCCCCCATTTCCCACTTTTCATATAGGGGAAAATTCCCCATTTTACATCGTTTCGTTATAAGTTTTAACTTTCAGGTCCCCAGCCTGTCTCAGTGGCTGGTACCGTGGTGCGGGGCGGGCGGGGGGGACAGGGCGAGGCAGTCAGTGGCATCTCAACCTTTGCGGACAAAGACCCCCGTCAAGCCTGTTAACAGACTGTTGGGGTCAGTGCTGTTAGTGAGCTCCTATGAAGGCCCGCACGGCACACGAGGGGGTGGGTGACCAGCACCACGGCCGGCCGCTTTTGTCTCCCTAGTGGCGATGTTTACCACACACAACACCAGGTACTCATTTGAGGCTGAGTCGACCAAGGGGAAGCCCAGGACCGATTCAGATAATCGTCACTGGTTTTGGTCAAGAGCAGGAATCGAATTTGCAGTGCAGTAACCATAGCACTACCATATTTTCCAACTCCTCAGAGTGAGCAGTAATTACCAGATCATCAGCATGCACAACGTGGTTGACCAATAGAGAGCCATCCCTTTACTGCACCCGGACATCAATCAGCCTCCCTTTGTATCTGTACCAGATGGAAATTCCTCCGGTGCAGCCTTGGCAAGCGTCTCGAATTGTGTGGTCAGAGAAGATGTTCAATGGTGTAGGGACCAGAGGACATCGCCGTCGCATCCCAAGAGAGAGAAACAGAGAGAATGGCTCAGACTCCCGACACGCAGCTTTGCCCATCATCATCAAGGTCCTTTATGATTATAAGGGCAGGGTCAGGGACCCTGAAAGCACCAAGAATAAAGGGGCCATCCATTTAGTACGTACGCATGGAGGGGGGAGGGGGTGTTAACCCAAACGCGTTCACTTGCGTATGGGGGCTCTACTGACAATGTGCGCATAGGAAACGGGGGGGAGGGGGAGTGGAGCCTCAATAATGTGTCTACATTGGCCTTCAAATGAGTTAGATAGTCCGGCGGTGGACTTATCTGTTTGCTTAAGCACGTTAATATTATTCATCCTGGATAGTTTCTGCGTGGATGAAATATCGGCCGTTCTATAGGATTCGGGGGGGGGGGGGGGGGGGTGCGTCAAGCTGTACGTACGCAGCTGGGGGGGGGGGTGTAAGAAGTCCGCGTGAGCACAGGGAGGGGGGTCAAGTTGATAGATTGTCAACTTACTACTACACTACATGGATGGCCCCTAAGGACACCACGCCCAGCCGCCTTTGTCTCCCCACTGCTGCTGATTACACACCGCACCAATTCGACCTAGAGCAGGCTCAGAATCTGTTCAGATAATCGTCACCGGTGTTGGTCGTGAGCGGGAATCGAACTCGGGTCGCCGGGTTCGTAGCGCAGCGGCGTTCACCGCTGCACCACCGCCCCCCACACAGTACGACACCTGTGGTCTGGTCTCAGAGCCCCACTCCATCATCCCTCCCTCCACTCCATCCTCCCTCCCTCCGTCCACTCCATCCTCCCTCCCTCCCTCCACTCCATCCTCCCTCCCTCCCTCCACTCCATCCTCCCTCCCTCCCTCCACTCCATCCTCCCTCCCTCCACTCCATCCTCCCTCCCTCCACTCCATCCTCCCTCCCTCCCTCCACTCCATCCTCCCTCCCTCCACTCCATCCCTCCCTCCACTCCATCCTCCACCCCTCGCCCCTCACCGTGCCCGGCGAGCAGCGTGGTGGCCCCGCTGCACGAGAGGCAGTGCAGCAGGGAGCGCGCGCGGAGGTTGTGGTTGAGGAAGGCGGCGGTGCAGCCGATCCGGGCCAGGGCCATCCACGCGAGCACGAACAGCGGCTCGTTCCCCACCAGCAGCGCCACGGTGCTGCCCGCCACGAGCCCGGCGCGCCGCTTCAACAGCCACGCGAGCCGGCGGCTCTCCCGCTCGGCGGCCTCGTACGTGAGCGTGGCGTGGCCGTCGCAGACGACGAAGGGCCGCCGCGGCCGCTCCCGCGCCTGCTGCAGCAGCCGCTGCACGATGGTGAAGGTCGGCCGACGCCGCGCGTAGCCGGCGAGGCGCGCGGCCATCCGGAGCGTGCGGAACAGCTGCCGCGTCTCGTACAGCGTGTCCGTGCAGGCGGACAACACGCGGCTCGGGGCGTACCCCGACAGCAGGAGCACCAGCAGGGCGCCCCCCACCACCACGGCGGCCAGCAGAGGCAGCATGGTAGCCACGGGCGCGCGGCGAGCGTCCCCCTCGCTGTCTCGAGACGTATTCACGGGGTGATTGGGACGGGGTGAGGGGTGATTGGGACGGGGTGAGGGGTGTCCGCTCCTCCCTCGGGGGTCGCCGCCGCTCGGGGTGGCACTCGAGGTAAGAGGAGCGGCGACGAAGGGGTGCGTGGCTCAGGGGTCTCGGTAGAGAAAAGGGGACCCGCCCCAGCACCACCACCGTGAATTCCTCCACGGCAGCAGCAGCAGCAGCCCCCAACTTGTTGCTGTTGGAGTTGCCGCGTGCTCCGCGTGGAGGGCGGGGCTCTGACATCACCACGCCCCCGCCACGCAAGCCACGCCTCGCCGCTGTACACAGGCCACGCCCTCACTCCCCTTCCACGCCGAGGCCCAGACACGAAGACCACGCCTCTTTGCCTAGAGGTCACGCCCCTTTCTGAAGCCACTCCCCCCTCTCAACGCCACGCCCCCCACATGTGGAAGGGGTGGGAGCGGTTGACAACAGAGGTGGTTGTACGGTACTGTATTGTGAACTTAGGCGCCCACAACACAGAGGCAATGGTTCCGCGTCGCCCGTGCGACGTTTATACAGACTGCTGGCACAGCCCCACGGCCAGCCGCCTTGGTCTCCCCATTGCTGATGCTTACACACCGCACAAATATGCAGTACATACTCACTTAAGGCCGAGTAGACCTAGGGGACGTGGTCCAGGACCGGTTCAGATATGCGCCGCTTACGCACGCACGCACACACAATCACACTCTCAGCCTCACCACGTCGTGTGATCGTAAACCTGTCTGTCCCCTCGTGTAAACGCCGTCTCGCCCCCCTCACCTTGCCCCACTCACCTCGCCCCCCTCACCTTGCCCCACTCACCTCGCCCCACTCACTTCGCCCCCCTCACCTTGCCCCACTCACCTCGCCCCCCTCACCTTGCCCCACTCACCTCGCCCCCCTCACCTTGCCCCACTCACCTCGCCCCCCTCACCTTGCCCCCCTCACCTCGCCCCCCTCACCTTGCCCCACTCACCTCGCCCCCCTCACCTTGCCCCACTCACCTCGCCCCCCTCACCTTGCCCCACTCACCTCGCCCCCCTCACCTTGCCCCACTCACTTCGCCCCCCTCACCTTGCCCCACTCACCTCACCCCCCTCACCTTGCCCCACTCACCTCGCCCCCCTCACCTTGCCCCACTCACCTCGCCCCCCTCACCTTGCCCCACTCACCTCGCCCCCCTCACCTTGCCCCACTCACCTCGCCCCCCTCACCTTGCCCCACTCACCTCGCCCCCCTCACCTTGCCCCACTCACCTCGCCCCCCTCACCTTGCCCCACTCACCTCGCCCCCCTCACCTTGCCCCACTCACCTCGCCCCCCTCACCTTGCCCCCCTCACCTTGCCCCACTCACCTTCACTTTGCGGCGAAATGCCGGCGCATGCAGTCATCTGTGGCAGCGGAACTAAAACTAAATGAAACATTTTTTCTTTACCATGTTGGGCTCACTGAGCTATATAGCCTTTTTCAGAGGAGACCTGGCCACAGATGATAGCTCAGCGAAGTGGCTTATCGCGTGGGAATGTATAGCAGCCAAATTATCTAAACACGCGTCGAATCTAAATGGAAAGGAAAAAGCCGGAGGACCCGGAGAAAAATCCACATGGCCACGGGAAGAGAGACACGCAAACTCAAAATATACAGCAGCAGCAGGCGTCAGGGTCGGGATAGATCCCTCGACCTCCTGTATACCAGGCGAGGTAGTTAACATCTCATAGCCACCGCGGACAAACCTTGCCGCAGGCCACGATGGGGTGTCTCGACCTCCATGCCCCTCGCTTTATTTATTTATCCAGGCCAGCCACGACAAGCAGGAGGCCTCGCTTCCAACAGGATCCTGCCGCATTGGTTTTCCTTACTTGGGGATGTATTCAGCCAGTTAATGGCGAGTGTGTCTATTATCAAGATTCACACCGGGAGAAACGCACTACGAACACAGTTCTGAGTAGGAAGCAACCGAGGTTCGATTCCCATTCACGGCCAATGTCGGTAGCGAATATCTGGACCTGTCCTGGAGCTCCCCGAGGTCAATAAAGCCACTACTTGGTGTGGTGTTAACATGGGGTGACAAAGGCGGCCGGGCGTGCGTGGTGCTAGTCACAGTACTCCCCTCATGAGTGTGCCGTTCCGGCCTTCATAGGAGCTATACGTCTGCAGCTCTTGCCCCATCAGCCTGTGAAGGCTATGTGGGGGGATCGTTATCTTTGTGTACTGATCGCGGTCCAGGTTGGGGTCGCTGACTCGGCACGAGGCGTGTAATCATTTACCCCCTTCGACTGTCGCAGCGCCGCTAGATGTTCGCCAGAGGATCGCTTCAACCTTCACATCCACCTCCAGCCACACGAACATTGGAGTTTATTTACAGCTCGGACTGGATTTCAAATGACATGTATCCCACTTGCAGTTACTTTCAGCTGCTGGTCTGGATAGAACCTGTGTACGCGCGATGCTGTGCATCTGCGTGTGATGTTCATTCTGTTTCCAGCAACTGTGCCCAGCCTGAGATCTTCTCGCCATGCACCGATCCGAATTACAGCTGGGCGGAAACAATTGATGCAGGGTGTTGGCGGCGCCGTGGTGACACTCACGCCTCACAGTAAGAGGGCCCTGGGTTCAATTCTCAATTCTGGCGCTGCCTTTCTGTATTGAGTTTGTGTCCTCATCTGTCCTGAAGGGGAGGACTGGTATTAGCCAAATCACATCCCCAATGCGGAATACTTATCTGCAAATCACTCAACTGGGATCACACAGCAGCAGTAAATGCAACACCGTTTACTGCTGCAAAATCTGTGCATGACCCTCCTGAAGAACAGTATTGAGACTCACAGTCAGGCCTTGCTGGGTCAATTGACATCATCATCATAATAATGGACTCATCGTTCCACGTCTGGGGCCAGTATTGGATCATATATCCCAGCTCTAAAGTGTAATCGTTAGGTGCCCAGGGGCTGGAAATGGCTCAACGATGAGCCCTGACAATCACGACGTCATATTTAACCCTGGGCGCTCTCTGGCAGCTCTAATGTGGAATCGGCTCACTGATGAGCCCCAATGATTGCGAAGACCCATGCAGTCCTACATTTCCTCCGATGGTTTTCACACAACGCGCCACTGATGCTGTCCCTGACCCGCAACTGAACTCGGCTGGCGGGGTTCAAACTTCAATGTGCAAACTCCTGCGCCTCCACAATAAGACGCAGACGTTTGCAAAGATAAATTTCCCCCATAGCATTCTTTGGTTCTTTCGGTAAAGTCACGTAGATGAAAAATGTAATTAAAATAAAAAATAAATAAATTAAATCCCGCATAGCCTTTCACAGACTGGGGGGGAAGTTATGATAGCGAGCAAAGGCCGACACCACACGTGGCTGGGTGATTTGGCCAGTACATACACATGCGCACTCTTACGCATGTACACACACACATTTATGTACACACACGCCACCACACACGCACACAATAACAGCCGCCCTTCGCCACTAAGTGGTAGTGACGTCACCACAAAGCGTGCACTGAGGCCACACAAAAACATCAACAATGCAGAGTACAGCGAGCGCCCTTAGTTGAATATTGCACAACGCGGTATTTGACAGCTGCCTGCATCATGGCCCCCACTGGCAAAAAAGCCATCTAACAAGATGACCTATCCCGAGGGGCCCACTTTCGCCATCATCTGGGACAGGAAATCACTGAAGTCATATGAATCAGCAGCCTTGCCGACTCCATTTCTCTAACTGATGTTCATTTTCGGCGTGAGACGGGAACCTTCGCGTGGTCCTCCTGCTAAAGCAAGTTTGCCCAATTGGAAACCCTGCGCAGTTATCGTCAAGAAAGCGATCAAATCCCTTGCCTTTAGGATCTCGGTTGAAGCAGTAAATATCCACTGGGAATGGATTAACTTAGGGGCTCCTGGCCTTAGAAGTCCATTCCCGGTGGCTTCACAACCATTCACTGTGTCTCACTTGACGTCGTGGATTGCTAATCTCGACATCAAACGATAACACTACTTCCCCAGCATTGCTCGCTTCGCTGGGATAGGATGGTGAGCCCACAAGTAGCATGGGAGTCAGCTTTCCACACCTCAAGAATGTGCAGATAAAAATAGACAGACACAAACACACACATATATATAAAGACAACACAACAGCAGCCGCCAGTCGCCACACAATGGCCGAGACGTCACCACAGCGCTCGTGCCGGGCTAGATGCACTTTGAAGTGATCCAGGTGCTATGTGTTACACAAAGACAAATATCCCCCGTGTAGCCTGAATAGACTGTAGGGACAAGTGCTGTTCGCGAGCACCTATGAAGGCTGGCACGGCATACGAGGGGGTGAGTGGCCAGCACCACGTTCGACCGCCTTTGTATCCCGAGTGGCGATGTTTACGCACCACACCAGGTACTTATTTGAGGTTGAGTCGACCTAGGGGAGGACCAGGACTGGTTCAGATAATCGTCACTCGTGTTGGCCATGGGCAGAAATCCAACTTGGACCACCGGGTTGGAACTGGGGTTGAGGGGTACGTAGTGCAGGTGTGTATGTATGTTGGCCTTCATAAGTGCTCACTAACAGCACTGACCTCAACAGTCTGTTAAGGCTATGGGAGGGGGGGGGGTCTTTGTCTTTGTACGTATGCGTGTAACGCATACATACACACTCGCACTCACGTACACTCGCACACGCTTGTGCACACACGTGTATATTATTCTTTTTTTTCCAAATTCCACTGTGGATCACGGTCGGGGTTCAAGGGTCTGTGCTGGACAAGGGCGCGTGGATCGCCTCATCTCGAAGTCATCCTGACCTGGTGGCGGGGGCGGGATGGCGGGGACACACATTCATGTGCTATGAAGGGTCATTGTCTGAAACGTCGTCGTGGTGAGACTGCCCTCCGTGTTGAGTGTCGGCTGTGGGAAGGCGCTGATTGTCCGGAGGGGCGGCAGCGGACAGGCGGTGGGGCATGCGGACGGCCTCCACCACGGGTTTGGGTGTCCGGCAACAGGCGGGACTTGTGCCGGCTACAAATAACACTTGCGTTTAATCAGCGATGACATTAACTCACGTGTAACACTTCATGCAATCACGGTACCCATCACCGCCACAATCACAACCATCGCTATCACGACGTCCATCACCGCCTCCTGCCGCCGTGCAAAGGGCGATTGGCCCAATGGACAAGGGCACAGGGGCAGTGATTCAACAATGATTCTATGGGTGGGAGGGGTGGGGGAGATTAGCTTATGTGGGGG